TATATAAAGCGTGATAATCAATCGCTAGGGTATATTTTCCTGTACTGTTAAGAAACAATTCAAGTGTATACTCGGCGCACATTGTTCAGAAATGCCTGAACTTGTGCTTGACATTTTCTGTGATGTCTTGCGTGTGATGCGTATCGATGCAATCAAGACGACCTTGCTTGCTATTTTATCGATCAGTGAAACAGTGAGAAAATTCGAAGACGGCGTCATGTAAAGGTAACATTTATTAACGTTCCAGTTGATGCTGCTTGCAGCTTTCTTTGCGAGGAGAAATGATTGTCATGAGCCAGAGATGCGTCTATACAGGGTGAGTAAAAAAAAACCGAAACCCAAATGTCGGGACCATTGTTTAAGTGAAGTTCTGCATGTAGCACTTTCAAAATCTTGAATAAGAAAGCCCAATTCATAAGCTTTCTTTTAGTGCAAAAATCTTTCACATCACTTATGTACTTTTTAAGTTACGGAGTTTTAAACACAACCACCATTTTAAAGTTCTGTCCACGGATCACAAAAAAGTGTGCGTTCTTTAAGCAAAACGAAAACAATTCACACACATCCTCATGTGATTTGTTTTCGTTTTGCTGAAACAACACTGAACTTTTTTTGTGATCCGTGGACAGAATCTTAAAACGGCGGTTGTGTTTAAATTTACGACGCGTTCAACACATGGCAGGTTTCGTGAAATGGATCATACGACGCGTCGCGAGTTGCGATGTGTTTACGTCGTAAGTCGGGTTGCGACGCGTCTCAGCGCTTCGTGAAATCGGGTGCTACTGGCCATTAAATAACGTTAAATATCCCCTTTATATAAAAATTAGGAAACATTGTGTCGGTAGTGTTTTCGGGTAGTCATAAAGAAAGGCCTGTATCCTTTTCATGCATGGTTGAATATCAGTGAAACTTGTACTGAATGTGGTCGATCGAATGTTGGCGGAAGAGAAAAAAACTGGTATTACCTTTCCCGTTTTTGTGAGAGACAGAAACGTATCCAAAGGGACATTTTGTTTTACTAACCCTGTAGACCACAGTGATTTATTTGCAAGCACTCGAATGTTTATCCAAAAAATGATACCTGTTCTGTTCAGTGCGGGGCCCTGAGAGAGGAGAGATTCATAAGGTAATTGCGTTGTATAGCTTTTTATTCCTAATGCTTTTGGGTTATTTTTTTATTTCAATTTCAAATTCTCCTTTCCAAATGAAAAGAGGGATTTTCTTTTCTTTTAAATTAATGTATCTTGAATATTTTTTCTTTAAAAATCTTTTGAAAAATTACAAAAACTTGACATAGACTTACTGCGTACAGGGCTGAAACATATTTTTATGTTATTGGTCCTTTTTTTCTTTAAGTTTTACCGATTCTCCTTCAAACTTCAACTTTTGAAGAACAGTTGTATTTTTACAGTTAACATTTTGGTTGTAGCTTACATTTATTTCTATTCACCATCATAATGCCACTAAAATTTATTAATGTTTTCTTTTATTTTATCGTTTTAACATTTTTCTCTTTTTGTATTACCTTTTCTTTTCCACATTCTTCGACTTTCTTCTTTACTTGGAGAGACACCATATTAATCTGATAATCTGTTTGTAAATTGAGTTTAGTTTAATTTAATTTAAATCAAATTAAGACTATTCATTAAGACTATTTTGTATACACTTGTGTTGAAGATAATTGAGTGTAAAAGCATATTCATAAACACCTAAGACAGTTTACCCATTCCTATTGGTCTAGAGCCCATCACGTGGCCGGTTTTAAATGATTGGTTAAGACCGGCTGGCTGGTCTTAAACACGTTTCCAGTATCACGTGAAATTTGGACTCCTATGAAATCCGGTGCCTTTTGGTTACCGTTTTATTGGTTAAACGTTCGCAATGCTCACATAGGCATGCGCAGTACTACCAGTGAGTCAGTATTTCATAGTCCTAAATTCACACTACACCGGCACAGCTGCGTTCTGCGCCACAAGGTGCAGTACGCGCGACGCGCGCGCCAATCTCCATATAAGGGGTTGTTTACGACATGGACATACCATATTATAGCTAGATGGGAGTTTCAAAAATATGAAATAAAAACAATTGAACAAAATCGTTTGAAATTTATAATTTTTTACTTGATTTGACTTTGGAACCGAAAATTTTGTGTTTTTTTGACCGAAAAGGCTAATTGAATGGGATTCTTCTCGGGTAATTATCAGCATCCGGACTCCAACCGGTCTTGAACAGGGCGTTTAAAACCGACCAAGCACATATATATTCCCATGTTTACGATTCCGCGAACTGTATGATAATTTCACACAGAAGGCCAGGGACGGGTCGATCATTTTGTCTACGACTCAAGCTGCCTTAGTAATATGGCTTTTTATGTTATTTTCTCCACTTTTTTTTGTCACTCCGGTCCAGCCGTTTCCATGGGTTACTACGACGTCTTACGGCCGCACTGGAGCACGCCATCCTCCTACAAGATGAAGTTCTACCAGGTCCGCACCTTAATACAGTGCGGTGTCAAGTGCCTGAAGGATCCCTATTGCGTCAGTTTTAATTTCGCGGTAGAGCCCGACAACCAATCTTTGAAAAATTGTGAGCTTTTTTATGGGTATTATTCCGCGCAGCAACTGTTGTTTACTCCCAAGGTTCATTATTTCGTAATGAAAAAACCCCAAAAGAGCGAACTGGCATAAACAATTTTAAGCTTTGCTAAGAGTTGTACAAGGAATTGTGTATAAAATGAAGACCCTTTTTTTCAGAATATAGTATTCACACGCCAGTTCTTTGGCTGTGTACAAAGTCTATGGAGTATTGAGTGCATTTCAAAGTATTTTCTACCAAAACTGAAATGTTTCTCGGTCCCAAATTCATGTCTTTTCAACATTTTTGCAATGACTGACCTTCATTGAGGTAATACATGATGAATTCTTTCCTATCATTCCAAATCATGCATTTCCAACCGCTAGTTTGGACCCAAATGACAATAAAGCCTGAAAGTACGCCATTTTGTCTTTGAGCTTCGGGATCCCTCCGCCACCCTTCTATGGGCATTTTACACGGGGTTGCTCTTTCTCTTACTATAATTTGTTGACAGAATGATTTCTATAAATCGTAATCACCCCAAGAAATATTCATGTCGGAATTTTATCTAGGCATTCCATAAGAAAAAAATATAAGAATTCAGTTGGAGATGTTTAGAAACAAATTTTACTTAAGACCTTTCACATCCGGATTTTCGTACCTAGATCTCCTTGTTCGATCGAGTTTGTTTTCACATCGCGTACTTGCGTGAGAACGAAAATGACACCGACGCGAAGAATACCTACCTACATCCGATGGATTCTAGGTTTAGTCGGGCTTGCTTGAATACAGTTCGTAGCAACGGTCATTTAGATTTGTTTGTAAATGAGAATTAGTCCTTCAAGTTTATTCAAAAAAATTGTGTGTCCCAAAAGACATGTTAGTCTCCTATTTAAGTTTCAGTTTTAACATTATGACCGCCACGAAATTATTTCATAAATGTTCAACTGTGTACGAGTACACCAAGTTCCACTAGTCCACATGTATTTTAGATTTTCGGAAGTTGGAGGTCGATTTTTGGCACGATATTTCTCTTTCACGTCATGTGAGTTTCCATAAATTGAGATGCTAGTAACAATTTGACAAAGGCCTTTTCCGAGGGTGATTTTCTCAAGAAATCAATGTACCAAAAAAATAATTTTTAAAACTCCGACTTTTACACGCTGATTTTCCTATTCGAGAGGTCCGGAAGCGCGCCACCAGGGCTCAACGTTCAGGCTTTATTAAACGTGTATATAATAGTCTCGATGTACTAATTGTATGTTTGTAGTAGAATGTAAAATTATGAAACGCAACATTTCGTGAAACAATGCGACTTATTCAATATTATAATATGTCAAACCTTACTAAAAACAAGGTCGATGCTACAAAGGCTTCGAGAGAATCAAAATGCTTGTTTATTTATGGCTGTCTCACAAAACATCAAATAAACTACATTTGGATACTGACTAGGTTTATTTATAATCAATAAAATTAGATTTAAAAAAGAACTGAATCGAACGGATTTAGAACCTGCTACTTTCTAGAACACAAAGCATTATTAGACATTCACAGAAATAGACTAAAATTCATCAATAAAATATGAAAATAGTCGTGGATTTTGTGGAGTTACTTCGAATAAATAAAGAGCATAAATAAAAACGATCACGTGTTGTACTTGTACCCTTCATTACCTAGAACGATGACGTTAATCTATATTTAAACACTGAAATACGGAGCTAATTTGGAAATAATTGCACTTACGGTTTGCACTGTATCAAGTTCCCACTGAACATTGAAAATTACTATTGACAAATACAATAATCAAAAGTTTAAACAAAATTCATGAATATGTAAGACAGTTTACCCATTCCTATTGGTCGAAAGCCTGTCACGTGGTTTTAAACGGTTGATAAAACACTGACTGGTTTGAAACACTTTTTTCCCGGTGTCACATGAAATGTGGACTCCTATGAAATCTGGTCCATTTTACCCTTTTACTGGTTGAACCTTCACATGTGACTAGTCACTCTCCTAATTATCTTACTTACGCATGCGCAGTACTACCAATTAGTCCGTATTTCATGGAGTCCTAAATTCACACTACCAGGCACCGCTGCGTTCTGCGCCACATCGCTATATAAGGAATTCTTGGTACTACTCACGCGAGGCACATACCATAAACATAGCTAGAGGGATATGTTTCACAAAACACGAAGTATAATTGTTGAACAAAATCGTTGAATATTTATACTTTGTGACTTATTTTGACTTTTTGACCGAAAGGTATTTTTGAATGGGATAAATATGTGATTGGACGGTATTAAACAAGTACGTTTAAAACCGGCAGGGGGCCTGGTCGCCGATAACGGCCCGAGCAGAAGGCGAAGGCCATTATCGTAGTCAAGGCCCCTAGCCTGTTTTAAACGTACTTGTTTGAAACCGGCCCAGCACATATTATTGCCTTATTCTTTCATCGATTATTCATAAAATTTTGAATCGATTACATTTAAATTTGATAATCGATTATTCATTAAAAATTCGAAATCGATAAGTCGTACAGTTGGTAATCGATTATTTGTAAATTCATTATCGACTGAATGCGAGAGTAATATAGTTACATGTTCTTTTCCATAGACTCGGTGAGGTCGAAGGGGTCATTGACCTCATGAACGTCCACCATCCTAATAGCCTGCTGGGTGGGCGTGGGGATGGGCGTGGCTTTGGGCGGGGCCATGGGCGTGGCTCCGCGATATCGCTCGATGGACTTGGGTCTGGGTACCGTGACCTGCTTGGTCGACAACAGCGCAGCCAAGTCGTGAACTGAATTATTTCTGAAAAGATTAAAGATTAAAAACTAGGTTGTGGTCGAGTCGTCACTGGTCAATCGCAAGTCCATTACTATGGAACGCCATAACTGCATTCAATCGTTCATATCACTCCATTTTTCAGACTCATCATTTTATTCGTCAGACTCATTTTATTCGGCATACTCATCATTCCATTCGGCACACTCATCATTCCATTCGGCACACTCATCATTCCATTCGGCAAACTCATCATGCCATTCGGCAAACTCATCATTCCACTCGGCAAACTTATCATGCCATTCGGCACACTCTTTATTCCATTCGGCACATTTATCATTCCATTCGGCAAAGTCATCATTCCATTCGGCAGACTCATCATGCCATTCGGCGAATTCATCACTCCTTTCAGTGAAATCAATATTTCATTCCGCAAAATCATCATTTTTATTCGGCGAATTCATCAGGATGACTTCGCCTAGTGCAACGAAGAATTTGCCGAATGAAATGATAAAATCGCCAAATGGAAAGGTGAATTTTGCAGAATGCAATTATGAATTCACAGAATGAGGCGATAAAATGGACGAAGGGGAATGATAAATTGCGGAATAGAACGGTGAATTCGCCAGAACAGAATGAGGAATTCCAAGCAAAAAAAAAAATGATAACATTGCCGAATGGAATGGTGAATTTGCCGAATGGAATGATCAATCTGACGAATCAAAATTAATGATAGCGAACTATCGAAGGCAGCTTTGGCGCTCCATACCACACAAGTTACTCAGACTCAAGTCGAATGACAAGTTATTACATAATAATGAACTGTGACAAATGCTTTCCTTTGTCGTTGTTCATTTGCATTTCTTCAAACTAACTTACGATTGACAAGTTATTTGACTGGTGATGGACTTTTCTGCAACTGTGTGACGCGGTGTTAAGATAACACTTCTGATATCCATGCTGAATTATTTCGTGGAACTATTTTAAAAAACCAATCCCAAAAATTGCTGAGAATGTTCCGTTTACAGTCAATTTGCTTAATCATGTTCGTGATTGTCTATTTTCAATTTGTTTAAATCTATATGTACAACTCAGTGTAATTGTGAGAGTTACTCAGAAATTGAAGGGGAAAAAATCGTGAATCTTACTTCTTTTTGCAAATGTAGTGAAGGACAAAAGCGGCAGGTATTCCCAGCAGAGCGATGCACACTCCCACGGGTGCCAGCCAAGTCAGCTTGCCTGCAGCCAATCAAAACCAAGCCATCATATGAGCACGTTTTTTTTTAATAAATCCGATTTTTTTTTTCGCTCTCCCATAAACACAACAGATATACACACGGATTTACACACATACTGGAATTTGTATCCTTGTGGGGTCATTTCTTTGTTCTCGTGCATTTAAGTTTTTGAGTTTGAAAGTGTAGTTTCAAAATGCTCCTATTTTAACCAGAGTTAATTTCCTGGGCTGAAATTCGGACTTCATTATCCCTTCATACATAAAATACTTCAATTTGCGGCTGATCAACACATCTTGGAAATTCCTAGTTTTTGAGTAAAATCCATATACATGTATATATTTCGTGATAACCTTGTGGAGACGTATTCATCAATAAAAATTGCTCTGTGGAGACGTATTCAGTTTTTTGTTCCCTATTATACCCATGTCTCCACAGGGTCATGGGTGGGTGTGTACACGAGCTTGTCGACGCAATGTCAACCAAAGCTGCAACATGCAACCCAAGTTTTCTCAAATTGTCTTGGTGTCCTCTTATAATTTTGCACGCAATATATACAGCAAATCCCCGTCGTGGATCTCGTCAAATCGTGCAGTACGGATATCGAACCGACTTATTCTAAAGAATAGCGGGAAACATCAGAATGATGCAATGTAATCCTATCAGTTGCGCTTAAATTGACTATAAAAATCAATAAAAAAAACAAGCTTGATCGGATCTCGAATTCGTGTTCATGCATGAGTCACGTGGTTGTGCCATGTAATTTCTGGAAGGAGTAGGGTTTTGAGTTTAAAAAAAAATCAGGTTGTTGACCCCAGTGACCCAATGATGACCTTTGACCCCAGTTTGGTCATGTGACATGTTGGGGCAGGGCTACTGATACTTTTGCCAAAGTTTGGTTGAAATCGGTCAACATATGTAGGAGCAATAGACAATATGTTAACGTTTGTTAACTGACTGACTAGCGAAGAGACATGACGATTTGTTGAGTTGCTATCCCGCAGCTAAAAATCGAAAATTACAATGGAACTCTGAATATTATATTCACTATGCTCATTGCAAAAATACAATCTAGTGCTCCTAATGCAGCACAATATTCATAGCCCCATAAATATTGTGTCCCACCATACTTACTTTTCGATTTCTGACCAGGCGTTTCTTCCAAATCATCGTCTCCGTCAACATCGTTTGGAGAGCTCATTGTTACACTGGGTTCCGGGGTCTCACGGTCGTCTGAAATGAAGAAATACAATCAGGAAAGCACATTTCGAGTCATAGCTGTTCGCGATAATCAACGAACAATAGGTGTAGTTAGAGAAAGTCAACCATTCTACACGTACCGGGTTCGCGGGTGGTATCGCCAGAATCAGCGCGCATTGTGTCGGCGGCGTCCATGGTAACGATGGTTGCCTCTCCCTCTCCGATGGTTTCCGGTGTTGGGTCAGGGGTCACACGACTGCCTGAAAGTGTCTGGGTGATGATGACCGCGGTTGATGATGACTGCCATGTCGTTCTATCTGCTGCCTCCTTCCTTGACGCCTCTGTAGTGTCTGTCGATTTGGTCACCCCTCGGGTACCAGTCTTTCCATTCTGCGTGGGTTTTACGGTGATGACGTCACCTCCAGGCTGCTTGGTATAACTGGTAGTTTGGTGGCTTTGTTGGTTGGTGACTGCTGCTGTCACGGCGCTAGTTGTAATAGTTTCTGCCCGATCTGAAATGAAGACGAAAAGAACCACTTCAAATATAATCTATCTTCGCTCTCTTAGTTTAGGGATAATTTACAGTTTTGCGCAGATTTTTAGGGTGAACAAAACAAACTGACATCAGCAGAATTTGAATGAACTTGCGACCTCTGGAACTGCCTAATAGACCTTTATCATGCTGCCACCATTTCAGTCATGTTCCCTGTATCCAATAGCAGTACTGAAAGATATTTTTTTTTGTGCAAAAAGGAACCAGACTATTTTTTTTCCAGCCTCGCTTTGGTTACGTTGAATTGAATGGGAAGAAAAATCAAGATGGCCGCAACATGATAATGGGCACATGATGGCGGTCTCCAAATTTGTTAGTGTCTTTGCTCAGGGGTATCGAAAGATTCGCGCCTCTTTGGGAAGAATCAGTCACCTAGTCTGTGTCTTGAGTGGAGGGCCTTAATACGGACGACTTGCTATGGTCAAAATGACTGTAAGCTGTGGTAAGCACTTACGCATAACTACTGTCAGGTCCTTCACAAGTTCCTGACCAGAGGACGTTGCGCGGCAAACTGCGATGGTAAAATTCTCCGAGTTGGAGTGCACTCGAAGTGTCGATCTCGTCACGCACTCGGTCACGTTGATAGTTGTCTGTTCGACAGATTGTGGAGAGCTAGAAGGGACTGTCGACTCTCCATTACCGCCTTTGAGTTCCCATTCGAGAATGGGGTTTGGGATCCCCCGGGCTCGGCATTCGAAACTGAGGGCGCTGTCTAGCGGAGGTTGTAATTGTCGGACCTCGGTGATTTCAAAAGAAACATCTGAATGTGAAGAAAACAATAGAGGTAAACTGATATAAGAACAGGGAAATCTGAATGACGTCATTCATTCAACACCTCTTTGATCATAAGTCAAGCAAGTGCCTCTACATCTGAAAACGAGCATAATTAAACATTGTTGGAGAAACTTACTCAGGGAGTTACAGGTCATTACATCCATGACCTGGGATGGGGTCATTGCGCCTGCGTACACCCTCAAGTCACTGAATGCCGCTTTAGAGAATCCGGACGAGGTGCTGGCAGCACCAACGACGAAGTTGACTTCACCGTCATTCTTCACTTCATTTTGGAAATCACGCGATTCCGCCGAAAGATTTCCGTTTACGTAGACCTGTTGAAGAAATTTTGAATTGGTAAAGATGGGGAAAAAAGCCTTTGGAATTCTCAATTGTGTTTGACTTTTCACGAAGAATAGTAATTTCAGAAATGAAAGAAAGATGGATACCTTTATTCCATCGTTGTGGTCAAATACCAAGGCCAGGTGAAACCACATCTCCTTCGATATTTTACTGTTGGGCACGACGGCTTCACCGACATATTTCGTAGATGTACGGAGCTTGAACCTGAACGACCAGTCAGAGGCAGATTGGTAAAACGCAATGCCATGCGCAGACGAACTATGACCTCCGGAGCTCAAAAAGAACCAATCAGAAGTCATCTGCACGGGGTCAAACGCCATGACCCAGAGGGCAAAGGTCAAGCCGCGCGAGCAAAGGTCGGGAGACGATACACACTCCCCGTCGAAGCTGCCGAGGTCCAGCGCGCTGTCGGTGTCACTCAAAACGGCGCATGCGTGATCTACGACGGCCGGGGCGTCTATGTATGTCATGTGACCTATGACACGTGACTTGTGATCGCCAATGGTCGACGGGAAGGTGTTTTCTGAGACGGACGAGCAAGAAGAAGGATCTGGATAGTTGAGGCTTGGCTCTCCGCTCAGCTTCCAAAACTCCAGCAAGGTAGGTTCAAGGCGTTCTGAAAAGTGAAGTAAGATACATGAATCAGATATACCATGCTTCTCCTGTACTCGTACTCATCCGTGATTACTCGATAAGCTGAACCATTCTTTAGCGGGATACAAAGAGGGGAATCATGATACTCAAAAACAAGTTTCGGGGAGTGAACAGATGTGCGTCAGCACTACTACAGATGGCGTCAAGCTTACCGAAAAGTGGCAGTATAGTCTCAACAGCAAGAACTATGCCGTCCCGTGCAAGACACACCAGAGTTTTGCTTGAATATTCAGTATAAGCGAAGTCGACAATCGTCAAGACAGACGACCAGTGGTTGGGATGAGATGCATTGACCAAGATGTCGACGGTTGGACCCTCTGTAAACGTAACAGCCGCAGAGGGACGTGTGCGATCCAACCACGCCCACTCTAGGTTGAAACCGGGTGGCGTGGGTTGACCGGGGGTGGCGCTACACTCCAGCCGAACGATTGTGTCGCTTGGGGAGTGCAGTGGTCGGAGATAGTCGATGCCAATATCTGTGGCTATGAGGAGGAAAAACTAGAATTTAAAAAATGAAGAAGAAAAAATAAAATTCCTTCCACACCACAAAAGGAAGGACAAGATTTAATCAATACCTTCCGTCTCTGGGCACCTGTAGCGCACCTCGAAGTCCGGGCAGGATCCGGTGTTATCCGCATGCTGACAGCGGAATCCATTCGCGTTACACAGATAGGGAACCTCAGGAATGTACCCGCTGGCTATGAGGTCTTGTTGGGTGGCCTTAAGGCGACACTCTGCACCTATGGGCTGGCTGCACAGATCAGGGTACGCCTTCAGAGTTGGAAATAAAGGTACATGAATCAATGAGTTGTGAATTAAGGTCTATAGTTTACTCAGGACCTTGGTGTAGGTTACTCAGGACCTTGGTATAGATTACCCATGAGCTTGACGTAGGTTATTCAGGACATTGGTATAGGTTACTTTTGTATAGGTTACTCAGGACCTTGTATAGGATATTCAGGACCTTGGTATAAGTTACTCAAGAACTTGTATAGGTCACTCAGGATCTTGATACAGGTTATTTAGGACCTTGGTATAGGTTACTCAGGACCTTGTTTAGGATATTCAGGACCTTGGTATAAGTTACTCAAGAACTTGTATAGGTCACTCAGGATCTTGATACAGGTTATTCAGGACCTTGGTATAGGTTACTCAGGACCTTGTATAATTAATCAGGACCTTGATATGATACGCAGGACCTCGATTTAGGTTACTCAGGACCTTGGTATTGGTTACTCAGAACCTTGATGTGATACAATTTGTTGAATGACTACCTAGTATCTTACCTGAGTCATGTGAGTAGCCAGCGTCTCATCTTCCATAGTTCCATCGGGGTCCGAGGCATCATACCATGGCGTCCAACGATAGTGAGCTGCTCAGGATAACCGAAAAAATACTTATCATTTTAGAGCAGACAGGGGAAGTACTTAATCCTGATGACTTCATGGAAACAACTCACGAAGTATACATATTTTAACCGAAAGACGTAAAACCTACGTATGATAATGAACAGGTCTTCCATGCCATACATATTGATGTGGTCTCCCATCCAAGTACTGCTGCTTTCAACGTTGCTTAACTGAGATAACTGTCAATCGCTTTTCAATTTGGAAAATTGTCGGAGACTACCCAACCGGGTTAAGAATTAACACTTACGTTCAGGGCACTGGTAGCGAACCTTGTAGTCAAAGCATGAGTTGTCATGTTCTGCGCCCTGATCGGCACCCAAGCACTCCAACCCGGAGGACAACGTGCAGTTGATGTTCAGTATCTGCCCAGTCTCATTGGACGAGATGCCGTCATAAACTGTACGGCACTGGATGTCGCTGGGGTATTTGCAGGGAAGATCATATGCCTGGAAATATCCGGATGAAGAGAGGGAGGGACGAATTAATGATGAAAGAGGTACAGGTGATTTCTGGTGCAATAAAATGAACCTTTCCGTGACCAGATCAAAGCCTGGCTAGGCCTTTTTGTACCTGTTGATGCTGGATCAGCGTTTCTCTGTCATCCCCATCCAATGGGCTATCAGCGCTCAGCCACGGCGTCCAGAACATGGCACCTGTATAAGAAAACATTGAGAGTGTGTATAGTGCAGTAGTAGTGATTGTTAATTTTTTTCAGCAAAACTATTTGCGATTTTGACCCAAACGACTACCTACGTTTGGGAATGGTTATCGCCTTGGACACATGTCCTCCACGGGCAGTATCTACTGCCTCACACACGAAAACGACGTCAGATGCCAAGGTGAGATGGCGAACCACCAAGACGGATCGTCTCCTGTAGCTGTTGGGCAAACTCTCGTAGATGGCCACATCCACCGAGGGAGAAACCGACTCGAAGTAGGTACCGTCGTCCGAGCGATGCCAGGCGATTGCCGGCGGACTGCCGGCCTTGGCCAGGCACTCCAACTCGACTCCAAAGCTGTCCTCGTGACTGTGCTTCCTCAGGTAGTGGATGAGTAGCTTCGATTCTGAACAAATTGGGATTATAATGAATTATTGCAAAAGGCAAAACGAACGGGTCGAAATGAGGAAGGAATTGCCAAGGTTTCTACTGCCTAAAATTCAACAACTTAACATTGAATGCTTCGAGTGGTGTAGTAAAACTAGCCTCCCAAGGTGATCCATGGACATTCTATTTTCCCGAGGCGAATGCTCCATGGATCACCGAGGGAGGCTAGTTTTACTTCACCACGAGATAAAGCATTCAATATTTGTTTTATAACACTTCGCCCACAGATTCTGCTTGGTTATAATAAACTTCAATTTCAATGCAAAACTGGAGGAGAATGTGACTCGCTCTCGGCCAATCAAGACAAAGAATCTGTGGGTGAGGTGTTATAAATGCAGACATTACTAGTGCCAAAGTGACGTAAAAATATTGCTTATTCGCTAACAAACCCTCAAGGATAAATTGGCTTGTGAACTGGCACTTACCCGAGGTTTCTTGAAGATATTCGTTTTGCACTTCTGTACCGCTGAAGTATTTGTAAAACATTTTGAAATTGCTGAAGTCTCCATCGATTTTCGCAAACGGCCACGTACTTGGATTGTTGTTTCTCGAAAACATGACGACGTTGTCGAAGTGCGAAGTACCGGGACCCTCATTAAAAGTTACGTTGGTAGAGTCAACAAAGGTGCCGTTCTTGTAGTACTTTGTTCCGACTGCTGGCTCGAAGGTGAAGGAATGATGAGTCCACTGATCACCTGGATAGTAGCCGTTGACCCAAAGTTTAAAAACCGAAGCCGAGGAGGGGAATCCACGAACATCCAAAGCAAAATAGTCGACAGCATAAAGTAGTAATCCCCTTGCCTTCGAAGCTTGACCACCAGTGGAAAGTATAATAGAAATGTAACCCAAGCCCGCGGGCGTTCTATTCCTCATCCAAAATGTTACGGTAAACCCCGAGGTGCAGCAGGCGGGCTCCGCGATGCACTTGTCGTTTCCAGAGCCGTAATCCACCCAGCCCGACTTCTGGTTCCTGACGGCACACAGATGATCAGACGAGTCGAAACTGTCGGTGGCAGTAAGGACGCCACCGACGGTTCCCGTCATGCCACCAGTATTAGGGTAGATGGACGAGAGAGCGCCACCACAGGTCACAGGTTCATCTGCGTCAATCGATGCCTTAGTGCTCATGTCCCAGTGAAAATGTGGCTCGGGAAGGGCATCTTAAAATAAACGAACAAAGATCATATATCAAGTTAACTTAATCGCTATCTTTTGAAAAGCGACCATCAGGATAACAAGTGTCTCAAAGACGACGGTGACCAGCATTTAGTTCGTTTGAACTGCAGCCCTCTTTGAGGTTGAGGTGTGTGCAATGCTCAAGAGGAATAGGTTCACTTTAAAAAGTCCCGAATCAGATTTGATCCGGAAAAGGGTGAGGTGGGGCCTGACCCTTTTCCAGGTCAAAAAATCACTTTTCTTGGTCAAAATCACACTATGTTACTCATCTTCCTGGTCATTTTTGACCCAGAATAGGGTCTTTTTTGACCCGGAAAAGGGTCAGGCCCCACGTGACCCTTTTCCGGGTCAAATCTGACCTGGGACTTTTTAGAGTGTATGAGCAGAACTCTTGTGCATTCATTGTAAATGTATTAACATACCAATAAACCAGTAGCGCATCCAGCTTTTTCTTTTTGGGGGGGGGGGGGGGGAGGGGGATGCAAACGACGTCCGAACCGTTCAAAAACATCTTAAAATACTGTTGTGTTATGTTTTATGATGTCATCAAATGCCACAAAGGGGGAAGTTGCGCCCCCCCCTTCGCTACGCCTCTCAGTGCTGAAGGATTTTGAGATGACGTGTAAATGGCATTCGACTAGCGCGCATGCGCAACAACGTATCACGAATACAACTTGTCAATCGAGTTCCCATGCCGACCGAATGAACGGAAATCAAAAACGTTTGATATTCCATATAGGCTATATGCCTCCTCTATGCAGTACGCTCTATACTGTTTCCACGAGAACTTTTAGAAGGAAACGAATGATCGTGTTAATATGTTGTACTCACCGACAGGGGTCGGGCACAGGAATCGGACTTCGTAGTCCAGGCATCTCACGAAGCCGGCTTGGTCAGCATCTCGGCACAACAACCCTCCGGTAGGAGAACAGCCAGTGGACAGCGTCTGGGCAGCAGTCACGTGATCGGTGTGCAGGAATCGAAGCCGGCAGTCGGCTTGGGTGGGAGTGGCGCAGATTGAGGGATGCACCTGATGTACGCAAGACATAAAAACAATGAGAGATATCTTAAGTTAACAAATGAGATCAACTAAAAGCTACATGAGACCATTTTGAGGTCATGTTTGGGGTGGAATTTACAATTTTTGAAGATTTATGATTTTCTGAATCATTGACTTAAAATCCTACAACCTCCCAAAATGTATACAATCCATCAAGCAGAAGTGTGGTTTTTTTAACATATATGCGTGTTAATCTCATAATTTGGTACTCAGGATTGTATCACTTCATCCTTCCTTTCTTCAAGAAGGCGAGATGGTGTCTCGTAAGGCGTGATATGGTCTCAGTACCTATTAAATATCATTTTGAAGCTGAAACCTCCGGATTTTCCAAAAGCTAAACAAAAACGCCTTTGTCAACTTCATCCGGAGACGTGGGAGCAGATCTCATCAGGCACGGTTCTAGAGCCTATGTTCTGGGGGGGGGGGCTCTAGCAGGGTGGATCCAGTAATTTGTGCAGGGAGGCGTGCTGAAATGTAGACCTTTTTTCTCCAGACACTCAGGCCTCCGAAAATCAAAAGAAGAGGGGAGGGGGGGGGGGGGGGCTGTACCATATTTTCAATGGGGAGCGCTGATAAAATTCTACTATCATGCACACTGTATCACCTTATAGTGTACAAATCCCCGTTCTTACAACTATTTTTTTAGGGGACACCGTTCGCAAGTGACGTCACCTTCTAACATTTGCTACTGCCGTTTTTTATGGAATTTATTTTGGGGGGATAGACAAAACTTTAGGAGGGCTAAAGCCCCCCCCTAGGCCCTCCCCCTCCCCCCCCCCCTCCCCCCCGATAACCGCTCCTGGATCTCATATATAATCTGAGCTGCGGACAAGTTGAGCATGGGCAGAAAAAGTTGTAATTATGTTAAAATACAAGAGGATGAGCCAAAAGGGCGGAATTTGTGACATGACATGTGGACAGACGGACAGACAGAGGCAGAGACAAACTAACCGCTCTGACTGCTGCGAGTGTTTCGTCATCCGTACCATCAGTCGGATCGTCAGCGTTGTACCATGCTGTCCAGGTCGTGGGTGGTACAATCGGAGGCATAGGTGATTCTGAGCAGCAAAGGGTGACAGAATTTGAATCAGGATAGTGCATTGTATTTCGATTTAGAGAAAGGTTCGGTACAGTCGTTGCACTGGAAGTTATAAAAGGCTTCGGTGGGCAGGCATGCGCGTAGTAGGCGCGACGAATTGATTGTGTTTTTACCCCAGACACCGCATACAAAAACAAACGCTAATGTAACGTACAGGCAGGCACCAGACTATTCCTCATTTGCATACGTGGGTAAAATTTTGCACATGCAAATGATCCAATACCAGGGTGAGAGAGCAGGTCGCGTACTGCTCGACACCCTGGGGACGAGGTTGGGAGACAATTGACAAAACAAAACCGAAATGACAACACAACAATTATAAATATTATATACAAGAGATGAATGTAAATATTGAGGGATAAAACAACATAGATAATAACATAAATAAATAACTCATGCAACTTGTCAAAAATCAAAACTAGTCAAAAATTAACCAAAAAAGGAACGTCAAATAGTTTTGAAACATTTTGAGAGGAGTAGAAAGTTGCACAGAATATGTTCCTAAGAAAAATTCATTGCATGGATCCTCTAAAGGGAATGTACAACATTTGCTTTTGCTGCAATTTTCCCAAATAAATGGATTTGGAGGATTAGTATGTTATAGCAAATAATTGTTCAACTGACTTGTTTCACTTTTTGGGCTTGACAATTGTAGATGCTGGAAAACCAAGAAAACCAATCATGTTCTTGTAGTCTGGTTCCCAGACCACACTTAAGATGAAACAGAGCAATTTATAGACTTTAGAGAATTGTAAGGTCATAGAATCAGTCTAGCAGGCTTGTACTCCTTCACAGGTATGTAATCAAGTGCAAAAAAATGCGGAATATCTAAATTTGAAAAATAAGGAGCATTTTTAAAAAAAACACCAGTTTTCTCCAACGCTGGTCGGCCGACCAGCATTGGAAAAACACAACTTTTCTTAAAAATATCAGCACACCAGGAGCTACGATTTTACAGGATGCTTTTAGACTGTCATTTCCTAACGATCCAGTAAGGTATTTTGTGATAATGTGATAATTTCGTTTTATGATGTTTCCAAATGTTGTATCTTCCCTTTAAAGGTGGGTTCTGCTGGTATCATACTCTGATCAGTATAAAGCCGCCCTCAGGTCGACCTTGCGACGACACAGATCAGTCGGCGACTGACTTTTCAGGATCAAAATGCGTCTGAGCTACGACCGTCGGGAACATTTCAGCCGCCGATTTTTTGCGACCTGAGTCGGTGCTCAACAAAATAAACAGTCGCAAGAGTAGAACATTTCAACTTCTACGACGACGTCGCGATCGTGCGCGTATCAAGCCATCTGTTTTCAAATGTGTAGCCAATCAGCACCAACACCGGCGCTCCGCGTTCCGCGCACCATCACGCAATACGCACCACGCGCGCTTCAATCATGCATATAGACCGCTTGCAGATGCGTTCGATAATCGACGCGCGAAGGCGCGCGACGCCATGTTGTGGGACAAGCGTATATCTATCTATGCACATTTTGTCCCATAACATGGCGTCGTGCACCTTCGCGCGTCAATTATCGATCGCGTCTGCAAGCGGTCTATTAAGGAGATAGTTTACTACTACTCGCGAGAGGATATTCCATACCATAGCTAGAGGGGTGTTAAGTAAAAAAGGAAGTAAAACTGTTCAACAAAATCGTTGGATAATTTTTGACTAGTGTGTCGGCTTTTGACTCAAAAAAGTATTTGTGAATGGGAATATTACAAGTATCAGGGGAATGCGCTGATAATAGCTCGAGCCGAACCGACTAAGCACATAATTATTCCCTTATTGTCAAAGAAGCCACATAGACTGTCTATACTGTGGAATCGTGGTGGATCGTCGCGTCTTGGGTGACATAATGAGCATGGTTGAGATTATTTTGCGTCGGGATGCCGCTTGTTTTAAGAGAATCACACGATTTCTCAGTTTTAATGTTGTGACCTGAGTATTATTTTTCTGTTTGATGCCGAAGGTTCCGTCGTGACGCAAGCAAATCGCAGGTCGACCTGAGGCCGGCTTAAATAAAAATTTAAAAAAAACCGGTTTGACTCACCGTCGACGCACTGACCGCAGGTATACTCCCCGCCCAGCAGAAACACCTGCAATAAATACAGATGGACATGAAACAAAAACTTCGTTATCATTGATCAAAAGGAATTGTATTACATTTTTTTTTGGGGGGGGGGAAGACTTAAGTTAGTATGTTTGAATTAACGGATACAATTTTGTGTATAGAATCTGAGTTTAAAGAAACAAACACAAACTGCGTGATAAATTTATCCGAAAGTTATTGAATTTTAAAAAAAATTATGGAAAAAATGGGGAATTTGACTCTGAAATTCAGCACAATTATTTAAAACCCATCATTTAAATGTTGACTTAACATCAGAAATTGTCAGTAATTGTCAATGGCGCTGGCAATGTGGTTAAATGACCCCAGCCGGAATTTTATGACGGACGGTGCTCCTCTTATTGGACTCAAAATGGCGTCCAAAATCGGTACACCTCATGTCGCAGCTTTCTCTATGTACGTCTCTTTGTTTCACATCGCAGATTGGCTAAAAAAAAAAGGATATATTGTTGATGTACCCTAACGTGGCGCGGCCCCCAACGTGGCGCACTTTGATTTTTCGCCTGTAGCGCCTACCTAGAGCAAAAGTTGTAACTGAAATTTCACAGAAAGTAAAATTTCATCAAGTTCTAAACACTCCTGTTCATACACGTAACCAAGTTAGAAGAAACATTTATTTTGGAGTGATTTTCCGATTTTATTTTCAAGTGCAAATTAGTGAACCCTTTGATGCCCCGAAAAATAAGAAAATAGTTTTCTGACAAACATCTGGCTGGGTATGTAAGTAGAGATAATAATTGTTTATCAGAATTTATCAAGTTTACAGAAATTCTTAAATGTTAATTTGGAATTGTCCCGAGATTTATTCCAGTGCGCCACGTTAGGGAACACTCCGCCAATTTGTGCCCAATTTCCGGACGCCACCGTTTTTGAATTTCGGATAGAATTTTATGAAACCGAAATTGTTCACAGAGGTTAAATAGCAAGCATTAATAAGGTAAAAGTACTAGTATTTTACTGCATGAATTTGAGGTTTGTCAACAAAGACGTTTGGCAACACTCCACGAGGAAAGTCGGGTAAGCTTCGAAGTGCGCCACGTTAGGGGACACGACTATACATGTATACTCACGACTAAAAACAAAGCGAGCCGTCCGCGCATCTTTCCAAAGTTTGAAATATCATGGAAACTCAAGAAAGCCATTGCATTCATAAGATCAGATCGGTCATGTTCGGCGACACTTAGTTAGGATATACACCCAGTCAGCTCTTCGAATTTGGCGGAGAATGAATTGACTGATGTTCACAATTCTGTGGTCACTGTTATATTGTAGACAATGCACTTATTTAACAGCATCCACAGACTCTTAACGTAGACGCTGGATGAAAATCTGAGCGGTATACGTTTTATTGAATGCGCGTATTTTCGATTTATTTTTAGGTGAACGGACAGAAAAAAAACGGAGAGGGTCGAGCCCGCGATGTTTAGAAACCCTAATTCATGATCAATGTTTGCCCCGGCGAGGAAATTAGAAAGCTCAGCGTTCAATATATTCAGATGTTTTGTGTGTCAGCTCTGTGTTTTTTTTTGTTCGTACAATCGGTTACCATGTAAACCGAACTAATATATCGAAACTTGTTTTGGTTCTCTTAATTTCAATGCTTGTTCAGAACTTTTTAAGCTCTGGCAACAGAGCTTCTACAAGTCATTCGGGTGTCGGTCGGTCGATCGGTCAGTCGGTCGGTGTCCACCACCCCCCCCCCCCCGAAAAGAACCAAAAGCGAACCCCTAAATCATCCATAAAACTGTAAGTACCAAATTCTAACTGTCAAAAAAAACCAATATATTAAATACTTAACAAAAATTGTTTGTAACAATTCGTGACATTGTTTATGATTTATTTTTTAAATAGAGGCAAGATAATGTGTGGTAAGGTAATATATATCGTGGTGTATACACGCGCCATAAACTTGAAGGGCTATCCGCTCCGTTCACAAGTACCTCCTCATCGGCATAGCAAGTACAGTTGGGGGTGACCGACCGACGCCATCTTGCCTGACAGCAATTCATTTGCCGCAGAGCGCGGCCACTGCGTGTACATAGTACAGATCCCCTGTTGTACGTGCGTCACACACAAGGAACGGTGCGCGTCAACCAGCGAAATGTCCCGCCCATGGGACGCCGTTGCTAGGTAAAAGGGCGCCCTCTTTCGTCGGCGCACGGCGCCCATACTATGGGGATTCTTCATTGGTTCCCTAACAGACCGCGTCGCAATCATTTTGGGCACTTGCACATCCGTTGTGAAATGTCGACAGGTTTTTTTCTCCGGACACTTGGCCTCCGTAAAATCAAAAAGCGGAGGGGGGGGGGGGGGCATCTGTCGATGGGGGCGTTGTTCAAAACCGACAATTATGCATACAAAGGGCATTATGTGCTTTCCAGGGCGATACATGTGCGAAATTCTGAAAAAGGCACCCACAACGGCAGATGCCACAAAAAAGGGCACCACTTCTTTTTTGAAAAGGGCACTTGTTCAGAAAAAAAGGGCACTTCGTAAAAAAAGGGCACTCTTTACAAATTATTGGGGGGGGGGGGGGTTTAAGCCCGTTGAAAAAGGGCATTTTGAATGGAAAAAGGCAGTCTTTATGTGATCACGTACTACTTGATCCAGGGAAACCTCGATTTACAGCGTTTAATATAATTCAGTTTTATCCGAAGGGGCGGATCCATGCAGGTTTGGATCGGGGGGACCTGTCAATGAAGATATTTGCTGTGAGCTTTCTGTACGATTTTCCTACTTTTAGTCGGCCACGAGAGGGGATTAAACCCCTTAACTCCCCCCCCCCCCCCCCAACAACCCCCTAACCCACTTAACCCCCCCCCCCCCCCCCCCCCCCCCCCCCCCCCCCGCCCCCACCCCCCCCCCCCCCCCACCCCCCCTCATCCCCAGCCCCCATCGCCCCTCACTGTCGATCTGCCACTGGTAACATGATACGGATTAAGTAAGAATGATCGTTTCGCTAAATTTTACTGGATTCAAAGCCGACTGCACAGGGGATCGGACGGAAAACGCCAATTCTCCCGCAAACTGAGTGAAACTAAGCAGTCGACATGCAGATGGACTTGAACAAGTTTACGGACTTACGCACCTTATAATGATATTACCGCAAGGCCAGTGATAACACAAACCGAACGGAAATACTCGGCATGTTTGCTCGCAACAATCAGAACGTTCAATCAACAACAAGAACCGTCACCCAACGCAGCTGCTTTACTTTCGCGTGTCAACACAGGCACAAGCTCGAACCCAGTCACATCAGGTTGGAAATGCATGGGAACTTAGTTATAGGACCGTGAATTCGATATTTCCGGCAAAACTTTGAGATTCGCAACCTGTGTTTGTATACCAGGCCTGTGCGACTAGTGTTACTCCCTGGTCATTACTGGCCATTACCTGTTTAGATACACAATGCGTGGCGTGAGGGCAGAACCATACCGGACAAACGTTTGGAATTCTCTGTAGACATCCATGGGTGAGTATACTATAAACTCCATGCATGGAGGTTGAATAATACTGTGACCTCCATGCTCTGTAACTGCAATACTGGTGAAAGCCGAATTGATATGTAAATATGCGTATTGCCATCTGGTGGCGCTTGCAATGAGGATTTGGTTTCGCATGAATATCTGCACAAAGTTGTGTACGGCGCGGCGATCGTTTTACGAGAATGGTAATTACAAATTTTACAAGTGCCACTTACCGTTTGACGTGAAAGATCCTATTATATACTTGGCAATTATATTCAACGGTAATGCTGCAAATAACAGAGAAAGGGGACGGGTGCATACGGTTTCATGGTCAAAGAGAATTAGTGCCCAAATTGCGGATCATGAAATAGAATGTCAGTCACGTTCACCAAATGTAAACAAAGTTTGTGGATGGAGATTTTGTCGAGAGTATTTCAATTGTTGTTTTAGTGTCCCAAACTTAAGTGTGTGTGTAGTTTTTTTCTTAACAAACTTGCAATAATGACTCAGCCTGGTGGCGACCACCTCTGTGATAATTATCGTGAATAAAGTGCCAGGGAATTTTTGTTTTACGTGTACAATTCCTAAACATCAATGTTCAATGGCTAAACAGTATCCATCAACTACTCTAAACATGTCTTTAGTATTTAAACATATTTACAAAGTGATAACAGTATGAAGGTGCTTGGGAAAGTGTTTAATTGCCAAACACAGTTTTGGCAGTGTGTAGTTTTATAATAAATTTGAGATTTCAATCAGGATTAACTCGATCCTGAACAGCGACGGGTTGAAACATGGCACGTCAAGTTTTTTAAAGGAACAATGTACATTGAAAAGAGCTGTTTACTAAGGTGGAAATTGGTGCTTCATCTTGTTTTGCGCTCCTAGTTCTTGTGTTGGGATAAGTAAAGTTAAATCTGTTCGAAAGTGTTTTCACTGATTACGTAACCCACGGACCATTTACACATTAATGGTGCGTGCGTAACCGAACACAATGAAACATCACTATACACTGACTGAGCCAAATAACCGGGACCGTAGATTGGTGAATATCCAGATTCGTTTGCGCAACGGAGGTACGGGTACGGGGAGGTACGGGTAACTTTTTAAGTTGAGTCAATTTGAAGAAGAAAAAAAGCATTGTTAATTTCCATATCATTAATAGAACTGCAACCTTGAAGAAAATCTAAGAGCCTGCTGACTTGCTTGTTGGACGTGCCGACGGTTGTGATTCACAGGAAGGACATAATTTAAACATACAACTTTATGTAGACATTCTCAGAATTGTCATTTCACATGTCGTGACATGTCTCGATTATTAATCCCGTCCATTTAGTGCAAAGTTGTCTGTTGATCATGTACTTTAACGCATGCACGAAGGTGCCAATAGAAAAAGCTGGCATTGGTACTTATAGGAAATCACATGAATGGGGAGCTATAGTCTTGTATATTACAGAGCAGTTAGGCTACCCAGGCCGCATGATACGAGGGAAGGTTGCGAGGGAGATGCCATTTTTACGAAACACTCAGACCTTCACGCCTCGAGTAATATGTATTCAACGAATTGCACTTGTCGGGCATGCATTAATAAGCATCGGGTGCATACCTATGTTCCCCAATACCGATGTTCCCCGAAATCCTTACCCTATAACCCTAACCCTAACCCTAATCCTAAGGATCTCGGGGAACATCGGTATTGGGGAACATCGGTATTGGGGAACATCGGGTAGACCCCATAAGCATCATACGCAGGGCTTGACAGTACGAGGAAGCAATCACTGCGAAAGAAATTTCATTAAAAGAAAAGTCGGTGCGCGCGACGAAACCTGACGGGCGAATAGGTTCTCCACATACTCGATTTTAATATCTGGGGTAAAAAAAAAAACCACCCAGATCATCATCTACAACTGAGAAAGTCAACTTTCCACGAATTTATTCCCAGTCAGCTATGAAAAAATAAACACGTCGAGTGACCACATAGTAGTGCCTTCCTTGATCGTCGTCATTGATAATACATCGGCATTTTCTACCCGTGGTCTCACGCAGACACGGGCCAAAGATCACAGGGAAATGTCAACAAATGATGACGTCAAAGTGTTTGTACTCGGTTGAATCGCAGACTGTCACGTTGCAAGTCTGCCTCGTCTACACGTACAGCCTTTGAACTTTTCTTTGTAATGCACTTGTACACTAGGTTGGACCGTACGTGTTACTTTTCGGAACCCTACATGCACTGCAAGTGCAATGCACCGGCCCCATGGCATAATGTATTCGGATTTTGTACAATGGAGGTATCTTTTGAGTATGTGTACTTGATACAAAAATATCTGGACTCTGGACTCGCATTCTTGTTAAACCTTTTCACAACAGTAAACAACAACGACCGAGCGGGCGTACTATATTCGGAAATTGGGACAAGTGGATCAAGAGCCGGCCTACTCAAGTCATTGTCATACAAGGCAGCCGACGAGGAAGTGACCCATTTTCTAGCCATTATTAAGTGACCCATTATCTACATAGTAAGATTTCGCACTGCCAATGGTTGCCCGGTGAAATAGCCACACAAATGGGTGATTCTTTTACACTAGTCCTGACTGATCGTCGGAAATCACCTACATTTCTTGATTTCTTTTGAACCACAGCCAGCCAGTCGGAATAATTTCTCGAGGAGTCTATAGTACCATCTTTAATCCAGGTAAGCTTTTTGATAATAATTTAGTAGGTTCTGGTTCTGGTTCTGTCGGTAAAATTCACTTAAGAATATCACACCAACTTTAGACCTTCACCCTTGCAGCCTCATACTGTATGTATGACGAAAACTGCCAGAAACACCGGGGCGAACCCCATCTCTTAGCGATAGGTGTTTGCTGGGTTCTTTTACGTGCATTATACAACACACGGTACCTAGTACAGCTTTACATCCCATCCGAAGGACGAAGCAATAATGGTCAAGTGCCTTGCTCAAGGGCACAAGTGTCCAGGCCCGGGCTTGAACCCACACCACTGTTGCCTCTGAAACACCAGAGCATGAGTCCAGTGTTCAAGTGCCTTGCTCAAGGGCACAAGTGTCCGGGCCCGGGCTTGAACCCACGCCACTATTGTCTCACCCCCCAAAAATGCAAATGTCATGCCTTTCCCCGGCCTCGGGAACAGAAACTGAACGGCCAATTGTCTGGGTACCAAGTTGCTCATCATTTTGGAAGTGTCTTTTACTTTTTTTTTGCGTTTGCAGTTAACCGTTTTGCACCATGGAAAAAGATCGCAAAACGCGCCGGCCCGGCCACGGGAAAGACTCGGCTGCGACTAGGCTTGACTACCAGCCGCCCGATGGGGGCTGGGGCTGGCTGGTCGCTCTCGGCTCCTTCACGGAGATGTTCCTGACTATGGGCACGCTGCTGTGTAGCGGAGTCTACTTCACTGCCATCCAGCTTGAGTTTGAGGTCAGCAGTGCCGAGCTTGGATGGATCATAAGTTCAGGGTCGACATTGCTTTCTGCGACATGTGAGTGTTGGCTTCTTAATACCCTAACATACCCTTTTTAAAGATTACAAATAGACACTCTGCTGGCATTTATAGATCTGACGAGTTATGGAAGAAAACCATTTATTGAACCAAACATTCCCTACCATACTCCCCACTCTACTTTGTCGTGTCAAACATTGTTTAGCTAATGTGTTCAAAGTAAAGTTTTATTTGAAAAGCCTGGAAAAACAAGCGGGACTACCCTAACCCTATTTTGGCTAGAAACCCTGCCATAAAGCAGCAACATGCATCATTTGTCAACAGACAAACCCAAGCAGGAATACACACTCCAGGTATATAGGAGGAACATGCAGTAAATGTGAACTTGTCTTGCTGGGCTGCTAGAACTATATAAACTATACGAGGCTTGACCATGTGGCAGATTATATAGGGGAACTCGTGGGCTGAAATACACCAACAGGGGGAAACACTACCAAGAAAGGGGAGTGAACATTCATTTATTTTTATTTTATCTCTTTCTGGTATTGAAACCAAGGATTCCTCAAAAGTACCCTAAGCACTGTAGCTCGAAAGCCTGAAGAAACCTGTAGAGAGAAGACAGTGAGAAGAAATTACAGTTTTAGAGGTGGGAGGAAAAGCCCAGAGTAATATTCTGAGGGAAACCCACAGAATCAGGTAGGGACTGAAAGCCCACTCCACATATTGGCCCGGCCGGGATTCAAACCCGGGTCACAGCGGTGGAAGGCGAGGAAAGTACCGCAACGCCAACCTGACTCCCAACATGTAAACTAAGACTAAAGTTGTTTTCTTTTGCTGAGTGGACTTACTCCCAATAAATACACTAAGGCCAAAAAAAAAAGTCTCCGGTTTCTGGTATGCGCGCGCGTCGCCGTAGCCATGCGCGTCGGCAAAATGAAAAAGGTTTTTTTTCAATGAAAGATGATGTCTCAAAACCGCCAAACTCCCTGGTTTGACTGGAATCCTGCTGCTGCACAATTTTAACGTGTTTTTAGATTGGGTTATGGTCGAGAATAAGCTTTATGTGGCCTTTCTGGACTCCCATATATTTGCACTAAGTTTAGTCGGGCACCATTTGCAGTCATCAGCACACATTTGAAGCAAAAAAATCAGGTAAAAAAAAAAAAAAAAGCCGCGTCGCCGCACCACTTTTTGGGCAAGCTCCATACCAGAAACCGGAGACTTTTTTTTTTGGCCTAATGCTGTACACAATGAAACTGTACTCCACCCTGCACATGACCAGCTGGCGGGTCACATAGAGCTCCGCCGCTCTAAGCCACGATTGGCCTTGGCGAAAGGCTACATCGATACTCGAGGATCTTTCTGTTAATAACGTTTTTAGCTGCGGTTGAGCAGCTCTACAAGTATACTCATGCCTCTGTGTCAGTCTGTAGGTTAGTTCGTTCGTTCGTCGTTTGTTACCCAGCTTCTGCTTGAGGCCCTGTGTCGGTTTTATCGCCCTCAAGGGAGGGCAGACAGACTTGCTTTATCGAGTTCAAGTTTGCATTGTGACATTAAACAAATGGGAAATCCTTTATTTCTGTGCCAGAGATATGTGCGGGTAGAAGGTACACATGTACGAACAAAAACTCATTGGCCCGCAGCTTCCGAGATTATTTCGAGCTTGTTCTGAAAAGATTCCTCTTGGATCGAAACGTCGGGCCTTCCTCTAACGATTTGGTTTTCCTTTAAAAGTGTACATTGTAATCAAGCCCGCTGGAACAAACTTTTGCCAGGGGGTGCTGGAATTTCTAAAGGACGGACAAAATTAATGCGAACACGGAGCGCAAAGCCCTTACGGCGTGGCTTAAAGGGCCCCTAAAAGTTTTGTAATATGGATGCTTTGTGGTGCAATCTGAGGCGATTCCTGGCCTCTTTCATATGACTTTTTTTAGCAAAAGTTTTTTTGAGATTATAAAGACAATTTATTTCACTTTTTTGTTTAGAATATACTGTTGCTCTTAATATAACGTTTTTACTGTACTGAAAAGTCGAGAACCCTGTATTTTTATCTCCATTTTTTTGTTCCATTTAATTCTGGAAAAAGAATTGTATCATTATGCATGACATCGCATGTTAATATTATTGTTGCAAGGCTGCTTTCTTACATTTAGTAAATTCCGTCGTGTATGTTTCGTTTTATTTTCCAAATTTGGGGCTAGGCAAGGATTTATCGGTCCGAGTTCTTATGAGAAAAAACTTACAGAGGGTAAAACTTGAATAGCTTTTTTATTAAAACGAAATTACACTGGAATTGGCGTCAAGCATGACTAGTTTCAATGAAAGCCGCTCCCACTCCAATTAGTTTCGGAATGTGTGTGAACCTTGCTATTTGTTAATGTTGAGTACAGAATGCTAGCAACGTCAATGAAACTTTAAAATGAAAAGAAAAACCTTCAGGGAAAAGGTATGAGCATTTGCCCCTATTGAAAGACCGAATGAAAAAAATCCTGGCAAGCATTATCAACTTTGCCACCATTGTCATGGCCGAGGTTATTTCTTTCGGGTCAAAGCTTCCATCATGGCTGAAATATCATAGACATGTCATGATTTTAGATACATTAGATTCTGCACTGCTTGAAGATTTAGAAAATACCTCTTCTGGATATTTTACAGTGTTACTTTGTGCTAGACGTTCAAAGCGCCGCGCTTAGCCGCGGCAAAACTAGAAACGAACAAAACGAAGGTGATATTTGTAGAGCAAGCATAATGTATAGCGCAGCGGCGCAATTTCAACGTCGTAGAACACTGCTGGCTGGAACACATTTTTGCCCGGGAGTAGGGGGTGCTGAAGCATATTCCAGCACCCCAATCCAAAAAGTTGGGGGTGCTGCAGCACCCACAGCACCCCCCGTTCCCGCGGGCTTGAATTTGTAATTCATTTGTTGGTCAAGAAAAAATGGAAATGCCAAGCCATGGTACGGTTTTAAATGTGCTTTCGGAGATGAACTTATAGTAACTGTAACACCTGTCCGGGGTTGTCTTTTTCCAAATATTTTTGATAAATTTGTATCGTCATGATTTTCGATGCCCAAAGGCATATTTTCTTTTCATTATGGGCCTGATGCTGTCCCAGTTTGTTGGCGTGCAAGCAACATGTCACTGGTTTCCTGCATTGGGAGGACAACCACTTCAAGAAGACTTCTCAGGAAATGAAACTAGAGAGTTAATCCGCGATATAAAATAGGCACCAGCCTACATCCTCTGACACTGAGTTGTTGTCATGTTCTCTCCAATTGCAAGGTCCGATCGGCAGCGCGTGCGTCAAGAGGTTCGGGTGCCGTACGACGTCGCTGATTGGCGGGTCGGCCGTGGTGTGTGGCTTCATCGCAAGTTCCTTCGCACAGTGCAGCATACATGTCTTCATCACATTGGGATTAATTGCCGGTATGCTGTTTTCCTTATTTATCAGATTTTCATTAAAATTATTTGAGGGTGTCAGAGGATGACTTATATCATTCACGATCAATCTTCACTTATAATCGGAATTTTGGAGCAAATTCCAAAGATGGTCGGCCGACCATCATTGAAAAACACCGGCTTATTTTCAAATACTGCCCCCAATTTACCAAATTTAGTTCGTCCACATTTTTGTTTGCAATCGGTTACACATCCGTGAACGGGTGCAAGCCAGCTAGTCTGATTCCCTGACAATTCCCCAACGTCCATAAATTGCTCCATTTCGTCTGAAGGGTCACGGAACCAGACTACAAGAAAAACATTTTTTTCTTGTTTTTTTAAATTTTCCAGCATCTGAACACAAAACTTTAAACAGGTCAGTGCAACAAAATTTGCTATAAAACACTAACCCCAAATCCATCAATTCTGAAAATTACAGCAACAACAAAAGTTGTACATGGTACCTTTAACGACTTGTACTAAGCCTATAAGCTCGGTCGCTTTGACCTGTACCTTCAGAGAAGGGGTAAGGTCCATGAGAGAGACTAATAATAATAATAATAATAATTTGGGAGGCTAATGATAAGTCTTTCACGTGGACTTTATCTCTTCAGTCTTTATCTTCTTCCAGTTTTATCTCTACTTAATCTCTCTTCCGCAGGTATCGGCTCGGGCCTCGTGTTTGTATCCGCCACGGTGATTCTAGGCCACTACTTCCAGCGGCGCTACGCCATCGTCAACGGGCTGGCCTTCAGCGGCCCCGGCATCGCCATCTTTGTTCTGCCCCCGTTGCTGGACTACCTCATTGATAACTACGGCTGGAGGGGGTCGCTCTTAATACAGGGAGCCATCAGCTTGCACACGTTAGCGGCGGCGGCGCTGTTCAGACCGTTGCCGAGCGAACCGCATTGCCGTGGCAGCAAGCAGGCGAACTCCAAGCACAAGGCTTACGCGAGAATCGAAATGGAGGAACTGGAAAATGGACGAGGGGACAAAGAAAATGCCAAACCGGAAGTGGACGAAAATAGCAACTGCGATTTAGACGATTGCAATTCGTTACAGGGTGGAGGGAGCGCTAGCGAACGGAACGGGGGCACTGGTGCGAGTGGGAAAGTGGATGAACCGACTTTATCAAACTTTGAAGGTTCAATTTCGAGTAGCAGTCAATCATTGCAGTGCGCCGAAAAAGAGGAACGTCGAGATTCGGCGGACGTTGATCACGTGACGGCCGATAGCCAATCAAGAACAGACGTCGTAGAGGACAACAAGAACACTTTGGACCAATCGGGCCCCGAGGCGCACGACGGCACCGACCAATCAAAACGCAGCAGGCGTTTCTCCCTGGACCGGCTGAGTTTTAAGCACAACTGCTGGCTGCAGTACACCGCGGCGTTCGTGTTGATCTGCCCGGTGAGTTTCTTCCAGGCCTGTGCGTTCTACTCGGTCACCTTCCACGTGGTGGCGCGCACGGGTCTGATAGGGGTGTCGGCCCACTTGGCAGGCATGTCTCTGTCCTCGCTAGGTGCCGGCTCCTCGTTCACCAGACTGACCCACGGCTGGTTCATCCACCGCGGTCTGATCTCCGCCACCACGGCCTACATCGTTGCTCTCGTCGTAGGTGCCGTAGGCGCCTTTGGGAACGCCCTGTCACGGACCTATGCAGGCGTGATTGTGACTTGCCTCGTGATCGGGTTTTCGTCTGGTGCCGTGTATCCACTGGTACCCGTGGTTCTGCGAGATTTGGTCAGTCTTCGCGGGTTACCGACCACCTACGGATTAGCGATGTTCTTTGACAGTTGCGGAGTGTTCGCCGGCGGTTTTACGGCAGGTTGGTTTAAAGTCAATTATTTTTCAGTAAACGTGTACACATGAACATAAAATCCTATTCTCTTGACGGGAATGCAGTGTTACTTCGAGATAAACGGAGCTTCAAGTTATCCGACTTTGAGTTAATGAGAGGTTAATGTGCATGTAGTTGTAGTTGTAAGTCCATCACAAGTCAAATCACAAGTCACAAGTAACGGGATGAACTGTGGAATAGGATCGGAACGCACTCGTCACCATCCGTTTGATTATGTAAGACCGTAAGGCTTGTGACTAACTTGCGATCACTTGCGACTGACTTGTGATGATGTGATTAGCTTTCAACGGATCCGACTGGAACTCCTCTTGATCTGTGATTCATTTTATACACATCATTTCTTTGTCGTACTGCAGGGCTTTTGCGTGACGTCACCGGCACCTACACCGCATCCTTTTGTATGACTGGCGTATACTACTCCCTAGCTACCGTATTTATAACCCTCGTGTATTTCATGATGAGGCTGCACCGTGGGCGGGAGAATGCGAAACTGGACGAGGAAAGCAATAAACGACTGGAAAACGGAGACTATCACAGCATTTGAATTTTCTTTAGATTTCTAAAATAGAAAATGGACCTAAAAGCATTGTAGATAAAAAAGGGAAGTTGCCGACTATAAGAAAATGTCGTACCATATTTGTAGTTTGGAACGTTTGGCAGGGTGGGGTAAAACTTTGTTCTGTTTATCTTTGTATATTATTTTTTCTTTGTTTGACTTCAAATCTTTTGACTTCCAATTCTCATGATACAAACTATCAGTTGAGAGCTGGGAAACGCTCTTGATATTTCGGACTTCGATTCGGGAGAGGTATATTTTTGTAAATAATTTGTTGAGGATCTGTATTCTAATGCCTTGTATCATGGCAAGAACGTATATATAGCTGCAACCGTTCCACTCCGATTTGGGAGGCGAGTTTGAGGTGTTTTTTCTAACTCATATGCAACACATCCTGTCCTGCCAGTTAAATCAATCAAGTGACTGTTTTCAACTGTTAAGAGCTCCCAGCCTACATGAAGCGTGATTGACTGGCTGTGACTGTTCATGTAACTTGATACAGCTATGCTTCGACTCCGGGTGAGTGATAAAACAACCGTGACCACAACTTGCCTGCTTTGTCTGTTGGCCCAGTTTGATTAGTCACAGTGCTTGCCTGACATAATGAGCTGACTGCTGGTGACTAGCCTTTGTTAAAAGGATAGAAGGGGAAGTGAATTTTGACTGTTTGTGACTGTTTTAATAGCGGGAGGTTGAACCCTTGCATTTTGCGCTTCCGCACACTCCTTAGGCATTTTACCAAGAATGTGACACACAGGGAGACAGCGTAGGGGCAATTCCACGGTTACTCACGTTACATTTTTGTAACGTGAGTAACCGATTTTGTGCGTCTTGTTTATCATACATAACACATTTTTCTGGATGTCATCTTTGGTGCTTAAGTAGGTCTAGGTCTACTCTATCTACCATGGGGATAACAGTTATTAAACCTTTTCAGTAAGGTAATTACAGTCCAAGGAAACTCAAAAGTACACCCAAAATGTAACGTGAGTAACCGTGGAATTGCCCGTAGGATCTTTTCATATAGGATTTATTTTATTTATTAATTAATGCATTACAGTGTATATGTATTTAGAATCCAGCATTGTTTCATAAAACGAAAAGAATCCATTCCATATCTACGCATACTTAACCCCAAAAAGTATACTGTTTTGAAAAAAAAATTGTTTTTGTCCTATATACAAAACAACTCAACTATGCTGTTACCATATTCATGATATCCTATGTGCACATTCACTGCTTTTCAGCAATAAGATTGTTTTTTTCTATCCAATGATAACTGTAAAATATACTTGTATTTATTTAAAATATTATTTCGGTGTAGGTCTATAGGCGGACTTGAGACGGGTGTGCTGTATGAAATTAATAAAAGCGAGTTGTCATTTAATAGATAAATTTTAATATTGTGGAGTATTACAATTTTATGGATCAACGAACGCAATTGGAAATTGAATTGCTCTCGACCAATTAAAGCTTTTTAAAGGGACGTCCTGTGAATGCGCCCAATTGGGCTACAAAACGTGTTTTAAACGAAATGCTGTTTATTGAAAAGAGCATTTAAAAGTAGGATATAAACATCCACACAACCATCCTTTAAAAACTGGGCGTTTTTGTGTTATTCGTGAGATGGCGCGCGAGAACGAATTTCTGTGGTCACAATTTTTACTTCGAAAAATCCAGCCGTGTTTTGTCGCTAGTCGTGATTCCAGTCGCACACATTTCACTTTGAAAACGTTTATCAAAAAGGCGCGTGTGTTCATCTGTTGAGTAAAGATGTGGACTTATTTGGGTTGAAAAAAACCACCGCTGTCGTTCTAAATTTATCAACCAGAGCTATTTGCGGCACCAGTCTGATGCTGTCACCGCGCCGAGATAGAGCCCACAATTCCATGCCGGCTGGAAATACGTATACGTATGCCACAAATGTCCACTGCGTCCGATGTAAACAACCAGGTTTTTTCGTGGGTTTTTTTCGAGAAAGTTAAGACATTAGGCTAGTTTTCTTTCAACCAGACCTTTGATAGGATAAGCAAACAATCCAAAAAATAACACTTTCGGGGATTTCAGGCCGCAATGCCCGTTTATTTTGAAGTGCGTACCTTCGCTCGTGTGCATATTTTTACATTCATATACAGATGCGAGTAAATGCTTTAAAAATATTGGTAATAATTGCAAATGCCATTTTTTATTCACACAAATTACAGGTATTGTACTTTATGAACTTGGTTAACATTAATAAATGCAGTGCGCAGGATTATGTGCTTTTATATTTTCAAGGCCTGCCCCAACCCAGCCTTGAAATACGGCAAGTAAATACAGGGTGATTAAAAAAAAAGCAGAACCAAAACCTCAACAAATTTATTTCATATTTAAAAACAAGCATGAAGCACTAGGGGCGGATCCAGGAATTTTCGCAGGGGGGAGGGTTCATCAGCAAAAAAATCTTTAAATGTACACAGGTTTTTTTTTCTTTGGACACTTGGCCTCCGTAAAATCACAAACTGGGGGGGGGGGGGGGGGGGGGGAGGAAGGGGGGGGGGGGACTGGTACCATATTTCAATAGGGGGTGCTGTTCAAATTCGACAATTATTAACACTAGATTACAGAATAGTGTACCGTATTTTAAACAGGCGGACATTATACCAGTATTACTTTTTTGGGGGTGTCACAGCAGGGGGGGGGGGGGTTTCGCATTATTTTTAGGAATTTGTATGATATTTTTTTGACAGAGCTGGGGGGGGGGGCTTAACCCCCAAAACCCTCCCCTGGATCCGCCCCTGCTGCACCAACAATGAAAATGACTGGAAAGCAATTTCATATACTTTTAGATGAAAAAAAAAACTACTTAAATTGCTAAATCCGTTCAAATATATCACCATTCAAACACAATGACCCCAATTCTAAATTCTATTTATATTTATTATTTATATCTTAATGTTAAAATAATTGCAACTTGATTTTTAAAGTTTGTCTTTGCTCTTTTCTTTCCAAAAGAATTTCACCGTATTTCACATTTCTTAGCCCATTACTTTCAGTTTTTATCATATCTCTTCTTCAGTTTGTGGCTTGAAACCAAAAGGACAATCCGTGGATGATTATAGAATATGAAAAAAATAAATGAATTAATCAAATTGACCTCTAGAAACTTACCGATCAGTATACTTCTCAGATGGTATTCCAAAGTTACGTATCTTCCCAACGAAATAATTCCGAGTGGTGAATGCGATCTTTCGATGTGTACTCCATGTTGCAAATATAAAGGCGAGTAACGTGGTCTTTATTTGAATGGACGATGAAATGTGGTTCCGCAAATGAGTTGCCCGTCAAATTTCCTTGTGGTTGGTGATAAAAACCCACAATCCTGTACGATCACATCGATACCATCTAATAGTTTTTTTATCCAGTATATTTCCGTATACAGGGTGAGTCAAGAAAAGCGAAACCCAAATGTCGGGACTATTGTTTTATTGAAGTTCTGCATGTAGCACTTTCAAAATCTAGGACATGAAAGCCCAATTCTGATTTGAATGATTCTTGTACTAACAGAAAGCTTATGAATTGGTCTTTCATTTCCTAAACTTTGAAAGTGCTACATGCAGAACTTCACTTAAACAATAGTCCCGACACTTGGGTGTCGTTTTTTTTACTCACCCTGCACACGATGCATAACTTCATTTGGACATGAGAGGTAACAGAGAGGGTCTATATGCACCACACCCAACAAATGCATGTGTGCGACGACTCTCCATGTATTTCCAGGCCAAATGTACTGTGCATAGTGACGAATGGAACAAAAGTTGTGCACCCATGCGAAGGGTTAACAATGAGATCCGGTACAGCCTAGAAATGGGTCGGATTCATCTCATAGCTCAAAGCTTTAATAAGAATCCACACTTGTTATTCCCTTGTATACTGGACAACGGGCCTTGTTCACGAGTCGGCCATGTTAAATTGACAGCGAGGTAAAATCTTCATTTTTGGAGCTTGCGTAGAGAAATGGAAGCAATGATATAAAAGTTCATTACAAATTAATACCAGTCTGCTCTGATGAATAATTTATAATTTGTGATTAAACGTACCTAATATTTTAAGCCACTTAAAAAAAAAGTGAGACTAGAATGCATAATAGTCTGGCACCATCCCATTCAACAGTTCATTTGGGAACACGAAAAAAAATGGCTTTTGTGAATAAGGTCCATAGGGACGTAGTTTAAGTCGGAGAAACGACTCAATAAAATGGAGATGCTTTTGATTAAGGTGGGCTTGGACGCTTGGCGTCCTCGCCTATTCGAATCAAAGAATCTCCACCTTCTTCGTCGTTAATTGCCTTAACAGAAACAGTGAAATTGTGCAAAATTAACAACGAAAGTTGATTATATTCGTGAACGTCTGAACAAGCATCGGTGAATTTATACCTGTCAGTTCAGGTACAAAATATTCTTATACCCAAAAGGCTTAACTCTGTCTTTTAAACATTTGCCTCTCGCCAACCATTTGCGTGCATGGCCAAGAGAGAATTAACATAATGACAAGGTGGACCGTCGGATAGTCAACTTCAATCGACATTCTAAGTCCTGCGCTTCTGTCGGAGGAAGTCTTCAACGCGGTTGATGCAAATCGTGTTATCGCGCCTCACCTGCTCGGCCTTCAGTTCACTCGAATTATGTTCGCCCCGACGAAACTCGCTATGCGTTAATCCTCCACACGCGCGAGGCATTGACCTTCCGAGCAATTATTGTCACGCAAGCGCCATTACATTTTGCTGGCCACAGACTGGGGCCAGGCTATAGTCGTCACTGACTGATTGACTGTCTCTCGTGAGTCGGGCAGTACTGTCGTATAGGGTTACCCCGTAACGCCAATGAATGGGCTAAACCTGGCCAATTGTGTGCACAACAGACTCCCGGCGAATGGCCATTTAGTACGGCCGATATGTGTTTGGACTGTGCCTTTGAGTATACAAGTATAGACTTTGGCACAGTCAGAGTATGTCATAAGAAAGATATTTGGATATAAAAACCATCGCAGATTTGTCCTTTGAAAGAAACATAGGAGGAATAACAAGCAATGGCAGCCATTTTGAATATTTTAACTATTGCTTGTGATTGCACCAATATTTTTTTCAAAGGACAAATTTGCGATGGCTCCATAGCCAAAATATCTTTTTCAAGACATACTCTGACTGTGTGCCAAATTCCATACTTGCATCATCAAAGGCACAATTCTTCCACATTATTTTCCTATCTGCCCCACTAATTCTGAATCAATGAATAGAAATTGTGTACCCCTGGATCAGCTTTGCTAGCCTTGTCTGACCTTGTGATATTTCATTGTTTTTAGGCCTCGATTTCTGAAACATTCTCTGGGGTGATAAAAGATTCGCCCTTGAAACGTGTTTTGCTTTGATCACTCATATTCCTGTGTGTTTACTTCACGGATTTTGCATTTCAAAGTTGCCACTATACAGGGTGAGTAAAATAAAAAAACGAAACCCAACTGTCGGGACCATTGTTTTAGTGAAGTGCTACATTTAGCACTTTCAAAATCTAGTATGTGAAAGCACAATTCATAAGCTTTCTTTTAGTACAAGAATCATTCAAATCACTTATGTACTTTTCAAGTTACTGAATTTTAAACACAACCATCGTTTTAAAGTTCTGTCCACGGATCACAAGAGGGTAAGTGTTCTTTCGGCAAAACGAAAACAAATCACATAGGGATGTGTGTGGATTGTTTTCGTTTTACTGAAAGAACGCACACTTTTTTTGTGATCCGTGGACAGAATTTTAAAACGGCGGTTGTGCTTAAAATTCAGTAACTTGAAAAGTACATGAGTGATTTGAATAATTCTTGTACTAAAAGAAAGCTTATGAATTGGGCTTTCATATTCGAGGTTTTAAAATTGCTGCATACAGAATTTCACCAAAACAATAGTCCCGACTTTTGGGTTCGCTTTTTTTGACTCGCCCTGTACAAAGCAATAATATTGCAAGGAGCATTGGGACACTCAAACTTAATGAACACAAATAAACCCACAGAAACATAATATCGTTATGTGCATGTCCATACATTAATATAATGTACATCACACACAAAATGTACAATAGAAATTTCACCTTAACAATTTTTTTCACCGTTACCTGCAGTTCCTGCCTGCATTAATATTATCACTAATTATCTATTTGTACGATTAAAAAGGAATTTAAAAATTCAAACGTTTGCTATTTCAAGAAAAGTACATTGAGCTAAAATAAAGTTCACTTCTTAAATGGACATTTTCGCCAGCACGTGTCGTTCCCGATTGCGTATGCATAGCTAAGTTAACGTTCTAAAGCATCTAAAAAAAAAAAATTAAAACAAAATTAAACAGAATAAAAAAAAATTAAAAATGGGCCAGCCTTTCTATTCGAAAACAATATGCAGACATCTCACGAAATATTATAATGTGGCTCTGAAATGAGGTTTGCCAAAATAACATCCGCTCCGTTCACAAGTACCCCCTCACCGGCAAAGAAAGTACAGGTGGGGTCGACCGACCGACGCCATCTTCCCTGACTGCAATTTTGCCGCGACGCGCTACCGTACCACTGCGTGTTAGTACAAATCCTCTGGTGTACTGTACGTGGTCACACACAAGGAACGGTGCGCGTCAACCAACTAAATGTCCCGCCCATGGGACATCGTTGCTATGTAAAAGGGTGCCCTCTTTGTTGGCGCACGGAGCCCATACAGTATCTTTCGGCGTGGTACGGGTCAACAAGTGCAATGCGCACTGTATGCATACCCACACGATTATGTCACGAGATGTACGTTTTTAAAAGAGCACAGTTTGGATTCGAACTGACGTTTCGGTCATCATATTGTGATCATCTTCACAATTGTCCTTAACCGTCAAAGATATCATCATCTTTTCCCTGCTGTTCGTCCGAAACTCTTCATAATTTCGTCTGTTGAATTTGCGTGGAGTTCTTGGGCGTCGGCACCATGTAGCCGTCCTCCGCCACTTCACACTGAGTGCCTGATGACCCCTGGATCGGTGACACCCTTCCGCCAATGAAAGTAGACCTCTTGCTGTCGGGGTAAATGGAGATATACGAACTCTCGGTATTACTCCGCGAGAGCCTATATACACTCTGGTAATCGTGGTCTACGTCTGTCTTGGTGGTCTTAACACTTGCAGTTCGGGACAAAGAATGGTCGCTGTCCTGCTCTTGGTCCGAGCCGCCGTAGTAGGCTGACTTCAAGTCGGCCCTAGCCCTATGGTCATTGCGGATGGAGAGGTAGATGGGTTCTCCCAGGTCCGCGTTCTCGTAGCCCGGGTCGAAGATGCCGGAGTCCGTCTGCCCGTCGTTATCGTTCGACATGGCGTAGGCGGCGTTCACGTGAACGTTGTGGTTATGACGTCTGTTCCTCTTGCGATCGTGTTTGTGACTTGAAGGACGAAGACAGGAAGAAAACCAAACAGTATTTAATTATGATTTGTTACTTTTAGGTTATTTAAATATCGGGGATTGGATTAATTAGTTTTTATTTTGAAATTCAGTCATTGCTCGGTCAATTATCGCCTACCAATCTTACTTATCACTTACTTCCACGTGGTATTGGTTAATTTTCAGTGAACTTATCCAAAATATAAACACATGTAGGCCTGTCATATGTTGTGTCCTTGGGCAAGCCACTTCTCTCCACCCAGGAGTAATGGGCACCGGCATTAGCTGGGGAGTAACTTACGATGGACTAGCATCCCATCCAGGGGGAGTAGAAAAATTCTCAGTCGTTTCATGCCACTGAAACTGGAGATAAACGCCGGCCCGATGAGCCACATTGGCTCATGACAGACTTTACTCTTTTTGTATTAATAAAAACTCATATAATCGCCTACCTCGTTGTAAACAGAACCGCAACAGTCAGAAACAGCAACAGGATCAGAATAATGCCAACTGCGATAGCTACGATAACAGCTGTGTACATAAAATTAATATGAATATTATTGTCTAAAATTACTATGAACATAAAGTTTGTCAGCTTGTTCCCAATATAAGTGTCGAAGACCTGGACAGAAGCGACAGATTATAGATTCTGACGTGGCCTGAACATTCACAGACCCTGGTATAGTATTTTGAGATCTATTTCATGACACTCACCAATAGATGGCGCTTCCCGTGAACCACCTCCATTCACCATGGTAACCGATCTCGGGGTGGGTAGTGCGCCATCAACGGTGGCAGTGTTGGGAGCGATCGCCGCTGTTGCAGTTGTTGCGTTGTCGTCGTCGTCAGTTGCAACCGTGGGCGAGAACGATGACGTCGTTGGCAATGCTCGTGACGTCATCGATTCTGGGGAGGTGGTGGTGGTAGTGGTGGTGGTGGTAGTGGTGGTGGTGGTTGGGCCCGCCGTGGTGGTTTTGGGCACTGTGTGTGACGTCACGGTCGAGGCTGGCTGTGTCATATTTATTTGCATTGATCGATCTATGTCAAAAGATAAAATACTTTGTGAAGATCGAATGTCAAATTCGTAATGGCAAAACGAACAGCTCCTTTAGTAAAAGCTTGTAGTGTGATATAAGTGCACGTGAACCAGCGAACAATACCAGCAACTATCGTTGCTAAGCGACACAGCGGGCGCCATCTTGAGTGCACCCATGGATTACATTTTTCGCAAGACAAATGTCGATGTGCATGGCTCACCTGTAGGCGGCCCTATCGACGACCAAAACGTTATGACGACTCCCTGAGCTCCGAGTGACGTCAGCGTGGAGTTGAAGGTCACCGTGACCTCGCCCCCGGTAAACGTGAACTCGAGCCGTGCATCCAGGATGTGGCTGGTCGACTCGAAGCCAATGTTGGACGGGTTCGCGCCTCCCGTGAAGGCGACGAGTTCGGCGGCTTGAGGAGCGGCTACGCCCACCCTGTCTCCCTGAGCCAGCACCACGGCCCTCAGCTGCACCGTGATGTTGGCCGCGTTATCAACTCGGACCGTCCACGTGCACTGTTCGTCATTTGAATATTTGTCGGGAAAACCCGGCGTGGCTATAGCGCCCTCTACATCCGTGTAGATGCTATTGCACGATCCTAGTCGACCTGAAGAACAAAAGAAAATCACAAAATAAATCGTGAAATCTATTGATGTCCTCATTTTTCTTGTTGATTTGGATTTGTGCAGTGGCTCGTCAAAGTAAGATAAAGTTTGGAATTGCTGCATCTGTACTGTTTTACATACGGCATGTACCTCTGCGCAGATATACAAACAAAATGTACATCTTAAACAAAATAGGGAAATTATTATGTGGAATGCACTTGACTACACAGATTATGCCGGTGAAAGAAATGATTACTTACTATCATAAATCCCGACCGCCTTCCCTCCGCCACAGATCTGCAGCGGATCCCCCACGCAGGGTAAGAAGCATTCCTCGTTGCCGAGTCTCTCGGACGCCAGGCCATCCACTCCCTGTGCCTCGCAGTAGCACTCCTGACCGAACGCCACCCCGGCGTGAGGGTAGCCCCGCTGGCGGCAGAGCGACAGGCAGAGCTGGACGGTCATGTTGGCGAAGGCGAAGGAGGCCTCGTCCAGGGCAGGGTTGGTCCTGGTGTGAGGGTAGCAGCCCAGGTAGCCGGGATCTAGGAAATTCCAAATTTACAAAAACCGAAAGACTTTGAACGTGTAAATGTTTCAGTATATACAGGGTGGATAAAAAAAAACCGAAACCGAGATATTATTGCTAATTGGAACAGAAGTAGGGCACGTGTGAATCAAAGGGAGATATCTTCCGTTAGGGTTGAATCTCCTCTTTAAAATGACACCCTGATCATGTCATTACATTCACGTTTGACTGAGCAGTAACCAATTTTATGAAAGGGTCTATTTTATAGAGAATTGCGCCACTTTTCAATTGTGGTTTTTGTGGTGTCATTTGTCACAGAGTGAAAGGCTATGGTTGCCAATCAAGGCAGGTGGGGAAAAAAAGAGATTTCACCATGAAAAGTGGCGCAATTCTCTATAGACCCTTTCATGAAATTGGTCACTGCTCAGTCAACCGTGAATGTAATGACATGATCAGGGTGTCATTTTAAAGAGGAGATTCAACCCTAACAGAGGATATCTCCCTTTGATTCACATGTGCCCTACTTCTGTTCCAGTTAGCATTAATATCTCGGTTTCGGGTTTTTTATCCACCCTGTATTTTTTTTTGTCCAGTTGATGTTTATTGATTGGAAATTTGGAATACGTTCCTCTCGCCTTCCACTTCCGTGACCGAGTTTTCTTGAGGAAACAACCAACTGCCATGGTCAACTGTGGATTGGGTTTTATAGTACATGTAATAAAAAAATGTTTTGTGTGGGGTTTCACCAGAATATAGTTTGTGTAAAGTTGTTTCCTTCCTTCTAAATTACCTTTCAAAAAGGAACCACATTTCTTCATCACCCACAGCCATTTTCGCGCTATATAACAGGCGCGCCGTGATTTTATAGAATCCTTGATTTCATTCCCAGAAATAAAAACCACCAATGTCCTAATAACTGAGCCAAGATGTCTCATGACGCCATAAAACGAAATAAGTATGATCAAAAACATTTCAAGAATCACCGTAAACGAGATTTTTCTTGACGCACAGTTCGCTCGTATTTAATCGCTGTTTCTATGGATACTGGTGACAACTGATTACCGTGAGCTCTCATTGGATAAGTTCTTTTTAACCCTTGACCTGAGGTCAACTCCTCCGCGCACGGGCGCATGGCGACTGCGCACTGTATTCAAGATAAAACATGGTGGTAAAGTGCCCACAATGCTTTGCGTTTACTAAACAATATTCTGTGGAAGAGATGGATCACAGTTAGGGCACCGGCGCTTTTGGATAGCACCGTCATGGTGGTGTACCAGCAAAAACTTACAATTACAAATGACGACCACGTGATCTGAGCAGGTCGATGCGTACTCGCACTGCACTACTTCCTCGCCGTCTGCCGTGGTGAACTGACACGCCAACGAAGGTAGTGGGTTGACTTCTATCCCGAGGCTGGCTGATGATCGGACGGCCATAGCACCCTCATCGAAATCTTCAAACGAAAAAAAAGAAAATATAATAATCAATTATATCGTACAAATGAAAAATTTAAGGAAATGTTAAGGAAAATCCAAAATCTGAAAACATTTCTTCAAAGAAATTGCAAAATATAAGGAAAAATCAAGAAAATATTTTTAAAAAGATAATACTTTTGTGTCCAAACAAAATCTTAGCTATTTTTGGAACCTCTACGGAACAGGGGTCGACACTACGGCTCGAGGGCCGCGTTCATGGCCAGCACACGCGCGCGAAAGAGCCGAAGCCGCTGTCTGCATAGCGAGTACAGATAAAGAGGACGTAGCCAAACTTTTCTCTGCGAAACTTAGAAACTTAGGAACAAGTAAGAAATATTATTTTGTTATTACCAAGGTGATATCAAATTACACTGTTAGAGATAAAAAATTCAGAAAAGAACCCAAGAAAATTCCAAGGAAATTTCAGGAGAAAAAAATATGTCAATCAAAGGAAATTCAATTTTGGAAAGTGGGAGCACTGGCCAAGCCTTAAAATGAAAAGTTTCTTTGCAGACGGTATGACAGCTCTCTGTGGTTGAATTGTCCTTGCCATAAAAGGGCATGGCTATTTCTATAAACAATCTACGATCTTTTAATTTCACGGTAGGGGAAATTATTTAAAGTCTCTTTTTTTCTGGGAAATGGGTGTCAATGAATGATGGTTTGCTTTGCTATACAAAGTTTGCTTTCTCGGCAAGACAAAAATTGCACTTGAGCAAGCTATTATAGGCGGGATCACAGTCGTGTTGAACGTACCTCGCTTGTGACAGACGACATCGGCCATTTGCGAGTCGAAGCCGTCGTAGCAAACTCGCTCCCAGCCGTTGGGCGTGCGCACCTCCACAGCGCCGCCAAAGAGAAGCCCGCCCTCTGTGTACAAGCGGACATCTGTAAAGAAAACCATTCACCAAACGATGAACACGTAGTGACTTGGGCTGCAAGTTCAAATTCTTGTTGAACTCGTCACAGCAAAGACCGTAAATTCAGGATTCTGGCATTTCCGAACATGTTTATTCCAAACAAAAGGATTTCAAATTTTCATCCCGATAGAAAAAAAAATCGCCAGGGCAGTAAAACTGCATATTAAAACTATTTATTAATTTAGTATTGTCTGGTTCCTATACTTCAAGCCAAAAAAAGCACTCAAGTCATAAATCAAGTCATCACAATGAGAAATCGATAAAAATGCCAGTCTTTTGTCTTCATTGTATGTTATAATTCCGAAGAAGATCCTCAATAGCTGAAATTCTGAGCAAAGCTATGAGTTTTGACCATGGAATTTTCCTCATTCACATCGATTAACGTACATTGAAAGGATTACTTGTAGCCACGTACTTTGAGGTTTTCGAGAGTTCCTTCCTCCATGCTTCAACTGACAGACACAAAAGATTTTCAAGAACGATTTCGTAAGACGTCTTTACGCGTAGGTGTAGAAGGTTACAGCAGATATTGTGATATGACCGTGTACTATTGTATAGATTGGTGATTGTGAAACATGTCTATCCCTACGCTACGGGTCGTTGCCTTTCAATAATTATACACAATGTTCTGTAATTGCAGGGACTGTTGTTTGTAAAGAAAGTCATGTTTAAGAACGGGATTACGTGCATTCCTCGCCTTAATATTAATGACTCAGTTGTGGGCAATGGATGACGATTTCGAAAAATTTAAAGATGGCCCTAAGCTTATTGTGCTTTAGACATAATAATTTAGGTTCACTCTTCTAGTGGCTGTGCCCTTGTGTCAGGCCTTTATGTTCATTCATATATTTTTTTACTGAAATGAGGCGAGTTTGAAATTCGTTTCTAGCCCTATACTGATAACAAACTATATGATGCCTAATTTTCAAATTTGTTTGAACATTATTTTGGGGACATTTTAGACAAAGGCACCATATTGAAATGTTCCCCAATTTAAGATTTTGTTTGTTTGCTAAATTCCAACCTTTCATTGACCAAGAAGCAATGTAATAAATATGAGCCAGGTAAACTTTGCCCCAGCTCCGAACCCCCCCCCCCCCCCCCTACTCCGGACGGCACCCGAATTAATCAAATTCAAACACAGAAATTGAGCAAAGAAACTGGCATATTACCGAAACGATCCATAGGGAAAGCCAAAGCGATGTTTTGTGGATTCCCCAATAATGGCCAAGATTTTAACTTGTACTTTCTTCCCAATTATTTCAAAATATGCTGTGTGAGCCTAGCCCCATAAATGTGGCCAATTTACTGGACTACCTCCATAAATAAAGGACACACTTCCACCATGTACAAAAACATGTCGAACTTTGTCAAATTTTGATTTTCACATTTAGGCTTAGTTTGTAGTTTATGTTTGCTTTAGAAGCATATTCACCCTCTTTAAAGACTTTTTAGGCTTATCAGAAAGTGCTGCCTTTTTCAGATGTCTAATTTTCGGGAAATTTCATGTTGAAATTTGGATATGCAAACGTGTGCAAACGAATCTGGAAATTTCACGAAAACTAGACATGTGAAAACGGCAGCACTTTCCGATTAGCCTATAAAGAGGGTGAGTATGCTTCTAAAGCAAAAATAAACTACAAACTAAGCCTAAATGTGAAAATCAAAGTTTGACAAAGTTCGACATGTTTTTGTACATGGTGGAAGTGTTGCCTTTATTTACGAAGGTAGTCCAGTAAATTGGCCACATTTATGGGGCTACGACGTGAAATAACAAAACTTACCTGTCAACTCAATAGGGTCTTGTGATGACACTTCCACGGATAACACCAATAGTAAGAAACAGCAACGACATCTTATCTCCATCTCGTCCGTGTAATAAAAACTATGACTGATGACACAGTATCCTGTTTAAATCCTCGTACTTTCTTCACCCCTTCTCGTAAATGTACTCTTTACATCGAAGTTTACTGCAAACCCTTAATGGTCTACCCAACTTATGCCGTCGGTTTTCAGGCAGACAGACTATATTTTGTTTGTCATGTCTCCCATGAGTCAACGAATTCAGCAAGAAACGCAAATAGAAAGTGCGTGCACGCTTGGACGGTTCATAAAGTATAGTGGGTAATGCACATAGTGTATGGTTAATACTGCATAAAACGGCTTTTCTTATGCAAAATATTAAGGTTGAGTCACTGACCAGCACTGGGCAAATAACTGTGTGTAGGTCGTACCTTTTCTGTGTCACATGCACAAATGAACATCCTTCGTGCTCTTTACGGGTTCCGAGTCGTTGACCGCCATAATATAAAAAGAAGACCCGGGGAAAATATAGGGGAAAATAATATTTCGTGGTGTGACCACAAAAGTACAGGGGTGTAGATTTGAAACAAAAGTTTAAAATGTATGGTTTTTATGTCCTTGGTGTACATTTTGTGGACGACTCGCTTTTGTGACTCTATTCAAAAATCTGTATTGTTGAAGTGGATGTTTTTGCGATTGAGCACTATTTGGTCTCTTAACCACAGCAAAGAGTGCTCTATGTGACTATAGTTTGCGCAATACAGGCTTGGCCTTTTGAACAGTATTTTCGCGACCGAATCTATATCTGCAAGGTTGTTTTTTGGGTTTTTTTTTTAATTAAACAACACATAATGGACTCCGAAGACTACGTTTCAAAACAAGTGGAACCTCTGGAACTTGCATGAGAAATCACGTGAATTCAAACAACACAAGCCCAACGCTGTTGTTGTATGCCAAAAAAAAAACCCACTCTCACAAAGTCCTGTTTTTAAATGAACGAAAAGGCTCTATTTTCTTCATGCGTTCACATTTTAACAAACTTATGGGCATCCTTGTATATATTGTGATCATTGGGGCAGGAGTGTCATCTGTAGTGTGGGGGTGTGAGGCCCACGTTGTGGTGGAATAATCAACAACATCCGTCCGGTGTATTGACGTAGTTATGCTGGAACCTAGCCAGTGATGGAGCAGTGTGGGGAGGGGGTACATGCATATTATCGATTTTTCCTAACCGTGGGTTCATCTTAAGCTTCGGCTTAAGGAGATCTTAATTTGGAACCCTGGCTTGAGAGACTCTGGCCAAAAAAGGTCCATATTTGACATGCAAGAAACTACGTGTATAACTGTTTTAAAGCCAACGTTAAGAGTATAGGCCAATAACGTCATTTGGTTTTAGCATTAGGCCTACATGGTTTGAAATTATTGTGGAGCCAAGGATGAAGCCGAATTTGTAACGAACCCGTGATTTGGAAATCCTCGGCGTAGTTCACCGTTATCTTTTCACCAATAAAATAACACAGTAACAACTGTTTAAAAACGTGCGATCATTGTGGCTACAGAGTCGAACCCGCAAGTCCCCAATTTACAAAGCACAAGTTTATGACTTTGGGTACGAGATGGATGCTGAGACCTCCCCCCCCCCCCTTCGCGACGCCCATGGGGGTAACTACCATGACAACCACAAAACAGGAACAGAATTCCAAACGAAACAATTACCCTGACAACCTAAGCTCTGCAAACAGCTGCAATTGAGTTTTCGAAACACTTCCGGTGGCTTCACCTGCCCCCATCATTTATGTTTTATTCTCCCAAATCCCAAAGAGTTTGTTTAATATACGAAGTAAGATCAAATCTGGATTTCCCTACTTTAATTGAACTATTATTGTAAACTATTATTCAAGTTTTGAAGCCACAATCTTCAACGACATCGTCACAATGACGTCAGCACAACCGATTTGGGGTTTAAATGATGGCCAATGCATAGTTATGGCATTAAATATTACTCCTATAAGTTCAAAACTACAATACATAAGTCAAATCATTATTAAATCATTATTTTATATTTCAATATATTCGTACGTCGTACTTTTAGGATTGCTTTTAAAGAAAAACGGAATTTCATTCAATAACAAATTATTATCTACTATTTAATCATTGCAGCACTTCTTTCATAAAAACTATATTGAAATAATTAGCATCTCTAATGATAGTGACTGAGATGAAAAAAATATTATTTTTCTATTTCATCAAAATGTGTATTCCGACCCGTAATTCCATGAAATAGTAATAAGTTAAAAATGGTCAGTTATTTGCATAGTCGATAACTTCTGAACTAAAAACAATTACAGCATTTACAAAATGCAGGCATAGGAAATATACCATTGTGCAACGAAACTTATTTATTTGATTACAGATTTCTTTGATAATTTTTTTTGTCAGCTAATATTTTATTAAGGTATACGCCTACATTAATTTCTTCAAGAAATGGAAGACACCTTCATTCAAATCCCCGCTCTTTTTCAAAAGAGACTCAATTTTCCAGCCACGAGCAGCGTTGCCATGACGACGCCAGAGGGACTTGCACCCAGACTAGCTGCATTGAGAAGGACATCAAGAATGACGACGTCACCGGGGTCCACACTATCGAGCACCGTGACTGACTTGGACTCTGTCGTGTAACCAGGCTTCGATATCTACGAGATGAAAATGACGAAAATATTTGTTAAAGTTTATACAGGTATAAACCTTTTTTTGAAATAGGAGGGTACAGTGCTAGTGTGAGTACATTTTGGTAAATACAAAATAGGTTTTACTTTTTTAATCAAATAGGTTTTACTAATTTGTTTTGTCTTAGCCGGCAACAAAAGCGAGACTCGTCATTTAAACAATTCTTTTTTAGATTTTTGAAGTCACAAAGATATGGGCTACAGATGGCCATTTAAGTTTACCCCATATTGGAGGGGACAAAGACGCAATTTTCCCTTTTTTCTGACTATTTATCCGGGTGAGACATCGGCCGTTCCTCAAACCCCGGCATTGTCTCCGTTCCGACTCCATTGCCAAACTGCGTGCCGGAAGCCGGAGACGGAGACACAGTCGGGATTTGAGACACGTCCATGAGGTAGCGCTTGGACAACTCTTACCTGTACTTCGTAAGTTCCGTTCAGCAGCAGTTTCCAGTACTCGCCCATTTTCGTAGTAGACGCAGGATTCGGCGGGCTCGCCTGCCCTACGATTGATACAAGGGCCCCCTCTACTGGCTCACTTGAGTACCGGTCTCTGACGACCCCCTTCACACCTGTTATTCAGACGCAGAGCAAGTGTGCTCAAAAATAGACCTTGCAAATTCTTATTTCCAACGTTTCTAAAACTCCTACGTCCACCCCAACATTCTTAAAGGCAACATACAACATTTCGCATAACTAAACTGTCAAATTATTATGAAATACCTTACTTGGTTGTAAGTGAATAATAGTCTCAAGCATCCTGTGAAATCCTGGCACCTGGTGTGCTGTCATTTTTCAGAATAGTGCAATTTTTGTTCTAAATTTCCAACGATGGTCGGCTGAACATTGTTGGAAAACAAATCACCTTTTTTCTAATACAGCCCCCAATTTACCAAATGTGAATAGGTCCACATTTCATTTGCAATCGATACACATCCGTGAACGGGTGCAAGCCAGCTAGTCTGGTTCCCTGACCTGACAATTCCCCGACGTCTATATAAATTGCTCCGTTTCATCTGAAGCAGGGTCAGGAAACCAGACTACAAGAACAATTTTTTTTTCTTGGTTTTCCTAGCATCTATGAACATATCAATCTTAACAGGTCAGTGTAACAATATTTCCTATAAAACGCTTACCCCCACACTAAAAATTACACTGCAAAAGCAAATGTTGTATATTCCCTTTCAAACACATAGTTGACTCGTGACTTTTGTAGTTGTCAGAAATGACAGGAAAATTAAGCTGCTTCGGAAAATAGACACTGGCAACAAGCAAACCCCAACCCCATCCCTATCCTCCAATCATGTCTTTCTTTTCAACTCCGAAGTCCGAACCCACCTCTGTGTGACTGCTGGAGGTACGCCAGCAGGGCCGGCCGGTTCTCGTCCCAGTGTGTGCTTAGTGTGGACGCGGCCGGGTACTTGCAGCAGGCTATCTCCAACGTGATCTCTGGACAGCCAGCAAAGATGTAGTTGTAGTCTTGCATACCACCTTGAAATAAAAACAATGATAAAGGAAGAGTCTTTGTTGAGTTTTGTCCTTCACAGTGGCGAAGCTAGGATTTTTGTAGGGGGGGGGGGCAAAGGGGGCATCAGAATATCCCGGGGGGGGGGACTATCGCAAAAATCCTATTGCAGATTTCACTGAGAAAAATACAACTTACAAAAAAAAACTTTTTTGGTTAGAGAAGCACAAGGAGCATTATCAGTATTTTGGTGGGGCCAGGTACCTGGGGGGGGGGGGGTACAGAAAGTGTGGGGGGAACGTTCCCCCAGCCCCCCCCCCCCCACGTGGCTACGCCACTGGCCCTTCACTACAAAAAAGGAACACTTTTGTGACACAGACCGGTTTAAATTTAGATCAGCTAGTCAGAAAAACCCACCAAAACTCAGAGATTAAAAGGAATTTGTACCTTTATTTAATGTTGCTTTCCTCGTGTTATTTTCGACTTTATTTATTCATTCATTGATTGATTGATTGATTGATTTATTTATTTATTTATTTATTTTTGATCTTTAATCGGGGTAGCCGGCTCACATTATAATGCAATCTCCCACGGGGCCATGAGCATAAAATTACAAAGAAAAATAAGAAATGAACCAAATGTAAAAGGATTTAAAGTATACACGAATTATTCAAACTAGGAAATATTCAAAATAGGAAATATAAAAATATGAAATGGATTTAAAGTAAGATCATAACCGAATATGTGTCGTTAAATAAAAAGAGACATGAACGGGTACTAAAATAACAATATACACATATATTTTTTTATTTCTGCCGTTTTGCTATTTTCTCAACCCGCTCACCGTACCGTTTAAAGGACCAAAGAGAAACCATTCACATGACTTATTCATGTACATGTACTTTCACTTTCAACAAAATTATACTTATATAACATAAATACGACACCTGTCCAGGATCAACAATATACAAATAATGCATGTTGCCCATTCGTGGTCAGAATATCACCAGGTGCCAGATGGAATGGGAATGTTCCATTCCACCAGGTGAAGCCGGGTGAAATGGAACATTCCATCTGGCATCTCATGAAATTGATCTTTCCATTGGACGAATGTGAAACATTCATTATTTTGTTGTACACAACGCCTGAATAAATCCTCGTCATCTGATTGGTTCAGGGCGGCCAAAAGTGTGACCATACAATGGAACCTCTATTTTTGCCGTGCGGCCGGGCCGTGCGTTGGGACGAATAATTCAATGACACGTGATCAACGACCCACCAATCAGACGACGGGGATTTATTCAGGTATTGTATAAAGTGTTCCATTCTCTTTTACGGTGGGGCTGGGCTACATCCTTCACTTTCAGTCGGACTAATTTCGAAACACAAACAAAGTGGATGGAGCAAAATCGAGGTTTCGCCTTAGTTTTGCAAACTCGCCTAATCAATGCACTTTTTTAACAAACAAAATACACCACGGAATCCTAGTCCAATAGACGGCTAGCTTTCAGCATCACGTGATTTCTTGAATCAAAACTCTGTCTCAAACTTCACTTTTCCCACGAAATTTCGATCTGGTTTAATGTAAATAAAAACAATCTTGTTTCGATGAGCATTTCATTATAAAAGGACCCTCGATGAACTTCGAATCTTTACATTTTTGATCCACGCGCAGCTACAATGGCTCAATCGTTTCTTGTGTTCTGTGTGTTCATTTCGCTTCAGATTTCGTCTTCTTTTGCATCGGGAGCTGATCCTTTTCGACTTCATCCCCAGCCCCAGAGAGTATTGGTGGGAGGGACTGCGACATTCACTTGTCAAACCAGCTATTCGGTCAACTGTTCGTACGACCGAATCAAATGGGTGAAGCGGTCAGAAGGCAGGGAGGATGGCTCGGTAATATCCACCTGCTCGAAACTCCGGAATCGAGCCTATGTTGAGAAATATTCGGTCGGTCTGGAAAATGGCGGTGACTCGACGACGTACACACTGGTGATAAACGATGTCACCGAGGACGATCGTAAAGAGTATTTCTGCCTTGCATTCAGAATTGCAGTTGGATCCGACTACGATATTTCCCACAGCGCTCTACTGACTGTGACTGATCGACCAGTTTGTCCGAAACTTTCCATCAGAGTCGATCAAAGTCGAGATCTTGTTGTCGGTGACGAAGGCGAGTTTGTCTGCGACATCGATCCTCACCCAGACGCCTCTACCTTTGAATGGGTCGTGATGGATGCAGAGAACCAGACTGTTTCAATCGCCACTGCGGACAGACGCGCGACTTCGTCGAATCGACTGATCATCTCTCCGCTCACGGCCTCGGACAACGAGAACCAAATAAGATGTATGGTCGCATTTAGCACAAGCTGCGAGCAGATGAGCTCTTGGTACAAATTAGTTTTGGTTCCAGCAGCGACCACGGAGCAAGAAACACTGCGCTCAACCCGGGAAGTTTCAGGCACGACCGTAGCAACTTCAACAGCAGCAGCGACCACGGAGCAAGGAACACTGCGCTCAACCCGCAAAGTTCCAGGCACGACCGAAGCAACTTCAACAGCAGCAGCGACCACGGAGCAAGGAACACTACGCTCAACCCGGAAAGTGTCAGGCACGACCGTAGCAGCTTCAACAGAGTATGTTACCAGCGAGCAGTCTCTTGGACAGTGGACGATTATCGGCAGCATCCTGGCTATCGCAATCCTTCAAGTGATCATCATCTGCATCGTCATGTACCTACTCAAGAACAGAAACACTTCGATGCCGGGTCAACAAGGATCTGTCCCCGCCCAAAATCGTGGATCCACCGGGTCCATCCAAAGTCTTGAGACCGGAGCACGTCAAACGGAGCAAGACAAATTTCACATCTACACTGAAATTCCTCTCAATGGCATGCAGCGCTGTCATCAGGCCGAACAAGTCTCCGAGGCGAAACCTGTATATGATCGGCGACTGTCTCAGCACGAATCGAGGGACGAGCCGAGGGGTGGACCGAAGGTGGCCCCGCCCAGAAACGCTGGAGGAGAAGAGGCTGCGTATCTGACGCCAAATACAGGTTATGTCTCTATGAAGTCAATTAAACCGGTGTCATGCCAAAAAGCTGTCCAGTGCCAAAATGAATAGTGTCCGCTGTGAGCATGTACAATCTGAGACGCAAGACACTTGTGTCCGGTGCCAAATAGTGTCCGAGATCTGTCATGCATTGCAGCACGGATTTCAGTCCGTTCTTACGCTACTGTTCGTCAATTTTCTTGCCAAATACTGTGCAAAACGACGCTCAAAATTGTGAGCGAAACCATTAATTAGCAGCCAGCGGAATAACTCCTAAATTGACCACTATCACGCTATCTAGTCTACACTCGTATTCGTACACGCGTCGGTGACCTGGCACGAAAACACAAATTTTTACTCCCCCAAATGTGGGTTTAAATGTCAGAAATATCAATTCAGTACAAATTCTTCAATCAGTTTTAATTATAACAGATAGAAAAGTTACAGTTGAAACGAAATTATACAAGAAAAATTAGATGAAAACTATTTCATTCGTGACGTCTTGAGAGCTGACCGCAAGCGTGTCACAGGATGCACGCTAAGCGGACACCATTGGGCACCGGACATTTTTTGGCATGACACCGGTGCTATTAACAATTACGTTGTCCTAGTCCTACAACAGTTTACACGAAGTCCTGTTGTCTTTGAGGAGAATCACTAAAATCCCAGCAGTAAACTCTGTTACTCTTAATTTTACAACTGTGAGAATGTGCGATGTACAGGGTGAGTAAAAAAAAAAAAAAGGAAATCCCTAATTTCTTGCTTCTTTTAGTACAAGAATCATTCAAATCACTCATGTACTTTTCCTGTTATGGAATTTTGAACACAAACACAATTTTAAAATGGTGTCCACGGATCACATTTAAGGTACGTGATAATTAAGTAAAATGAAAGTCGTATCATGAAAACGATATCAGAATAATCCCACAAGTCTCCAGGTAGCCAAGTAGAAGGCAGGGCAAGACTATAATTTCTTGACATTAAACATGTTGTTTTAACATCGGAAGCAGAAGCTGCTTAAACAAAAGTTATGATAAGTGCCAGTTATCATGGTTATGAGAGTGTTCTGACGTGTTTTTTTCGATATGTGGATTGTCTTTGTTCTGCTGAAATAATACCTTTAGTGTGATCCGTGGAGAAAATGATAAAACTGTGTTTGTGTTTAAAAGTCCATAACTATAAAAGTACATGAGCGATGAGAATGATTATTTTACTAAAAGAAAGCTTATTACTTGGGCTTTCACATCCTAGACCTTGAACGGGTTACATGCAGAACCAATAGGGGGCGTCATTTGGGTTTCCCTTTTTTACTCACCAATAATAACATTAATTTCATCGTCGAGTTATATGTAAATTTTCTTCTGTAATGTCTTGCACAGTAACAACTTCAGTGTAACAAATATAACACGACGGCAGTTTGCAAATAACCGCTGTACACTGCGAAACCTGGAGTGTTAAATGTACACCATTGGTATCTATATAGGACCATCTGGTGTTAAATTTTACTGGTGTTGTCCTATATAGATACCGAATGGTGTTAAATTAATTAACACTACAGTTTTTGCAGTGCACATAATAGACATTGTCATTATATCAGTTGACACTGAAGACATTTTTAACAGTGTAACGCCGCGGCAAACGTGTCATCAGAAAGATGACACTGTCATCTTAGGATGACAAATTTTAGGAAATCATTTTCCACTGTATTTTGAAAAAGGAGTTTATTATAAAAAAAAAATTAAAAAAAATAGAGGTTAATTTATAGCAACCATGTTAATTACTCCAGATTCGACTGTTTTATGCAATGTACAAAGCTTCGCTGGTTGATAATAGTTTCTAATAATAAAAACAACAATGTATGGCGAACTTCTTTCACTTCAACTTTGCACACGCAACAAACTGAAGAGAAAGTGAGATTGCCGTTTGATATACTTTCGTAGGACGATATACACAAAACAGCGTACGTTTAAATAATATTTATAAAACAAGTTTCATTGTAATTAATTTTAACTAATTGTCTAAATGTTTATAGTTCTTACAGTTTCTCGAACATTTTTATTATTTAAGACCCCGATGCGTTTCACCGATTTAAGATTCTGTAGAGTCTAAGATATTTTGGATGAACACTGTGCGAGGTGGTGACGTTAAGGCATCATTAAGATATAATATGTTTGTACTCCCTATGTTGGCAAAACTTGTACAATATTAATAAAGAAGATTTATTTCAGTCGGCATTTAGAACCTCGAGTCGGCAGCCGGACTATCAAATTAATATCTTGGAAAGATTCCCCGTTTAGTCAAAAGTAAATACTGTGCAATTTTCAGGCAAATGTGCCATCATAAATAGCACCACATAAGGTTTGATGTTGTCCGGTACTATCAAATCGGAGAGCGCACCCGTACGTCAAATGATGTCCAGCAACCCCCCCCCCCACCTCCCCCACCACACCCCAACCCCACCCCTTCAATTTTGCGTTAACGAGCGACTTTCACTGACAGGCTTTTATTGTTATTGAAGTCAAATAGCTCCCTCTTTGTCCACAAACGCGGAGTTCATGGCATCGTCACCTTTTTTCTTTTCAAACTCGCCAGATAAAACCTCAAAATGATAAACTATCTATCTTACCTTTGACAAGATACCACTCCCCTCCGTTGGTGATTCCATCCGGGAACCCATCGTTGCTATCGTTACTGAAACACCGATTTTCCTCCACCAGGTGCATTCTGGGATGGTTCAGGGAGTAAGCCAATGAGATCTTTCGGAAGAAAGCGTCATCCGGGCTCTCGCTGTAGGCTGCACCGCCAGTTGCTGGCTTGTCCTCTGTCAATCGAAAATCATAACTTAGCTGAGTTTATATCAGAACTGTTCCTGTGGCTGACGTGACGAATGTTTCCAACTTTTGACTCGGATTTCCTACAGCATGGGCTTCGCAATGTAATTTATACGAGCATTGTCCAAGCAAGGGCGGATCCGGGGGTGGGCCAACGGGGGCCAATGCCCCTAAAACGAACCCATTTTTAAAGTGACGTCGCAATAAAGGCAGGCACTGCGTACACCACCATTTTTTCCCAAAATAAAATTGGTAAAAGTGGTCAGAAATTGCCTCAGATCGCACCACAGAGCATCTAGAATCCCCCTCCCAAACAAAATTTGACCCACTCTTTGGGGGACCAAATTTTTTTGGGTGCCCCCAAAGAAAATTGTGTTCTAGATCCGCCCTTGTGTCCAAGATCTTTTGAAGTAAAAGTTTCTGGCTTGCATGCTCCAGCGAACTCGAACCCATGACCTCTTGCTTACTGGCCAGGTACGACATTCTGTACTGGTATGGCAGCAGAGGATTAATGCACGGGCCGGGCGGGGCCCAGGGCCTCCAACATTTTAGGGACCTCGGACACTTGCTTTGCGTCCTGTATTTAAAACAGCAGTAAACAGCAGCGTCCTGTATTTAAAACCGCAGAGGACAAATGAAAGAGAGAAAACAAATGTTGAAATCTGAGATCTTACATCAACTTGCCCAGCATGATTATGCAATGGTCAGGTTTTTTTCGGAGATTGAAATCTAATTTGACAATTCAGAATGCTTATCAAACTTCAACATTATTGGGCAGCCAAGCGGTACGGTGGGGTCTTTAGGCACATCCCACACTGGGTCATTATGACCTCCCACAACCTTGATTTCGAGGTCGTGGGTCTGAGTCCTGTCCTTGCGAGCTTGACCACGAAACTGACAAAGACCACCGGCACATTATTGACCAACCTGGTTTCATGTTGTCGAAGGGGTAGTTGGCCAAAAGGGCGCCACCGTGCAGATTGGCGGAGAGGACAAACTGGTTGCTCTGCACCCAATCCATGATCGCTCTCGTCTCGGGCTGAATCTCCTCGTCGTTGGGCTCAAAAAAGTCCGGAAAATTACGATTTAGGTCGAGTCCGTTAGCATTACCCCTAAGGAAATGGGGGAAAAGGGTCATCAAAACATAAAGTAAAGGCTCATTTTTGTTTATACATGTCCTAAGCTGATGAGGTTTGTAAAACAATATGAAGGTTCAAATAAAATGTGTCCAAACTTGGATGTAGAACAAAACCTCTACACGTTTATGGAAGAAAAGTAAAAAAGAAAAAAAAAATCGGAACAAATGCAAAGGTTGTTTGTGCTAGTTTGGATGAACGGGAAAAGACTGATAGGCTTACCATACCTTTCTAATCTTTTCAAAGTGCAAAAAGGAACTGCCAACAGAAATGCACTGCCACAAGATGGCGCTAGTCGTCATCGGTAATAGTGTATCGATTTTATGAATTATTCATCGTGTGACGTGGCGTGACGTCATACCTGCCCAGGTTGCCGGTGCACTCCCCTTCAACAGCTACTTCAAATCCGTCCGGGTTCATGGAGGGCAGCACGTGGACCCTTGTGTCGTCCAGCAGCTGCTTGACTGCCGGGTCACTGTCGGAGTTCACCAAGAGATGTTCGATCAACTGCAGTAGGACCTCTCTGCCTATAACCTGGTGGAGAAACCACGGGTGAATCCGGATAAAAACTCAGTCACAAAAAGTGACAACTTAGATTGAATGGTGTTTTTAACCATTCAAAAATTACCTTTTCAACCTAAAGCAGACTTCTCTCAATTCTAATGACACTTTTTTATTGTAATTTCGAACAGTTTCTTGAGTTGAAATTACGATTTACGGTTGGTACTCATGGTGCCGTGCGATTCAGCGCGCCTAATTGCGCGTTCACGGTACATCGCGGTGATCGCCATCTTTATTTTCATGTTGCGTTTTGTCGTTGTCATCGTCATTTTACCCCAAAATGTCCCTCCAAAAATCGAAACCCTGCCCTCTTTTGTATGACATACCTGCATGGTCTTAATGCCGCCAACTAGTTTGGAAAGTCAAATAAATTAGAAGTGGATTTTGTTCTCTTATAGGGAACCGGGCCCGTCACTACAGGTTCGCCATCTTTTAAGGCATGGACTACTAAAATAACAACAACGTGTATAAACTTGGCAAGACTGGAACTTCAAAATGAGCTTTCCACTGGAGTAAAATGCGAAAAAAATGGATGAATTGTTTGATAATAATCTATCAGATTATGTTGTCTCGAAAGGTTTTTCCACTGACGACAAAAAAGTATGCGAAAACTTCTGCTTGAACTCCCACTGTGTGATATTGATGAATTCCAGGCGAAACAATTGAATTAGCAATTGAATAGACCTAATATAATAATGACGTCACGGTTTTGTTTATATGTGCGCTTTCCTATGGGAGCCAGGTGGGGACACGATTGGCTACCGTCCCCATTAATGGCTCCCACAGGAAAGCGCACATGTATTATCATTGGGCGTGACGTCATTGTGTCTTAGGTCAATTACAAACAGGGGATTTGTCCAATATTTACCTCGTTCCCGTGCATATTACCAACGTATTTGACATCGGGTCTTCTGGGGACGATGTCGTCGGGTTTGCTGTTAGAAATCGCCATTACCCAGAGTTCTCGATCTGAAAAAGCAATAGCCAGGAAAATGTCAATAATGTTATCAAGTCTTTTTGAACTATTTTAAAAAGTGCTTTCAACTAATAATTAGATAATTATTCTATAAAGAAAACTGTTTGGCGAATAGGCCAATCCGAGCACGTTAAAAGTAAATCGACGGAGGCCCCCTTCGATGGCGGAAAGCATTGCGCCAGCCAGCTATTGTTCAGATATACATCGTAGACTTTGTATCACCCGTCGGCCATAATTATTGAATTGAAAGCGAGGCAAACTCTTCATTTTTGGAACGTGCGAGTAGAAATGAAAGTAAAGAAATAAAGTTCATTTTAAAGTAATACCAGTCTGCTTTGATGAATAATTTAAAATTTGTGATTTATCATACCCTAATGTTTTAAGCCACATAAAAAAAAAAAATGAAAGTGAGGCTTGTAACGAACTCCAATCATAAAATAGTCTGGTAGCATTCCATTCAACAGTTTACAATTTACAAAACAGATTCAGGGAACACGATCGAACATGGCCTCTTCGTGAATAGGCCTTTCTTTTGTTTGTAAACATTGACGCCATTTTATATGGACTGCCGCAAGCGCATAAATTGAAGCCAGGGTTGACCATTATTTTTCCAGAAAACGTCCTCATAACGCCTTCAAAACATAGTCAAAAGGCATGTGTAGAAATTATGTTGTATGTTTGTTGACAATGTTGTATTTCCAAAGTATCAAATAATATTTGGGTTATCTGTAATAACTCTTCTTCATTTTCGCAGTGTTGGACCTTCCATAGTTTTGCAGGCCGTGGTTGGCAAAAATACAGTTTGCCAACCAAGCGTAGTAAGGTCTATAAGGTCTATGGGTGCAGTTAAAAGCTGGCAATGCATTCGCCACAGAAGGGGCCTTCGTGTGTGTACATTAATACCGTGCTGGCTACTTGGATTAATCTATATTCGGTAGCATTGGCGCATAAAGATAGTAGGATTGAATGTGGGTAAAGGTACAGTCACGTACGATAGGGATAAAAAGTAAACTTTAAAGGGTGCAGTAGACCGAGTCACAACCGAAAACATATAGTAGTCCTTGATCGGGTTTGGTTATGTGTTATTACTGACACAAAGGCCGCCATGCATGTAAAAGGGACCGAATCAACATTCCAAAGACGCTTTTCTCATGTAGGCCTATCTACTCTTCGTACTGTATGCATGGAAACATTCACAACTCGGGACTTTCTTCTAAAACCTTTTTTAAAATAAATTGGTGGACGAATAGGCAATTTTAGTTCTTTCTCACAGACTTATTTACAAGATTGTTCGTGTTGTCACGTGCTGCCGGCGAAAAGAAAACATCAGTTTATATACACACAAACTGAGTAGACATCAAGAGACACTATCGGATGTACGGTCCGTGTATTTACTCACTTTGAACCGAAGTACCGATGCTGTACAGATGGGTTTTGCTCGGGTACGCGTCGGCTAGTGAACTCATCAGCGACGTCAGCTGCTCATAGTTATGATATTCGTGCTGAATTTGGGGCACTGCCGTAGCAAACGGGACGAGTGCCAACAGCAACAAACAGTGAACGGTGGCCATCGTGACAAGGTGTTTTTTGAACGAGGAAACTATAACGTTAGTTTTATGTGTAGTTCCCGGTTGGGCGTTCATGCGTGTAGATTCCGATGATGCACAATGTAATACATGTATCAGCGAGTCATGATCACTTCGGTTGTTGTGAAGTTTTTGTCAAAGACGTATAAAGCCTATCACTGCACTATTAAAGTACGGGTACAAAGGTTGACGGTGCTAGTGTGTGGGTGCCGGGTGGGCAAATCAATAGATCGTAAAATCTGCATTATTCATTGCACTTTGTGTAAACATTACTCATCTTTTTTACAATATTTGCCTTTAATCTTAAGTTATAGGATCAAGAATAATGGTTGGACAGGCGGCGGTTGCCGAGTGCGCGCTGAAACTTTTTGTTGTTGATCCTAGTATACAACTGGACACGCCCATGTCAATGGGACGTTTGGAACGTGATCAAACACGAAAAGTTGACCGAGTACGTTGTCTGTTTGCTCTGCTGTCAATATAACGCCCTGCAACTTCTCAAGGGGAAAAATACATGTGTAGGGCCCTAATTTGGAAAATCATTTGTTGACTGCATCACTCATGCGTATACCTCAACTTGAGCCGCGATTTGCCCTTACCCTAGTTGTGACATCGGGTGCAAGGAAGTTTATTCGCGCACCGATATCTACATACTTATTGCGTTTTCAGCGACGTAGGCCCAACTAGTGATGTCGCAATTCGTTTTTCCAAAACTTTACACGTGACCGTTCTAGATCGAGGAAATTACAGCATCAAAGCTACGCTGTCTGTGTCATGTCTATGTGTCACTTTTTTTTGTAAAAAGGCCTAAGAAGTTCGCGGTAACACAAAATGCAAGGGTCAATGGGGAGGCTTAGTTAAAACATGAAGCTCCGTGGTTGTATATAATGTCCCGATTTTGCTTTTTGAGCAAATTTGTTTCTTTCAAACTTTGAATTATTAAATATTACATTACCTCTATGAAAACACTCCAAAACGTAACGCTATTACGTAAACATATCGTTAATGATAACAAATATGGCAAAATAGCTTCACCAAGGCTTACCACGCCCACTTTGGGGTCAACATGCAAATTGAGGTCAAAGTAAACATTATGACTCCACCCTGCTAGCGGGTGCCGCGCCAAGCGCGACATCCCGCTGGTAGCAACATAACTTTACAAATCACTTCATCTTGGTAAAAAATTGGATAATTTCCGTGAATGAAATGGTCCGAAGATGCCGCGGCTTCTATTTTCCCTCACCTATAAATTTGTAATCCAGGAAAAAAAATCCTGCCTCGGGAATTTTCCCTCCGTGATTCACATGAACAGATACTCTGTGTCTTCATGCAGTGGGCCAATATCCCTCAAATTGCTTCTCGAGTTCCCGCTTGACTTTAAAAAAAAAAGCGAGCGCACAATAAGCTCTGGCCGTGTTGCAAGAAGTCTTGCATGAAAGTCTTACATGAAATCGATCACAATGATTCCTGCCAGAGCTGAAAAATACAACGCCGAAAAATGTGACGCCGATGGCACATATGGAACACCGTATTTTGGTCAATTTTCGGGGACAGACAGACAGACGGACCGTCCGACCGACCAGCAAGCGACATGTGGAAGCTCCTGCCAGAGCTTAAAAAAATCCTCGCAAGATATTGACAGTCAACTCCCTATCTGGGGGAATTTGTTTATTGCACTAAGACTCTTGTAGATTAAACAGTTCAACACATTTCTACTCACAACCACTGTCAAGTCAATAGACTTATATTGCTCATAAATTTCAGATCGAATACCAACTGAACACACATAATTCTAAGTACTGTTAAACCTCTTGCATTTACAGCTGAATAAATATCTACAAGCTAAAATAATGTCAGTCACTTTACCTCTTTGCGATAAATTACGTCTATGAATATTGAAACAAACTCAAATGTGGATTAATACTGTAGTTCAAAATTGCACATGATTAGTACCAACCGAACAGTACTTGGGTGATATTTACTGAAAAGTGCTGTTGTTGAGTTTTTGGCCTAATTTCGTATGTCTGCTTAAAAGGGAATGTACATCATTGGCTTTTGCTGTAATTTTCAGAAATGAACTATTTGAGGGGTTGGTATAATAGATCAAATATTGTTACACTGACATGTTTGAAGTTTTGTGTTCGAAAAAGCTGGAAAAACTAAGAAAAACAAAAATGTTCAAGTAGTCTGGTTCCTTGACTCCACTAAAGATAAAATGGATCAATTTATAAATGCCGGAAAATTGTAAGGTAAGGGAACCAGTCTAGCTGGCCTGCACCCGTTCATGAACATGTAACCAATAGCAAACAAAATTTGGACTGTAAAAAGTGTAGTAAAGTTGGAGCAGTAGTTGAAAAATAGTTAGGTTTTTCCAACGGTGGTCGGCCGACTACCGTTGGAAATGTATACAAAAATACAATTTTCTTGAAAATGACTTAACACCAGGTGCCATAATTTTACAGGATGCTTAAGACTGTCATTTACCAACATCCTAGTAAGGTATTTCGTAAAAACTTGGTAGTTTTATTTTTCGATGTTTGCAAATGTTGTATATTCCCTTTAACGGAAAATATTTTAAGTTTATGTGTAAAACTGCAATAATAAGAGAACACAATTTTGTTGTTCAATGGACAATCCATGTGGTTACGTTATCTATTACACTTTATCAAATACTTATCAATGCTGCTACTTGGTATGGTGCATTTTACAACTTTACACAATTACATCTTACAAAGGATTGTCAGTGATCACAAAAAGTTAAGTATCAAACTGGGAGTAACAAAGCTAACTGATTTTTGAGTAATTGAAAGATAAAGTGATCATCAGAAATGTACATGTATTTACCAAAGTTGTTAATGTGACAGGGCGAGTAAAAAAAAAGGGAAACCTAAATGGCGCCCCCTATTTTGTAAGGCGGTCCTGCATGTAGCGCTTTCCAGATCTAGGATATTAAAGGCCATTCATAAGCTTTCTTTTAGTACAAGAATCATTCAAATCACTCATGTACTTTTCCAGGTATGGACTTTTGAACACAAACACTTTTTAGACATTTGTCCACAGATCACATTTGACCCCAACCCTGCTGAATCCAACAGGATCCAGCTATATCATATACCCGATGGAGCCTGTTATATTGAGCAGTAAACCCCTTGTGTACATTCCTCATGCAAGATGTTGGATTCAGCAGGCAACTGAACCGCATTATAAAAAATAAATTTTTCGTGAAATTTCCAGATTCATTTACACACGTTTGCGTATCAAAATTTCAACATGAAATTTCACAAAAATTAGACATCTGAAAAAGGCAGCACTGTCTGATTAACCTATAAAGAGGGTGAGTATGCTTCTAAAGCAAAAAAAAACGTACAGACTAAGCCTAAATATGAAAATCAAAATTTGGCAAAGTGCGACACGTTTTATGTACATGTGGATGTGTGGCCTATGTTTACGGAGGTAGTCCAGCAAATTGGCCACATTTATGGGGCTACATTGGATTCAGCAGACAACTGAAAATGAGGCACAGTGGATTGAGCAGGAAAGTCCGGTTGGACTCGGGTTGATTTAGCAGGGAAGTCCTGAGGAAGTACTAGGGGGCCAGGGTTAAATTAAGGTACGTGATATTTCGGTAAAATGAAACCATGTCGTATCATGAAATGATATCTGAATAATCCCATAAGTCTCCGGGGTAGCCAAGTAGAAGGCAGGGCAAGACTATCAACTCTTGACATTATAAAGCATGTTGTTTTAACATTGGAAGCAGCAGGTTTTTAAATAAAGGTTATGATATGTGCCAGTTATCATGGTTTATGAGAGAGTTCTGATGTATTTTTGATATGTGAATGGTCTTCGTTTTGCTGAAATATATTTGCTTTATTGCGATCCGTGGGCAAACTTATAAAACTGTGTTTGTGTTTAAAATTCCGTAACTGGAAAAGTACATCGGCGATTTCATTGAATCTGAAAAGAAAGCTTATAACTTGGGATTTCACATCCTAGATCATGAACGCGCAACATGCAGAACTTCTTCAAAAATTGAGGATGCCGTTTTGGGTGTTTTTTTTACTCACCCTGCAGAGTACACATTCCTCACAATGCCTCCATAAAGCGTCTATTCAGTATAAAATGCACAACCACTTACAACTCATTTGAAGGTACTTTCAATAATATCTTCAAAACTCCAACTCCACAGAGCTCAATAAATAAATATATTAATTCTATATAAATAATGGTAAAAATTTATCTACCACGACAAAACCAACACGAACCTCATTCAAAAATGATAGGTGATAAATACTGGCAAGCATTTCTTTTGGAAAATATTTCTACATACTTCCTATAAAAGGTTCTGTGAATATACCAATGTCTATAAACCTAGTTGACTAGTTTGATAACTAGTTTGAATCTCATTCAAAAACAATACCCAGTGGTCCCAGTAAGTACTGAAAAGCACTTCTCTGAGGAAATATTTGTACACACTTCCTATAAAAGGTTTTGTGAATATATCAATGATTATAAACCTAGTTAACTAGTTTGTTAACTAGTTAGAATCTCATTCAAAAACAATATCCAGTAAATACTGACAAACACTTCTTTGAGGAAAAATGTGTACAACTTCCTATAAAAGGTTCTGCAAATATATCAATAGTTAACTTATTTAACTTGTTTGTTAACTAGGTAACTAGTTTGGTAGTTAGCCAAGTTAACTAGTTAGTAACAGTATTTTCCTTCCTTGGTACACTGCTATTACAGATACTGTTGAAACTAATACTGTTGAAAACAACAAAATATAACAAATCACTAACAAGGGTATAGAATTTGGCATCTTAACATTCAGATGAGTTTCAATAGCCTAACTTGATTTTACGATTGGGTTTTAAAAACCTATTTCCGTAACAGAAAAAAACAAATTGTTTTCAACATTTTCATTGCACTCAGTGAATTTTAAATCCACTTAACCCTGTCTTCCTGAATACTTTCACAAATTAATAACACGTACACCCAGAATGTACCAAATAACTGAGTTTAAAGGTAGAGTATATCATTTGCAGCTATCAAAAAAGTAACTGACGATATTATTGTTGAAAAGCATACTTGGTTTGAAGATAGCAATAAAGTCCCTGTGAATTCTTTCTGCCATGCTGTCATTTTAGAGAATACAATGAAAGAATGTCATTTCCAAAGATGTGTCTAAAGACGCATTTTTGGAAATTTCCGTTAATAGTTCGTTTTTAATTCGGCAAAGCCGTGTATGTGCGCGGTTGCTAAAATTCATCGGTTAAGTGCGTGACATCGCGTAGCTGAATGAGAATCAGCTGAATGAGAACGTGGTCCGGACGCTGATCTCGGGCGCAATTCAAAACATGACTGGGCAACTTTTGAATCAAAATCAAGATCCTAGAATTTTTTTTTTTCTCTCGGATCATACAGCATTCACTGTGCTAAAACTTCATCAGGTTGGTTGTTAAGCACCCGTCTTTAGATTTTGAGCACTTTTGTTGCTTCAAACTAAAAAAAAAATGAACAAATGATAAATGATATACTCTACCTTTAGTATTTTTATAACTTGTCAACATGGAAGGGTAGATGGGGCTTGTTACCATCTTCAAAAGCCCAAGCAGGAAGGACACAACCTATGCCTGTACTGGTCCATGAGTGTATGGTGCAAAGAACACAGACCACTTCTGTACCTACACAAACTCAGAGCTCTTCGCAAGAGTGCCAGGCGCTGTCGGAAATGGTTCGAATGTCCCTCCAAGTGGTCTTCCCCAACTCTCCCTTTGTTACCACTTGAGGGGGTACTTGTCTACAGAGACCATTCCAAATGTAACACACCTGTTTTAAAGAGCTACAAGATGAATAGAGCCAAGACCAACTAGCAACAGGCTCCACGCTAGCTGAGTGTTTGTTGGCGTGCCGGTGTTGTACGTACAGTTGGTGATCTCGTAGTTTGTGGATACGGGACACCGGTTCAGGCTCGCCAGTGAGGCGGTGTCATCCTCATGGGCGCAAGTGCCGTTGATGATTCGGAACGCTCCGGTCGCAGATACTCTGCAAAACAAGGCAAAATAAGATCGAGGATCACACTAGCTTATGTGGTGTAACTTATTCTCTTATTTTCTGGTAATGAAACAAACGAATTCTCAAAAGCGCCCATGGCACTGTAGCCTGCAAGCCTATAGAATCCTGTGGACAAATGAAGAAATCTTTGGTTTTAGTAGTGGGAGCAAAACCCCATATCAATTTTTTCTTCAAACTTCACATTTCTTCACTGTCTTCTCTATGCAGGTTTGTTCAGGCTTATTGCTACAAAATAATCAATTTTTGAACTGAGAAACAAAAAATCCCTAAATTGCCAAACAAATTGAACACGATGCACAACCAAAACTCAACATCTGAAGACAATGTTAAATTCTGTCAATGTTGCTTGTTGCAAAAGTCGTAATAAAACCATCACAAGCCACATCACAAGCTGAATCACAAGTCATGTGACAAGCTCTTCAGATGACCTTTGAACCTTTGACAAAGGCATTTCCTTTCTTGCTGTTAAACAGCAGTAACTTGTGCTCTTACATGTCACTTTGTGGTTTAACTTTACCTGTGACATTGCGATTTGGCCTTGTGACCTTGCGGTCTGACTTGTGATATGACTTGTTATTAGGCTTGTGACTCTACTTGTGATTTGATCTGTGACCTTACTTGTGATCATGTGAATTGACTTGTGACCTTGTGAATTGACTTGTGACCTTGTGATTTGATTTGTGACCTTGTAATTTGACTTGTGATTTTGTAATTTGACTAGTAATTGTCTGCATTGGCTTGTGACCGTACTTGTGATTTGAGCTGTGACATTACTTGTGACCTTGTGATTTGACTTGTGACCTTGTGATTTGACTTGTGATTTTGAAATTGTAATCTTGTGATAGACTTGTGACCTTACTTGTGATCTCGTGATTTGATTTGTGACCTTGTGATCTGACTTGTGATTTGTAACTTGACTAGAAATCTTGTGCATTGACTTGTGAACTTAGCTGTGATTTGAATTGTGATCTTGTGATTTAGACAGCATACTTACCTGTTGGTGATGCGGCAGTTGAAATTGAAGTACATACTCTCCCTGTAATTCCTCCAGTTCTCCACGACCAAGAGGAAGAGGTTGGTCTTAGGAAGAGCCTTCACATAGTAGAAGCCCGACTTGCAGGATCCGGAGATGTTACCAATGATCATGCCGCTTGGCTCTGTGCCAAAAGGAACAGGTTGACCAATTAGCCTCTTTACTACATTGTATTACATTGTATTACATTGTGTTTATTCTCTAATGACTCCATAAAACTTTAGAGTGCTTTGGCACTTTGGGGCAATAAAGGGACTAACGTGTCCGAGTCAATTTATTGGGGCAATAAAGCCCCTTTATTTTAGTTTAACTAACTTTAGTTAGTCCCTTTATTTTGGGGCAATAAAAGGGACTAACGTGTCCGAGTTGAATACGCTTCTCACATACTGTCCAACAAAAAAAGAGACTTTGCCTATTTTTTTTTCAATCCTCACTTTCCACCATGGTGACCCGGGCGTGAATCCTGCCTGGACCAATATATGGATTGGGTTTTCAGTCCCTGCCTGATTCCGTGGGTTTTCCCTAGACTTTATCATTCTGGGGTTTCCCCCCCACTAAAACTGTGACTTCCTTCCACATCTTGGGACCCCAGTGGAAATAAGTCAAAAGACTTTCGTGGGCTATCCCGGCCACTAGCCGAATAATCGTAAATAAATAAGTCTAATGAATGATTGGAGGCAAAAGTTCAGAGTGTCCTTACCGAGTACCGAGCTGTTTGCCTGGTAACCCACCACGTCCTGAATACAGCCAAACTTGTTGGAGAAGTTGGGGATGGGGCCTTTGTTCTTGTAGTAATCGTCCAGCTCCCCAGGTGTCTTAGCGATTCCATTGAGATTGACCTGAAGAAACAAAATGGACTCATCTCATAAAAGGGCCGGGGGGGGGGGGCGGCCCTCGACTTTTTCCGCGATAGCCTTGAAAAAATTTTTTTTCGCGACCCGAGCTGTTATGACTTTTTAGCCTCAAGCCTTGCGCATCTTTTGATACCAAAAACTTTTCACAGTATGGGCATTTCTAATCAGCTCAGCCATTAACCACAATTTCCTCAGATTTTTAGCAGGATTTGACTAAAATATAAAATATATTTGTATATATATTTGTATATATTGTATATTGCATGTAAGCGCAACAGTATACAGGCTGAATATATGTATGTAGAGGCACGATTCCTAACATGAAACTGAATTCAACATTACATATGCACACACAGTTAAGGTTTAATCGTACGCATACAGGTATGTAACATTTTTTTCCCCATGTGCCGAAATTGTCAAATCAGGTGCTGCCTGGTCAGACAATCCCACTTCTGCAACCAGAAACTTCTGAACTTCAGTGAGAATCCCACTTCTGCAACCAGAAACTTCTGAACTTCAGTGAGAATCCCACTTCTGCAACCAGAAACTTCTGAACTTCAGTGAGAATCCCACTTCTGCCGAAATTGTCAAATCAGGTGCTGCCTGGTCAAACAATCCCACTTCTGCAACCAGACACTTCTGAACTTCAGTGAGAATCCCACCTCTGCAACCAGAAACTTCTGAGCTTCAGTGAGAATCCCACTTCTGCAACCAGAACATTACTGGACCAAGCCCAGTCTAATGTGGCATTCTTAGCTGTAGGTAGCTTTCCAGCACTTAACTGGCTCGTCACTCGTCACTCAAATTCTGATGGGAGGCAGGCTGGCTCTGGACAACAGACGCACATACATTAGGGATAGCCTGACTGTTTATCAAGGACAAATCACTGCACTCGCACCTGTTTTATTAGTATGTGCGAACATATTTATGGTCGTCAACTGATTAAATAGCCATTATCTTAGTAGGGGGCTCATGAATACGAACCCGGGAATCCCGGGTTCGCGAAAGCCACATTAGACTGGGCTTGGTCCAGTAATGAACTTCTGGACTTCAGTAAGAATCCCACTTCTGCAACCAGAAACTTCTTAACTTCAGTGAGAAGCCCACTTCTGCAACCAGAAACTTCTAAACTTCAATGAGAATCCCACTTCTGCTACCAGAAACTTCTGAGCTTCAGATGAGTCCTTGCTGAAGGAAAGACATAGGGGGAAAAAGGAATGAAGACAACAGAAATCTTTAAGGAAATAAATCTCACCCTCGGAGATGAGGAGGACAAGCTACAGGATCCCTGGAAATCAATGGTCTCCTTGCGGAAGAAGAACCTATGTTTGTAGATGAGCTCTCTCATGATCTCCCCTTCCTTCTTGCCGAGGGAGACGCGGTTGTACTTGGCCGTGTCCAGGTCGCTGATGCTGATGAACTGGGGATCGATGACGATGTTGGCGGAGTTGTCAAACAGGTAGCACCTGTCCAGAAAAGTATATGACATGTGACAAGTTTACATCAAAAAGAATATTGCAGCTACCCCTGGTTCGAAACCCACCCAATGGATGAATAAGTGACGCTACAGGTAGCAGATTTGGACTGAGAGTGACAAATGTAACCTCGTCACAGTTTGGGGTTTCCTTATATGACAATGACATCATGTCAATGTCAGAGGTTAATAACGTCACACTTTGGTGGTAGTAGTACAGTCTAGGGGGCAAAATGTACGTTTGTCAAACTAATGACATATATGCACGACAGGGACATGAGAGTGACATAACTTGGGGCACATCAAGAAGAAATCTTTGCTCAAGCTAAAAAAGAAATTGTTAAACTCTGGGAACAGTCATTACTCAATCATATCGTCATCACACTCTCCAATTCGAAGCCCAAGAAGAATCGTTATCCAAAAATCAGCCATAGGAACATTCTCAAATCATCATCAGGTCGACTCTCCTCGGACTGCAACAAAGGCACGCCATACATCACGCTCTCCCATGGCCGTCCTGATCTCAGCTGCGGAGGCTAGCCCAGTGTCCCGACGCAGCTGGCCCACGTTGGTCAACATCTGCCCACCTCGAGAGGCTACTCCACGTGTGGGTTCCCATAGGATGAGTTGGCTTGCAGCTACTTCAGGATGACGTACGCGGCGTCCAGCCAATCGCAGACGCCTAGTTCTGATAGTTCTGCACCTGATTTCATCAAACTCTTTGTAACTTACGATGCATCGCAGCACTGCGACGCGTCGTATCTCTACGATGCGTCGCAGCTGCGACGCGTCCTGCGATCCATTTCACTAAACACGTCGTAAGTGCGACACGTCTCAGGTGTATTTATAGCCCAACTCAGTGACTGTTTTATGTCTTTAGTCAGCGTACAGTAAATAGTTGTCAGATATTCAATAAAGAGTCGTCGGATCTCAGCTCAAAATATGTTAAAACGTAAAACAAAATGGCGGCTGTGCGATGCAATTTTGAAGGAAAACAAGGTCTCATTGGACTGTATAGCTACTTCAACTCTGAAATTTCAACTCTAATATTCCGGTCTAATTCATAATTATTCAATGAATTTTCTATTTAAAACTTTACACACATTGCCTCGGTATTATAATCTCGTTAATGTAATGTTTGTGGCATAAAACTGGCTTAGAACTGACTCTTCTTATTTTGCGATGACCACTATACACGTCGTAACTTGCGACGTGTTTTAAGCCGTTGTCAAGGAATTTACGCCGTATTCAACACATCGCAACTTTAGTGAAATGGAAGATACGACGCGTCGCGAGTTACGACGTGTTACACGTCGTAACTTGAGTTGCGACGCGTCGCAGCGCTTCGTGAAATCGGGTGCTGATCTATTACCAACAGGTTGTTTTCAGATGTGACAGTCACATGTCAGTGTCATATCAAGGGATTTTTGCACAAAGGGGAGACAATGACAAAAAGGGACACTACATACCTCGTACTACAGCCGGGCTCCCCGTCGGGGCACGGATAGGTGAACTGACATGACAATGGCATGTCGATGTCACGCATGATCTCAAACACGTTGAGGTGGAAGTCATTATACAGGATGTCCAACGATGTGACTGCCTCTACTTTGACCGACGCGCACCGCGTCGTGTCGGTCAAGTTAACCGCCTTGCTCTTGTAACATCGAGCTGGTGAAGAAGGACATAAACAGGGCATGAAATTCAGAATCTCTAAAACAGGAAGGCGTAAAGAAACCACACATATATCTTATTTCAATTTTGGAAAAATGTTTTATTTTATAAGCAATATTATCAAAAAATGTCCATCTCAGTGACGAAAATTATATTATACAATAATGACTGACTGCTTAAAGGGAATGTACATCATTGGCTTTTGCTGTAATTTTCAGAAATGAACTATTTGAGGGGTTAGTATTTTAGATCAAATATTGTTACACTGACATGTTTGAAGTTTTGCGTTTGAAAATGCTGGAAAACCAAGAAAAAACAAAAATTTTAAAGTAGTCTGGTTCCCTGACTCCCCTAAAGATGAAATGGATCGATTCATAGATGCTGGAAAATTGTAAGGTAAAGGGAACCAGTCTAGCTGGCCTGCACCCGTTCATGAACATGTTACCAATAGCAAACAAAATTTGGACTGAAAAAAAAAATGGTAAATTTGAAGCAGTAGTTAAAAAATAGTTAGGTTTTTCCAACGGTGGTCGGCCGACCACCGCTGGAAATGTGTACAAAAATACCATTTTCTTGAAAATGACTTCACACCAGGTGCCATAATTTTACAGGATGCTTTAGACTGTCATTTAACAACATCCTAGTAAGCTACTTCGTAAAAACTTGGTAGTTTTATTTTTCGATGTTTGCAAATGTTGTATATTTCCTTTAAACACAATGCTACATCAGATTCGATATTCGATTCAATATTGTCTGCTCTGTAGCTCCCCGAATATAGGGCCCAGGGCCTACCTGACACACAGTCGGCGTCCGTACTGCATTTGCAACCTCCCGGTTTCTTCCCGTCGACCAGATCGCACTGCTCCTCGTCGATGGTGGGCATTCCTTCAAACACGGCCTGCGACACGCTGATGATCTTGCCCACGCCGGCCGAGTCCATGTAAGCCGTGGAGATGGAGGTCTTGTCGGAGTTGGTGATGACTCGGTGGTACCACGGTCTCCTGATGGTAAGGAAGCGAATGTACCGGTACAACAGGATGCAATGAACTTGAGACATTTCAGAAGTTCAAGATCTGAAAAGCTTTAAATGATGTTTTGGCAATATCTAAGACAATCCAGAGAAACACTTAGCCCAACCAAAAAATAAATTTCATTTTAAAACCAAACAAAAAATACTGAGCCAGCAGGTTTTTAAAAATCTTAACAGAATATAATTTAAAGGACTGTTCATATTTCACACGAAAATGAAAGCGAACGTGAAAGCGAAGCAAATGGCATGACATCAACACTTGAATTATCATTGCGGCGTTCGCCGTAACCTTAACAAATTTGCTTCACAGTAAAATTTGCGTTGAGTATGAACCGAACCTGGCTTCAGGCTATTTAGAAGCTCAACAGAATTGGCCCCATTTGATCTTACTTAGTTGGGTCGTAGTATCTCTTGGACCTGTGGCCAGGGTAGGTCCTAAAGACCCCGCTGCGACAGCCGATGTACGTCCACTTCACGTCTTGCAACATCTTCTTGTTGCGACTTCGCCAGATCTTCTCAATCTGGGAGGTGATCAACACATCGGCTCTGCGCACATGACGAAAATATACAAAACTCAAAACACAAAATTATGGAAGTTCTTCTTTCAATAATTTTATCAGAATTACCTACAAGTTGAAAGCATTTTTGGATCCAGTTAGATTTGTTTCTTTACCATTAGATTTCCAAGTATGTCCAAGACTTAACAAATTATACAGGGTGAGTCAGAATGATCTGGACCCAAACTAAAATATTAAAATGAAGTAGCAAACTAAAATATTAAAATTAAGTAGCAATTATCAAAACAAGCGCAAATGAGATTTGTTATAGGCTGGTGTTTTTGACATATTTGGTGAAAGTTTCATGTATATCCATTGTACTATTTTGACGAAAAGCGCTAGCAAAGAACACAAGCTTAAAAAACACTCTGACCAAGGTTCCATGGTTCAACAAATTTATTGATATCGCATACTGATGTGACTGCATTGTTTGAAATGCAGTCACATCAGTATCCGACTTCAATAAAAATCAATTCAAATAACCATCTCCACCCTCACAGGCAGGGTTTTACGCCTGGGTCGGGGAAAAGCAAGTTGTGACAAAGTGCCTTGCCCAAGGACACGCGCACCGCAACCCCAGGCTGGACTCGAACCCACAACCTGCAGAATTTTCTGTTAGATCTTGTGTTTGACGCACCGGACCACAAGGCCACAGCACTTGCCTGTTATAGTGGAATCCGGCGACCAGAATTAGAATCTTTTACTGCGGTGGCGTCATGCTCACGCGCATTCTGCACGCGTTCTTAAAGACAAGGCGCGCGCATTTTAGTATTCCTATTGGTCGAGGGAGCCCAGAGTGCGTGCGTAATCCCGGAGCCAGACTCGCGCGAACCTGGTGCCATCGCAGAAAATGGCTGCCGCCGGATTTGTCGATAGTTAACCCTTTCATTACCACATTGTTTATTGACTTGGCTCTCCCCAGGACCAAATTGTTTGCTCAATCATGTGGAAATCACTAGAGCGTGAAAAATTGACCACAAGTAGAAAACTCACTTTTTCAACCCAGATTTTCACTGCCAAGGAGTGATTAAAATCATAGGTGTTGTGTGTAAAGTTTGTTCCTTGAACCTTACTCTTTCATGTGATGTAAAAATGAAGTCCATATTCGCAAATATAAGAAAGCTATGCCTTTTTGTTCATCTGGTCCCATTTATCAAACTGCAAGCCATTTCACCACATGACCAAATGGCACTCCATACCTCAAATTGTGCTTGGATACTTCTGAAGCACTTTTCTAAATTTTTTGTTATGGTAACACTGTGAATAAACTACACCATTAGAACGATTCGAAAACACTCTTTCAGCTGGTATATGGTTGATATGGCGGCCAAACATATTAACATGCCGCCTTTCTGAAAACTAGTAAATATATCTGTGTTGAGGGTGTTCTGTGTGTGGTTTCCTGGTCGACTAAAGTCGCCCATGGGAATCAGCAGGGGGGTTCTTGTCGACAAAAGTCGCCCATGGTAAGGAAAGGGTTAAGTAAATGACAGCTCTTTTACCTGATGCCTTTCCGGAATTTATTCTTCTTGTCATCTTTAGGACATTCCACGTCTGGGTCCCAGCCGTTGATGAACTTGTGAGCGGCCACCGTCTTAGTGGCCAAGTCGTCGTCCACCAGGTAGACATTGGGGTCACAGTAGCAGCGGGGCGCCAGGAAGAAGCTGGAGTACAGGTAGGAGACCCGCAGGTCCGGGTACTTGGGCTCGTTGTAAAATACTTGCATCTTCTCAAATTCACCTGTAATCGAGATCATCAATAAGAAATCCAATTATCCCTCCCCAAAAAATGGTGAAAAAAATGCAGCTGCTACCAAAAAGGGCACTGTTGTCTGGCTTGGGCAACTAGTATAATATATTATGTCGCATTTTGACCTTTGCATTTTTTTTGTTGTTAAAGAAGGAATTTTTGTCATATTTGGATAGCGTTTACCTTCCTAAGCCAGAAATCCATTGGTAAAATTTTTTTTCCATCTACCATGTGGCGGCCATCTCCAAACACACAACTGCACAAATACAGACACGGCCTGCCGAATTTTCGATGAACATCTCCATGCTTAGATTGCTTGGCAAGATTGACAACTTTAATTCGTTTGAACTGGACACTCAATTGTCTGAGAACTGGTGAGAAACATTTCAGAAGCTTGATTTGGTAGGCTTCAAACCCACAACCTCCTGCTTACTAGTGTAGGGGCTGATTTCACAAAACTCGTCTTATCTTGCGACTCATCTTAGGACTTCAGACGAGTCCCCACTCTCAGATCGATCCTAGCCAAGAAGCGTCCTAAGACCGATTTCACTAAACCCAAGTTAAGCACGGTGCATCAGAACTACCAATTTTATGGCTGTTTCATGTTTGGTTTTTACCGCTGGACGAAACAGTCGTTGAAAAGATACATGCAAAACCGACTTCCAGTGCGCATGCACAGAACATGAACTTTTGCCAGAAAAAAATACTGTACTCAATCAATTTCACACGCAAGGCAGTTCTACACAAGATACGATAGAGTCATTCTAATGCTCCCTGTTTCATCACTCTATATTAAAAAGTCGACTAGGTGTTGGCATATAATCAAATTTTGTAAACGGGCGATTTTTATTAAAAATACCCACGTATCAGAAATCTTTTCAAATCTGTTTCTATGGCGGTTTTTTTCTTGCAACTATAACTCTAGGCCGACCCTCATCTGTAACGGCAATGATTTCCAGACGACTTAACGCACGCAGTAATGAGATAAGACGACTCTCAGACCGATCTTAAGTTAAGATGAGTTCAGCTGCGTTGCTAAGGAAATTAGGACATGTTGAGTGCGTCTTAAGTTTAGAGAAATCGATCCTAGGATGAGTGCCGAAATTAAGACGAGTTACCCTTCCTAAGATATATCTTAGGGCTTCGTGAAATCAGTCACAGGTGTCTCAAAGGCCAAACTCTATACTGAAATTAACACCTGCTCAACGGAAACATTCTATTAAAAGCTACAAACAGTGATTTAACAACTGTACTAAGAGCGACGTTACCTGGCAGCTCTTGCCTGCCCAGTGTGCTGTTGTACTCCTTCAGGAGATTGAAGTAGCTGGTCGGCTGGAGGTGGGATCGGTCTTTGGGTTCCTCAGCTTGCCGGAAAACCTAGAACACAATACAAACATGAGAGTGAGATATACAATCCCGGACACAAGAGGGCAATGGCACTACTGCTAACAGCAGTCTATGCTTTGCATCTGCAAAGATTCAGGCATAATATTTAGCCGCGGGATAGCAACTCAACAGATCATTATCTCTCTGTCAGCCCGTTAGTTAGTAACAAACATTCACATTGTCTACTGCTCGTACATATTTTGACCGATTTCAGTCAAACTTTGTCAAAAGTATCAGTAGCCCCACCACAACATGTCACATGATCAAACTGGGGTCAAAGGTCATCAGGGGGTCACTGGGGTCAAAAACCTGATTTTTTTTATTAAAACTCAAAACACTACTCCTTCCAGCAATTACATGGCACAATCACGTGACTCCTGCATGAACACGAATTTGTTGGCCCGCAGCTTCCGAGATATTTCAGACCGAGCTTCCAGCTGCAATTCGATCCTCAGACACACACGCCAAATGCAAAGGTAACCATGATGAGTATGTCGTTACTTACTTCATCTGTCTTGGCGAGACTGAAGGCAAAGGAATAGTCGGTTTTGTCCAGGTGAGTGTAGAAGTACGTCGCCGGCATGACTTGCCGCTTGACACCGTCAGAGAAACTACCCTAAAATGAGAAAATGAAAACATCAACACAAACTTTTAAAAACTACTCACAAAGCCCACCATTGAAGAAATAAAGATTATTATAAAGCTCAAGTCAAATGAATAAAGCAATTTGACATTTGAACATGAACAGCTCAGTAATATCCCTTTTATAATTTTTGTAAAACAAAAACAAAGAGATTCCAGATGATGAACTATCAAATTATTGTAAACTTAGGCTTGTACGACATAAGCAACTTGTTGAGTGTTTTGGAGTTCTTTTGACTACAAAGCTTAATTTCCACTTAAAAGTGCTATTCCAAAGTCTGTAACTTATTTTCTAATCTAAGACTGAAGCTTTTACTTATTGATCCACCGTCCACACTTTCAAGCTTTGTTCACACCAAATCAGTTACAAATTTGCCAGTCAACTTTATATTGGAAAAGTACTCTACGACACTGTGCTAGATCTTCAATCCTGACCAAATCTCCCTGGGCCCCGGCCCAACCCCCCGGCCCCCACTCAATGTTGTCTCTCATTGCCTGGTGTGTGCTCCATCAGCTGGAGAGAACAATATTGAACGGGGGAGCGGGGGAGTGGTAGACCGTACGGTGGCAGGCTCAGGAAGTGTCTTAACCGTTTTGGCCGGGATTGTAGCTCCCTAGACCTTTTCACTAGGAACCATCCTCAGTCTTCCAAAAACCCTCCACTGTACTGGAATCCAATTGCAAACTCTCAGCGCTTTTAACTTTCAAGGGAAATCAGGCACCATGTAAAAGTCAAAGTGTTTAAGTTGTTCCTTCTTCCTACAAAACCCTCCAAACCCTCTGATGGTTTTTAAAGAACCTGGCAGGGTTTAGGGTCAAACAAGTGACAACTTTAATATTGTTTTAAAAATTGAATGGAGCGGGGTTTGAACCTGGGACCTCCGGATTGCCGTTCAGGTAGTCTACCAACTGAGCTATCCAGCCCTATGTTGGTGGTTCCCCATTTGGTCAATGTCTCTGTTCACGGGGCGCTAGTCAGAAGCCATAAACCTGTATATGAACTACCTTAGGAACCCCTCTCTGTGCGTTCTTGATTTCTCTATATCCAGTCTCGCCCTTCAGCATAGCATCAATGACTGCACTGAATTCCTCTGGCTGGCCTTCAGGCTGCTCCAGTTGTCTGATCGGGACTAGAATGGGATCTTCTACAAGCTGCGGAGGGGAACAAATTAGTGAAAATGTTTCAATGTTTCAATTCAACAACAATTTTGAGACCAGCTTGCTCAGTGATGTTTTGCAAACCCTTTGCAAACGGTTTTGTCTCAGAATCACTCAATATTTGAACTCGTGTCGAGTAGCCACGTCTCTAAAAACTATTTAACAAGCACTGGAATGGACTCTCCGGGAACCAGTATACAAATAATGAATGTTTATGAGTGCAATAGAAGGAATATTTTCATGAGGTGAAAGATTGACTGTTCCATTCAACGAGGCATAGCCAAGTTTAATGGACAATCAATCTTTCACCTCATGAAAATATTCCTTCTATTGCAGGAATTGAAAAACATTCATTATCAAGCTAAACGAGTCGTTTGTCGACCCTGGTCAATTTTTTTTTTATATTACAGATTTGAAAAGAGCACAATCTCAGCATTACTGCTGTGAAAACCGCATGCTGGTACCATCTTTAGTTCAAAAATTATGGAAGTTGGAACACCAAGAGATGTGATGAAGTGATGTGATGAAGTGGCCCTATTTTGGCCTGTATCTCCAATGAAAATTTCCGATAAACGACTCATGTAGCTTGATCGCATCACATTTGTTTTATAAACACCTATTACACATGGGTTCGCCTCAGGTGCCATTTGCACCCTCGGGTGTACAAAACACCATAGACCCTGTTACAGCAAGCAACAATTAAATAATGTCCTAGCTAGGTCCAAAATATTTGCCACTGAAGCGATGAGCTCACTCAGAGGTCATCATCTTTCTGGTATGGAAACTCGTCGCCATTTGTTTACGTCACTTTGTTTACATCTATTGAAGTGACGTCACCAGTCTGTCAGCAACCCTGATTTTTTTCTAGGGCCCGTAGACGGATGAACTTACATCGCTGCTCGGTTTCAAGAGAGGATGGAAGATGGTCCCCCCGTAGTTGTCGATCAGGAATGCGTAGACTGATCCCCATTGCTCGTTCACGATCAGATTCTCAATTTCTTCCAAGGTGCAGTCCACGCCGACGACACCAAGAAGTCTGCAAAATGCATAGTTACATGTTTACAAGATGTGGCAATATATTACTGCAATACTGAAGTTGGGTTGACAGATTTTCAAGTGGTAATGCTGGTAATATAGCACACAATAATATTCCAGTTAACCCTCCTGATATTTAAACAGTCACAGACAGTCAAACTTCACCTCCACTTCCCCTGCTATACTTTTAACAACGGCTAGTCACCAGCAGTCAGATCATATGTCAAGCAAGCACTGTGACTAGTCAAACTGGGTCAACAGACATAGCAGGCAAGTTGTGGTCACAGCTGTTTTATCACTCACCCGGAGGCAAAGCATAGCTGTATCAAGTTACTTAAACAGTCCCAGCCAGCCAATCCTGCTCTCTGTAGGCTGGGAATTCTGAACTGTTGAAAACAGTCACTTGTTTGATTTTGAAAGGACTAATTGGCACAGAATGTATGTTTGCATACATGTAGGAGGGTTAATTATTCAAACTGCTTGCCTGATTCAAAGTTTAGAATTTCTGTAATATGTATGCAAACTCATACACTATGAACATCTGATCCCTTAAATTTTCATTAAAAGTCCATTTCTCCGTGAAAAGAATCTTGATAGATAAGTTTTGCAAAAAGAGAGTGCTAGTATTTTTAATATTTATGGATTGACTGCAACATTTTTATTGACACGCGCTGTATACTCCCACGTTTTCGCGCTGAGCCCAGAAGACCATTTGACTCACTTCTCAGTGCGATCGCTGATGACCGGTATCGCGTGCGTGACCATCTGCTTCAGGCCGAACGCGTCGATGTACGGCGCGGTCCACTTCCCTTCGAAGTCCTTGGTCTGCTGGGAGTTGGAGGACAGGAAGTTGAAGTAGTCCCGCATCTTGCCGATCAGGTTCTCTCCGTCCGTCAGCTTCTTGAAGTAGCCGCGGTTCTTGCAGGCCAGGTGGCCCGGGAAGATCTCGCCGGCGTCGATGGTGCCGTAGCTGAAGATACGTGCCTGGACAAATGAATAGAGTTTACATTGGGTGACCCATTAAATTACGGACAATTTGAATCAGTACAATTGAGTGGTCAAATACAGTGTCAAATTTCTTCACCAACTCAGCATACGCGTACGGTGCAAAATTTGAATTAGCAACTTTCTTTTTGTTTGGCCTGTCCAATGTTTTTTGTTCAGCAGTGTGATGTACATTATTAGAGATCCCTGTCATTTGATTGGTGGAACTCACATCACGAGACATTCGTTATTGCTCCTATTCACGCCCGGGCTCAAAAAGTCCCATTCGCCCATGGGGAATGGGAAATACTATTCAACAGTTAGGATCATTGTTGTTCCATGACGCGGTATTTGTGTGCAAATGCATGCTGGTGTGCACGTTCAGCGTAGCGCGTATTGTTCCAAAGAGGCAGCGCTACAGAGTTGGGTTCAAACATTTTCATAAAGGGGTGGTTTGGAAGAGAGAAATACATTTTCCGCCAGGTTTGTATTGAAATAAAAGTTCAAATATATCAAATGACAAGGATCTATATGTCAGTTATATAAAACAAATATTGAATGGCTTTAAAGGTAGAGTCCATCATTTGTAATTTGTGCATTTTGTTCGTTTGAAGCAACAAAAGAGTTCAAAATCTAATGAAGGATACTGAGCAACTAACCTGATGAAGTTTCAGCTAAGCTTCAGCTGTACATTCCGAGAAAAACAGCATTCTAAGATCTCAATTTCAAATCAAAAGTTGCTGAATCATGTTTTGAATTGTTTTGAATTGCAACTATACGCGACGTCGCGCACTGATCCGACGAATTATAACAACCGCGCGCGCATGTGCGTCGTTCGAATACTTGTGCACGCTGCGCTGAATAACAAAACGAACTACTAATTTAAATTTTCCTACGGTGCTTCTTAAGAATCACCGTTGGAAATGCCTTCTTTCGTTGATTACTTCAAAATGACAGCTTCCCAGAAAGAATAATTTCACAGGGAGTTTAGTCTCCTTACTATCTTTCAACCAAGTTAGTTTTTCAACAATAATTACGCCAGTTACTTTTCGGATGGCTGCAAATGATGGACTCTACCTTTAAATTGTGAAATGGGAGGAATATTATCGCTCGCTAAAATCTGGACTTTTCCAGTTCACTCGGCGAAAGTCCAGATTTTACCTTGTGATAATATTTCCTCCCATTTCACTCTGAGCCACTCAATGTTTGTATACTGTCTTGTAAACCTTATTTGCAAACCTTATACTATAAAAATCCATCGTATACAAGTCTTTTTTAATGTAACAGTTCAGGCAATTTGTCTTATTTTATGTAATTAAAATTGTTGGTTAGTCATGCTTTCTCCAAAATACATGTCCATATTGTGGACATTTTTGTTTCCGACTGCATCATAAAATCACAGAAATGTAAAGACCAGTCCATGGTTCACAAACCAGTTCATGCTTCACCAAGTGTTGGTTCACCGCAAAATTTGTTGGAATAATAATGAACTTCACTGAAAAAGAGTTGGATAATAAAGAAAGTCTTACTCATGCACTGGGTCTTCCAATAGAAGTGTTAATTTCCATTCATAAATACCTAAGACGCATTCCTATTGGTCGAGAGCCCATCACGTGGCCGGCCTTAAACGGATGATAAAGACATGGCTAGCTGGTCTTAAACACTTTTCCAGTGTCACATGAAATTTGGACTCCTAAATATCCAGTGCCTCTTACCGTTTTATTGGTTGAACGTTCACAATCCTCACGTAGGCAAGCGCAATACTACCAGTGAGTCAGTATTTTATAGTCCTAAATTCACAACGCGACGCCCCAGGTGCATTCTGCGCGACATCGCATAGTACACGCGCGCCAATCTCCAATAGAGGAGTTGTTTACATCTTACTCGCGAGCTGGACACTCCATTATTTAGCTAGAGGGGTGTTTAAAAAAACATGAAGTGAACTTGTTGAACAAAAGTAAACAGATTGATTAAAACCTCCAAAGCACACATTTATTCCCTTATTTACATACTCACAATCAGTCAATAGCCCTGACCCGTATTATAAAGACACTGCCGACACATACCTGTGGTTGAGCAACAGCGTTCAATTCTTTGACTCGGTTCCACACTTTGCTCCAATCGTATTTGCAGATGGGTCCCGGTACGTAGCCACTCCGTGTGTAATAACCTAATAAACCATACACCACATGTCAATTTGGTTGAAGTTATGCTTGCCGAAGTAATACTTTGCTAGTGCAGTACCAATATACGTTTGCACAGTGGGGCGAACGACAACAGAAATTTGTCATCATGTGGTGTTTAATGAGCCTTATTGAGATGTGGTGGACACAATAGAAAGTCACTCTTTGGAGTGGGTAAACTCTTTTGTAATGGGTGCGTTCGAGTAGCTCACCGATCGACTACGGTAAAGGCAGACGGGTTAGCCACGACAGCCGGGCTAATCGAACGCTCAACCGCGGGCCATCACGATCCTCACGTGACATTCGTAGCCTCGGCTGTAGCCACTGACAAAATGCCCGTTTTGGATTGGGCCTTAGTTTGAGATTTACTGCATTTCAGTCAATTGCAAAACACACAAAAAGTTGGGCTGGAATTATAGCCTCAAAAGTCAATGAACTCAATAAATAATTAAGTTTCGATTTCAAATAAAGTTAATTTTTAAGTCCTATCGAGATTTCTGCTGCCCGGCCTCCATATTTATCCATTTCTTGGAATGAACAACGCATGCGTGTGACGTATTTTCACCACTGACTCTGCTCCGTGAGCAGGGTCTGTGATGGCTGACTTGGGTGAGCTCCGAGAATGACGTCAGAGCTAATCGAACGGCACGAAGCTGACCCGTGGCGACCCGGGTGAGCTAAACGAACGCACCCACAATACCCAATCTAAATAGCGCCCTCTCATTGTGTCCAACACAAGTAGGATAAAAGGATAATTGTTAAATAGAATTGAACGTGACAAATTCTCGGTACCTGGTCCACAGCGGACTGTTTCTCCGTCCGTGTCTTTGCCGTCCGTCACAAGGATAATGAGGGCCTGGCAACCAGTGCGAGATTTACCCGACAGCAACTCAAAGGCCTTCTCAAATCCTCGTCTGTTGGGCAGAAAAATGACAGAAGAAAGACGTTAATTTCCTCAGGCTTCAAAGTGGATGTGCCAATGCACTCTAGATGGGCCCCAAGTTAAGGCCTGGTGTCCAAGCTTAATTTGGCAAGTTTTTAGAAAAAAAACTTTCAATTACTGTTTAAAGGTATAGTCCATCATTTGCAATTTGTGCATTTTGTTTGTTTGAAGTAACAAAAGTGCTCAAGATCTAAACAAGGGTGCTGAACAACTAACCTGATGAACTTTCAGCTCAGCTTTAGCTGTTTATTTCGAGAAAAACAGTATTCTAGGATCTCGATTTCAAATCAAAAGTTGCTGAATCATGTTTTGAATTGGGCCTGAGTTCAGCATCCAAGACACGTTATCACTGAGCCGATTGCAGCTACGCAACGTCGCGCACCGATCCGACGAATTATAGCAACCGCACGCATGTGTGCGTCGTGCCAATGCTTGCGCGCGCTTCGCCGAATAACAAAACGAACTACTAATTTGAATTTTCTACGGTGCTTCTTAAGAAGCACCGTTGGAAAGGCCTTCTTTTGTTGATTTCTTCAAAATGACAGCTTGCCAGAAAGAATAATTTCACAGGGAGTTTAGTCCCCTTACTATCTTTCAACCAAGTATGTTTTTGAACAATAATTACGCCAGTTACTTTTTGGATAGCTGCAAATGATGGACTCTGGCTTTTTAGCCAATAGATATCTCTCAAATGACGCCACTGCCTACAGATTGTCACGTGCATCGGCATTTTGGGGTCAGATTTTCGTGACGCGCATCGGCCGTATTTCAAAGAAAGTTCGAGCAACATGCACGCTGTGCACGCACGTACTTGATGGCGTTGAATACGCAGTTGTAATTTTCCTACGAAGATGTCTATGAGAGGGGTCTATACTTTACAAACGGCTGCTGCCCCAGTATGTGTGCACGTAGTAGAGGCATGGAATATTGGCTCTTGGCCAGATGCTGTATTAACGACATCATACACAATAAATTGCACACAATGTATATGGCCGACTAAGAGATAGTTTAGGCCATCAGCCTGGGGGTTTTGTCCGTATCAAATGAGGGGAATAATGATCATTGTGATTTTTGGCAAGGTATGCACCCCTGTAGTTGGAAAATATGTGACAGCATTGCAGCGGTGGCAGCTTTTTGGGTGCTATCACCTTGTAAAAAGTAAAAAAAGAAAAAAATGGCAGCCAAAACATGCTTGTTACCACGTATAATTAATCCAGTTCAAGCATATTGGCGGCCATTTTGAAACACCCAAAAAACTGCCACCGCTCACACTGCAAAGCTATCACACATTTTCCAACTCTAGATGTGCATACCTTGCCAAAAATCACTATGAGCATTGCTCTTTTCGATCATTTGATACCGGTGGCCCAATTTTTGGACCGAAGCTGTTGGCCTAGTTCCTGATCATTGAAATCTTGTAAAGTTAACTTCCAACAACATGATTAGGCACTAAGGTGCTTCTAATGCTTCATAAACTAAATAGGTTTACAGACATCCTAGATTCTTTGTAAAATAAAACTGGAAGGCAGATCACGTCAATACAAGATCCTTTTTTTAAATTTAAATATGGGTTCCATTTTAACATTTGAGGAAAAGCTGTGAATGTATTTTGACTTTTTGTTTTAACGTTTCAATGTGTAAACGTCACATCCTTGTGTTTCATTATCATAAAAAATTTGTTCTCATTTATAAAAACAGAAATATAATTTTAAAATCCAGAATAGGTTCGGCTTAATTTCTCCTTACTTGAGTTCACTGGTCCCTTTTGGTTTCAGTTCACCGGTCTTCTCCTTCAGGTCTTTCCTATGAGCCGTGGTGGCAGGAACCAGACGGTCATCTTTGCAACTCAGAACGGTTGTGTTGAAGGGGTACCAACTGCAAATATACATAATGTTTTATAATCAAAAAAACTTAAATTCTCCCTCCCGACGTAACCAGTAAAAAAAATGTGGGATTCTCAAAATATTGTGCTGAAGGTCTCAAAGTTGTATTTGGTGTAAACATTTGAAGAAAACTGTTCCTTGAAATAAAAAGTGAGAGACCTCCAACTTGGCAATTGAAATACCAAGGACCTCCTTATGAAAAGTTTGGAGAAACTTGTGTTTTGAGTGAATAAATTTGCCTGATTTTGTTTTGAACATTTTATACTTTTGGGGGTCTCAGTCTGCTCCTCAGCTTCATGCAGAAAATGCACGCAGTTTAAAATTATCAGTAATTCTCATATACAGGCATGCAACTGGGAATTTAGAAGAAAAAAAAAACGAGGAAATTCCAAAACACACAGGACTTTGTAAAGTGTTTTTCAATTTGAGATGGCATTCATGAGCGGTAAAAAAAAAAGAGGAAATCAGCGGATCCGAGAAAAAGTTGCATGCCTGAATATAAATGTCTTTTTTTTCTTCATAACTTACTCTCCGACTTCATCCCAGTGGCTTGCCCGCGCACAGATGACGTTGACGTAGTCTTGCTTTGTCAGCGTGTCCAAGATGATTCGTACCAAGGAGATAGCAATGTCAAATTTCTTGCCTTCCATCGATGTACTGCAAAGAAAGAAACACAAAAACCTCTGAAACAAACGGTGGTAATATAAAAACAAGTGGCAATGGTTAAGTTGTTTTTATGACAATGTAGACCCCTAGGTCCAATGATAATGGTGTCTTAGGCCGAACATCCATGTGTCAGCTTTCCATGTGTGTATTGCGCTGTGCGTTTACCAGTTGCGTATCTGTACTCTGTAACTCCATGTGTACGTATTTCTCTGCACACTTGACGGACGTAAAAGCGCAATTAGAGAGCACGCAGCAGTTGTGCGAGTAGAAAAATCAAGTCTCAATCAAATTTGGATTAGCTTTGGCAAAGTACACATTTTACAAATAAACACTGACAAGATTATAACCTCTCAATAAGATACAAAGGGTATGAATATTTTGTGTTTTATCAATGGAGGATTTGAAAATTAAAATTGAGGCAGGCCCTAGTTTGTTTCAATAAGATTCACATAACTGCTTTGTTTTAAAGACAACCACAAATATTTATCTTTTTAACCCACCGCTACATCGTTTCTTTAAGTTGCGGGCCACAAATCCTGTGCGTATTGTATGTGTCATCCGTTTCAATCGCCACCTGAAACGTACAAAATGTCAACGGATAGCGCAGTACGGATAGCACACTGCGCAATACGGACACATGGACGTAAGCACGTTGCTTTTTCAAACAACCGATTTTCACACATCACGCAGTGCGCACTACGCTTTATACCGCCCGACAGACACATGGATTTTCGGCCTTACTCATGTGGTGGTATGTGGGTTTGAACACCAATCATGGCACTTGTGTTCTTGGGCAAGAGACTTTACTGCAATTGCGTACCTGCAGTCCAAGATAATGACAACATCCTTTGGGTCGCTGGTGCCCGTGATGTACCATGGCCTGACCCGCGGATCGTAGTCGTTGTAGAAACCGGCAAAGTTGCGGCTCCATTCCCGGCCGGGGAACTTGCGAAGGACGCCTTCCACTGAGCCGAAATATTGCCATCTACACAGCAACACAAAAAAAATATGGAGACAATTGTAACATAAATTCCATCAAGTGCAAAATGAGCTGGTTCCAAATCTAGTATATCATCAGGTACCACAATCGGTGACATTTCATGAAATAGTTTCTTCTTTTTTTTTAGAGGTTTTTTCCGGGTGGGGGGGGGAGGGGGAAATTCTGATACTTTACCTGAGTGACGAATCGTTGTTGAAGTTGCTGATGAAGACGTCGTCTAGATCTTTAGTGTAGAAGACGGCGTTCACTGTGTCTTGACTCTCGCGTGGCACCTCATCAGATATCTTGACTGTGCTCGACTCGGTACTCACTGCTTGCCGAAAATATCTGCGAAGAAAAGAAATTTTCACTTCAAATGTACATCATCCAACAGTTGAATCCTTACAATGAAAACTTTCGTTGTTTAATGTTTGCAAAAAAAAGTTGTAGTTTTTGTCCTTTTTCTGATGTTTGGCCAACTTATCTGAATGTTCAAGTGTTGTTTTTGCCTGTACTTAGTGGGGAGAGTGTCCCAGTTTTTTTGGTTTGTAACTCATGATCAGAGAGTCATTGGTTCGAATCCAGCTGCTGGCCATATATTGTGTCCTTGGGCAAGGCACTTTATCACAACGTGCCTCTCTCCACCCAAGAGTATCAGTGAGTACTGGTATTCGCTGAGGAGTAACCTGCAGTGGACTGGCATCCCATTCAGGTAAATATAACTTATTTCCAGTCGTTTTAGGCCACTGGCCATAAACACCAGTCTAATGATCAGACTTACGCGTTATACTCCAACTTGGGCAAGCGGCCCGGTATGTCCGAATCCTTGTAGATTTCCTTAGGCATCTCGGGCAGCGACCGGTAGATAATCTTCCCCAAGTTGTCGTCGTGGAGACGCTTGACAGCATTCGCAATACGCTAAAGTAAATCACATTAACTGCCATGCATTAACAATGAGAGAATTGATGAATTGCTAACATTGGCAATTGTGCATAAAGCAGGTTACAATCGTTGGTCTGTGGATAGGGTTCATAACTTGTGATCAGAGGGTCTGCAAAGTGTTGTGTCCTTGTGCAGGCCACTTTACCCCAATTGCCTCTCTCAACCCAGTGTGAAGTCCAACACAAGCTGGAGATTATATCTCTTAACCCTAACCCACCTCAATCCTCCAAAATCCTCCTGGAAGTTTTGGGGATTTTGGAGGATTGAGGATGAATGGTGTTTGAGAAACGTGATGATTTTGGAGGATTGAGGATGAATGGTGTTTGAGAAACACAAGGATTTTGGAGGATTGCGGATGAATGGTGTTGAAGCACATGTTGAAGCACATGATTAGGAATGGTGTTTGAAGAGGAGTAGTTTGGAGGATTGAGGATGAATGCATTTGAGAGGCAGAACTGTCGGATGATTTTGAAGGATTGAGGCGCTGGGTATCCTTCATCTGAACATAATGTGCATAATTTTGGAGGATTTTGGAGGATTGCGGATGGTTCCAAGCAAAAAGGGCCTCTAGAAAGGGTTTTAGCTCTGAAATTATGGAGACATTTTTTTGTAATGTTTTTTGCTGGGTAACTTGCAGTCCATTCTAAGCAGAATTGGATCTGGAAAATCAAAATAGATTCCAAAAAAGTTGAAGTTGCCAAAGTCTAACTGGCTCAATCTTAAGACTCACCTTGGCGACGTCCTCCTTACGCGCAAAGTAACTATCCAACAGTTTCTTAACGTGGGCCACAATGTTACTAGCATTCTTCTTCTGATAAATGTAGTCAGCGTTGTCATAGTAACTCTGTGTGTACTCCGTCTTCAAACCATCACTGGCCAACTAAACATAAACAAGATGAGGGAGGAGTTTTTTAAGTAAAAAATGTATTTAACAGTATAAAAGGGCGCATGCAATGTAATTTTTAATGTAATCCTTAAAAATACACCTTTGTGTCCCATTTAACCTTATTTTCAATTTTTGTTTTGCCATTTTTAAGGGTATTTTGGTGAATTTTGTTTTTTATGCTAATGCAAATTTCCATAGTCATGAGCAAATGTGTGATGTCATTTCAGGCAGAAGCTTCAATGTTAAAGGGAAAATACAACATTTGCAAACATCAAAAAATAAAACTACCAAATCATTGTGAAATACCTTGCTGGACTGTTAGTGAATGACAGTGTAAAGCATCCTGTAAAATCATGGCACCTGGTATACTGTCATTTTCAAGAAAAGTGGTATTTTTGTATCAATTTCCAACGCTGATCGGCCGATCAGCGTTGGAAACAACTGGCTTTTTTTCAAATACTGGCCCCAATTGACCATCGCAGTTGTTTGCAATCGATTACAAACCTATGAACGGGTACAAGCCAGCTAGACTGGTTCCCTGACCTTACAATTCCCCAATGTATGTAAACTGCTCTGTTTTTTCTTATATGGAGTCAGGGAACCAGACTACAGGAAAATGATCGTTTTTCTTGGTTTTTATAGCATTTTTGAACCCAAAACCTCAAAAAAGTCAGTGTAACTATATTTGCTATACATTTCCAACCCCCCAATTCCATCCATTTCTGAAAATTACAGCAAAAGCAAATGATGTATATTCCCTTTAAAGTTTGCATGTTTTGCTATCACAAATTTTCTTTTCTTTGGCGATTCGTTGTTGTTTACACGACAGTAAACCTGTGAGCAAACTTTTCTCACAAATGTTTTCAATGAGTAAATGTTTGGGTTCACAATTTCAACTGGAAAACCCTGTGAACTGAACAGTTTTACCTGAAGGATGTAATTTTGGATGAGCGTGGCCCAGTTTTGGACGTGGCCGACCAATCGTCCGCCCCCGTCCTCCGAGGCGTAACTGTAGCCGGGCCCCTCGTCGTGATCAATCTCGTTGTAATTCAGGGTCTCCGTGCACGGCAACATCAACACCGTGGCAACCAAGCAATGGCACAAGAATACAGCTGTTCCCATGGCAACCATTTTTGTAAAAGTTGCGCTGTGCAAGAGTTACTTCAAATAAATTTTTTTTTTTTTTTTTAGATTTTCAAATCGTTGAAAATGATGAATGTCAAGTTTTAAATACAAAAGTATGGAGAAAACATCTTATCGGTGCATAATTTGGGATGCTAGCAAGTGCCTGGTCATCGAGAAATCTTGCAGTGTTCGCTGAAATTCCCTCGAAGTCCAGAGCTTGCTGCAGTTGCGGGAATAAGCTGGCATGTTGGTTGTTGCAGTCAGTTCATGTTGCTGATATGATTTTGGGAAGGCAATGTCAGCTTTTCATTCACTGTAAGAGGGAAAAATGAATGTTTTATTTAACCAACAAATCAATGTTGTACATTATTTGATCAAAGATCAAAGAGCAAGGAATGATTTTATATGATGAATCTAAACATATCACCTGGCATTGGCAATGTGTGCATCGATATCACTTATTCTTCCAAGATACTTGGGCCTAAGAACTCATCTTTGTTTTTCGTATTCGGTCAGTCACTTTTCAAGTGACTAATGCCATATTTCCTTAAAACAAAATTAAAAATTTAATAAGGCCAAGTAAAAAATACTATTTCGTCCGGCCTTTTCAGTAGTTTTTCATCCGGACTTTTTGAAAAAAATAAAGGAGGCAGGCTTTTTTTTTTTTTAACTTTAAGGTGGCAGATTTTCCATGAGGGCGGATGGATTCCTCAATTTTCTCTACTCTTTTGCTGATGCAAAATTGCTTCCGATGGAGCCATTGTCCTTTCTACATAGCTAAAGTTTTGCCTGAATATTGTCACATCATTATGCATCGGCATTTTGGGAGTGACATTTTTCGTGATGCGCATCAGCTGAGCTGTATTTTGAAAAAATTTTGAGCAACATGCATGCGTGTTTAGAAAATGTTGCACACTGCGTGCACAAATACCTGATGGCGTTGAATACACAGTTGTAATTTGCCTACAAACTGTCTATGAAAGGGATCTATAAAAAAAAAAAGTAACCCCCCCCCCAAAAGAAATTATTTAGGCCGACTGTTTAATTAAACAGCTAAAGAGATTCTTCTAGTTCTACAATTACATGAATTAGAAGGCACCTTTGCCAAAGAGAATTTGAGTAAACAGTGAGTGGCGTTTGACAAATATTCTTTTCAGAAAGAAAACACAATACCACTGTCATACTGTCTATAATTTAAGGTCGATCGCCCAGGGATGTCCGAGAAAATGATGAAGATCGATGCTTGAATCAATGAACATGATCATAAAGTAAACAACATTGACATGCATGAATATGAATGGCAAATGCTGATCGATCACTTCATTTTCAACATGATCAATCCCTCATGATCAACTGAAAATTGCTGGGGGAAAAAAACGATACTTACACCACACAGATGAAGATTACCCCCTACGTGTATTTCATTCATTCTTCTGGCTGAGGAATCATTACTCTCCCTTTAAACCCTCGTCCCAAACGAATTTGTTACTGTAACTGCCGTGTTATTTACTGCACTTCGCGAGTGATGGCGGACGTGACCTCAATTGACCCCCATAATTAAATTGATTAGCAGATTCCAAACGGCTGTTTCATGTTCGCACAACATATCCATGTCAACTTGACTTGTCAATAGTTGGGGGCGGAGATTCATGAAGTGATATCTAAACATCACATGGCCGATTTGCTTCACACTATTTTTAATACATTTCTTTTTTAGATTTTGGTTTCTGGCAGTAGACACTATTGGTTAAACTAGAGTTGATTCCGAAACGTTAGATTTCAGCATGTGCAGTGTCCTACATACAGAACTGTGAAAAAGGCGGTTAGCCTTTGATGATGGCCCAGAAAGGAAAAATTGTCAACACAACACCTTAAACAACAGCATAAAAAATGACATTGCATGTCTTTTCAAGGACACCTTACTTTGATGGTCAAAAAGTGGGCTGGTACTCATTAAAGCCCCACCCCCTTAATTCACAACATGAAAACAAAATCTCACAATGTACTACTTCAAACTTTAAATACTGCAGTGTCACTTTTATTTTACACCTTTTGAAAAGGAAAATGTTAAAAACATACACACATATGCATACACACAAATATATTGTACACGCTATGAAAACAAATGAGGAAAGACAGATACCAAAACATTTGATAGGCGCATTTAAGGTCTTTGCGCTTGCATTAGCATGATTACTTCTGATCAAGCTCCATCGCCAAATTCTCTTACTCAAAGTTGGCAGCCCAGCTGGACATCTAAAGAATTTGAATTTGTAAACGTTGACGGCATTTCAACTGTTGTGAATTTCACCGCGAATGCTAACATCACGTTTGTTTCGCAATTGAATTCGCATGATGTACGCATCGGCCGTTTGGTTAATTTAGAGCTGCATTTCAGAGTAAATTATATTGCATACATGTATTTGTATCATACGTTACAGGAAAAACAACCAGCTGACTGAAAGAAATACCCTTATGCCTATGTGCACATGTTCATAATAACAACTTTTCCAACGCAAACTATGGCTCATGATGTTTACGAAAGTTACCCAACTCAACTCGGTCACGACTCACAAAATGCAATAAACTTGATTGATGTTTAAAGGAGGTAAACGTCTAAAAGGACTTTATACTCATGAAATAAAATAGCAAGTGCAGGCTTGTAATGCACTGGGTACAAATTTTTTTTTTCTACCATGTATTGTTATCACCACTCGTGAACAAGCCTACCCAGGCACATTATCATTTCGATTAGGAAGGCCCCCTTCAATGGCAAAGAGCATTGTGCTAGCTATTGTCCAGATAATCCATCACAGGGCAGCTGCTTTGCACAATAGCGTGCACAATAGATTCTCCATTAAAGGGGGCCAAAATCGTCTACAGGGCGGTGCAAAAAGAAGGAAACCCACTTTTGGCAGCAATTTTCACCTACTTGTTGAGCATATTTCAAAAATTCAATATAATGGTATAAAAAATATTGATCTTTAAACTTAAGTGAAGAAAAAAATTATAAGAAATGCAAATTTTTTTCTGTGAGATATGGTAGTTAAAAAATTGCATGTGCCAAACCTATTAATCCATGATCGTCTTTATTCCATCCGCTTTTTAGCCCTAAAGCTTGATTTGAAGACCAAAAAACCCACTAGATTTTATACATGAACAACAGTGATTTTGATGACTTGTATTCAAATTATCATAATAACGTTATTCTTGCCATTTTTTCAACAATTTTTTTTCACCATGAATGGTTGAAGAGCTATACTTCACTTTATTATAAAAAAAACATCAGTTGAAATAAGTTAAGTAGGTTAAAATTCCTGTCAAAAGTGGGTTTCCTTCTTTTTGCACCACCCTGTATATGCAATGTGTGATTTTAGAGTTTCTAGTTTAAAAAAAATGCGTAGTGTTGAACTACGTGTACATTGTTCATTGCAAAATAACAATTATTGCAACAACCCTTAAACAAATTGTGAAGATATCTCAAAAGTTTTAAAATGACTCTGTTGAAATCAAATTTTTTTTATTGAGTGTGTGACAAGTATGCTCAACTTAAAGATACATAGGATCATTTACTTATTGTGCAATTGTTTTCATCTGATGCAACAAAATTGCTCAACTACCTATTGTAGTTTGAACTCTGTGGCTACTTTACAATTTGCGAAAACAGAGCCGGAAAACATATATGCACACAACAGGATTCCATTGCAATTTCACATAAAGTGTCCACGGGCACACTTTTTCAAAAACTATCTTCAATGATAGTTTTCTTTTGATCCAAAACATTTCAGAACAGAATAACTTCACAGGGTATTTGATACCAGTTCTGTCAATAAATTGGTGGGCACTTTTCCAGGTTATTACACATGATCCAACGAGAATTTAAACCAAAATATGATTCCTAATATATCCGCAAAAAAGTGTTAGCATTTTCGTTTCAGGCTTACGGCATATTACAAAATACGAAACACATAATACAAAATGTAAACAGTTTTTAACGACAAAGTATATTTTTTTACCAAAAATAAACACGCATCACATTTATATTTTCCCAACAAGCAGTTTGGGTTAAAGAAAAACTAAAATATGGCCATTACATTACATTTTCTTTAAATGTCAGAAAAATAAAAAATACCCACAAAATATGCATTCACATTTACATGTACAAGTGTGTTGCTGCCCGTCCACCGCATACAGTTTTCAACCTTTAAATATTTCACAAATAAAAACATATAAATACTGAGTGTGAAGCTGCTATACATGACACAGAGTAGTAAAATAAAAAGTAATTTTTGAAATACTTGTGATTGGTTACCTTTGAAATTCGCTTGTACCCCCTGCCCTGCAAAAAGGACGCTGGGAAGGGCTGATGAATTTACGCTCTGATTGGATAGATTTTGCGTGACCTGTGACCTGCAAGTCATCACGGCCACGACCCTACAAGGTTTTAAACGGCCGTTACTACCGAGTCACTACTCTTTTATTCCCATTCATAAATGCGTATTTTTCGTTGAAAAAGCGTAATAATGTAGGAAAGTCTGTAAAACTTATCTGTTTTGTAAATGTTCAATTCCTGTCACTCGCTCAGGCTCCGTTTCGAATTCACGAAAGGGTCACATTGCATATTATGCAACGCTCAAATTTGTCCACATGGTCCACAATGAGACAGAAATCACATCCGGTATGCCATGTTTGCATTTTCTATGAGAAAGTTTTCGGATAGCATTTGCGCGCATTAGCTAACCGCAGTCTCAAACAGCTGCAGCTGGATGTGTATAGGTCTTGATAAGTTACCCAGAATGCCTTCCCCACTTCCTTCACAAGATTCTGTGAAGCTCATCAGCCCTTCCCAGCACCCTGTTTCCAGGGCAGGGGGGGGGGGGGACAAGCGAACCTTTGAAAATCAAACGATACTTCTACTCAACTGCAGAGAAAAATTGGCAACCTTTTGCTATAGCATTTTGAACTTGTGAAAACAAATATAAAAATGTACAAAAGATAAAGCTATCTCATGATCCGTAATTTCCAAATGCTGCTTTTGAAACTCTTAATATATGTGCGTAATTGTATGGCAAAACTGAAACTTTAAACCAAAACCTGAAATTGTTCATTTTTGAGCGTAACCTTCCATAATCCACCAAAATAATGGGCCATAATGGGCCATTTTTGGCAACTACAACATTATGTTAAAGGCATATAGGATCATTAGCTTTTCACACTTTTTTTTCGTTTTCCAACAATAACACGACTCAAAATCCAAAGAAGAATGTTCAAAACCTGACCTTTTGAAGTTTCAGCTCAGTGGATACATGTTTCACTCTTTCCCAGAAAACAGTGAAATACCATGCGCAACCTTTTCATCACAAAACACAATTTTTGTCCGTACAGGGTGGTAAAAAAAAAAACACTGTAGAGTGACTCAAACCACCTGCATGTACCAATTGATGGAGAATCCTTTTAGAAGAATTACAATACCAAAATCTCCTGATTCGGTTCAGTAGTTTTTGCTGCAGAGCCTAGCTTTTTTTGTGAAGGATAGTTCTTTCATGTGGGTATTATCAAATAACAATCCCACTTTCATTTACAATGTAAGTCAAATTCCTGGGCGCAGTTTAGTAATTCATCGGGACAAAAATGACGCCCACCTTATTTCACAAAATAGGCTCTAGAACAAAAACTACTGGACCGAATCGGGCAATCTTGGTTTCATTCATCTTTTAAAAAGATTTTCCATGCATTGGTATATGTGGTTTGAGTCTCAGGGTAGTGGAAGTATGCCATTACGTTTTTCTTTTTTTCTTTTTGGACCACCCCGCATGTACATGGGGGATAAAAATAAAAAACGAAACCGAGATATTATTGCTAATTGAAACAGAAGTAGGGCACACGTGAATCAAAGGAAGATATCCTCTGTTAGGGTTGAATCTCCTCTTTAAAATGACACCCTGATCGTGTCATTACATTCACGGTTGACTGAGCAGTGAACAATTTTATGAAAGGGTCTATTTAGAGAATTGCGCCACTTTTCATGATGAAGTCTTTTTTCCCTACCTGCCTTGATTGGCAACAATAGCCTTTCACAGAAACACAATTGAAAAGTGGCGCAAGTCACTAAATAGACGCTTTCATAAAATTGGTCACTGCTCAGTCAACCGTGAATGTAATGACATGATCAGGGTGTCATTTTAAAGAGGAGATTCAACCTTAACAGAGTATCTCCCTTTGATTCACATGTGCCCTACTTTTGTTCCAATTAGCAATAATATCTCGGTTTCGGTTTTTTTAATCCACCCTGCATAGCACCTTTTATTTCCAAAACCCAGTCAATGATTAATATTGGAAATCACCTACATTTCTTGATTTCTTCTAAATGACAGTAAGCCAGACAGAATAATTTCACAGGATGTTTGGTTTCAGTACAATCTCTAATCCAAGTAAGCTTTTTGATAATTCGGTCGGTTACTTTGGGATAAAAGCAAATGATCCAATACGTCTTTAATCTTTCTGGTTCGTAGTGTAGGTACATGAGAAACAGGCCAATCAAGCGTGACAGTTTGTTGGGCTTTGGTGGATTGAGACTTTACACAGAATATGAAAAACAGAAAACAGTCGACTCTCGATAGTACAAACTCTGTTAATACAAAATTCTGGTTATAACAAACATAAAGCCTTAGTCCCGACTGTGCATTTATGTGCACAATGAATGGGACTGATGTTCCTCTTAACACAAAATTCTGATATTACAAACAATTTGGCTAGGTCCGAAGGAGTTTGTATTAACGAGACTCGACTGTACACCCTTTGGGAACAAAAGTTTAGCTAGGACCGAAACGTAAGAATATCTTAACTTTTAAGTTACATATATGTTAATAAAAATAGGCAATACTGTCAGATGGATTTATTTACAAGTTACAACTGGGTATGTGAAAATATTAAGTTTCATGCTACAAATGCATGCTAAGGCCAAAAAAAAAAATACCTCGGTCTCTGGTCAGCGCGCACGTCGATTTTAATCATGCGCGTCAACCTTTTTTTTTTCTTCAAATTAACACGGAAGCTACAACAGCGCCCTCTATTGCCGCACCTCCTCAAAGTTTTGTATCAAGGAGCACCAAGGAATGGGGAAATTGCACCAAGGCAAATGATGAAGGGCACCAAGGCAAAATATGGAGGACACTAATGTATAATGAGGACACAAAAAAGCAAAACAGTACCCACCTTGTCTGTACAATTCAAGCTTGAAAAAAAAAAAAAAAAAAAAAAGCTGCGTCGCCGCATCAATTCCGGAACTTCGGTCTGACCAGAGACCGATTATTTTTTTGGGGGGCCTAATACCGGTATGTAAAGTACCTTGTAATCCGTTGACCTGAACAACACCCTCCCAAAATGCTTCTATCAAATGTTAAGATTTCATCAATTCTGCAACACAGGGCACTTGCTTTGAATGGGCGGATAGTACAAACAATACATAATACTGACCAAAATGTGATGGGAATCGATTACTTCATCTTCATCTCTCATACATTTTGGGGCAATGCTTTTTTTCCATACTGCACAGATAGTATTAATAATAATAAATTGCGTTTTTATAAAGTGCATGTATCCACCATTATTGGTGCTCAAGGCGCTACACCATTATTACCCCTGCTCATTGGGCCCATGAAACGTTCCAAATACCATCTCAGCTCCCTGGGGAGTATACAGCTCGATGCTGCCTGTTAGGCGCAAGGAAGCTAATTCAATCACAATAACCATCTCTGCCCTCACAGGTACCCATTTACTCCTGGGTGGGGAGAAGCAATGAGTGACAAAGTGCCTTGTCAAAGGGCACACGCACCATGACCCCAGGCTGGACTCGAACCCACACCCTGCAGAATTACCCGCAGACCACAAATTCAATGCTCCAGACCACAATTCAATGCTCCAGCACTCTACAAGTACACTTTGTGTCAATGCATGTTTGGCAAGCTTTTTGCGAGTCCTACCCTTTTCATGGCAATGGGCCGGAGACCCTGAACAAAATTCAACTTTCTCCCTGCTAAACACTGGTTGGTAGCGACCAAAAATAATTCTCGAAAGGATCGTGACATTGTTTAATATATTGCAAAAGTTCAAAGACCGTAAAATCTCCATTTGAAGCGTCTCAAATCCCACTGCATGGAAACTAGCTTTGGCTAGCTGCACAAATATCCAATTTGTCGGAAATCTTGAAATGCATTTGCGCAAATATTTTTTAAAAATCCACTCTTTTTCAAGTCCGAGACCAAGCCAGATTAAAATACTACAAAATATAATCCTACTTACAATTTTGTTAGAGCGTCATGCAACAGTCGCAGGCTCTAACACTATCATGCTAATAATATCCTTGTGCATATCCAAATATTCAATGTACAATCCTGGCATAGTTCCACCTTGTATAAAATAAATAGCTGCGATTGGAGTTCTACCTTGTTTTATTGGCCGTCGCTTTAGTCCGTGTCGACACGCCGAGCCGTTGACCTACGACCTCCAGCATGACACTGATCAGGGCGTCCAGGTCATAGTGGTGGGTCCAACCCCAGTCTGTCCTCGCTCCAGAGTCGTCGAATCGCTGCGGCCAGGAATCGGCTGTAGAAATGGGCAGAGTGTGACAGCAAGAATAACAACTGACTGAGCAAACATGAGTGTAAGAAATGAAGATTGACACATTTTCAGCCTAACAGCCTAGTCAATTTCCCTTTGCTTTTTTTAATTTGATAATCCTTGAGCAGAGGTACTTTCTGTACCTTCAATCACCGTTTTTTGTTTATTTTCAGGATTTTTGTACCTTTGTGATCCTAAATATATTTAAAATAGCCCAGAGTATTACCCCTTACTGTGATTGTTAAATGTAATTTGCAGGGGCGAATCAAGTTAAAAAATGCAAGACGAAAATAACTTTAACTACAATTTCTCTGTTTTCACCTTCCTGACAAACTGATTTCAAACGAGCATAATTTTGCCAGGGAAATCTGTTGCCATAATTGAAACTGTCATTGAAGTGGGAGAGACTTATATTTTTGTTACAATATTCCAAAAAATAATTTTCACGCAGCTGTCCAGAAGAGTCTGTTTTGGACAAAAATCATCGCATGCGGACTTACCGATATCCTGTCGTGAATCGGGCTCGTAAATGACGTCGAGTTGAGGGACGACCTTCCTGAGCTCGGTGGCAAGCTCCTCCGGGGTGAAGCTGACGGCGGCAATGTTGTACGTCCGCAGGGCCAACTTCTCCTGCGGAACCTCCAGCATCTCCACCACACCGCGCAGGCAGTCGTCGATGTAGATCATGGGCAGCATGGTGTCGGGCTTCAGGTAGCACTTGAAGGAACCCGACGTCAGGGCTTCATCGAAGATCTGCACAGCGTAGTCTGGATCAATGAAAGCCACACAAGACGTTCTTACGATTCCATTTGTTGGGGAGTGTGGCCTAGGGGTTAGGGTTTGTAAATCATGATCAGGCCGGAGTTTGAATCCTTCTGCTGACCATAAATTATGCGGTGTCCTCGGGCAAGCCACTTTACACTCTCTATCCAAACAGGAGTATGAATAGCAGTCTAGAAACTAACCCTCCTATGCAAACATACATTCTGTGCCAAGTAGTCCTTTCAGTCAAACTCAAACAAGTGACTGTTTTCAACAGTTAAGAATTCCCAGCCCACATCCAGCAGGATTGACTGGCTGTGACTGTTTAAGTAACTTGATACAGCTATGCTTTGACTCCGGGTGATTGATAAAACAGCTGTGATCACAACCTGCCTGCTTTGTCTGTTGACCCAGTTTGACTAATCACAGTGCTTGCTTGACATATGATCTGACTGCTGGTGACTAGCCTTTGTTAAAAGTATAGCAGGGGTAGTGGAAGTGAATTTCGACTGTCTGTGACTGTTTAAATAGTAAGAGGGTTAAAATAGTCTTTTTATGTGATTCTAAAAGCACTACTGTCGGGGAGTGAGCTATTTTAAAACTTCCCTTGTAAGCTTGAATATTAACATGTGGGAGATGTGTGTATGTAGGCTCAAAAATATTCATGAGGCATTTTAAAGTTAATATCAACCACGCAACAGAAACTTACCTGTTGTTCCACCCCCAGGCGTCGTGTCTCCGGATATGACACCGGGAAGCCTTAAGGAACGGAAGTCAACTCCAAATCGGTGGTGATAATACTGTCATGGGAGGGAAAAAACAGTCAAGTTATATATGCAGTGCCCATAAACCAAGGATAGATAAAAATGAAGATTTTGAAATGGCAAGTGTCAAGTGGAAGCCAGTCAATCAATTACAACAATATTTGCTGGTCCCAGAGTAGGGCTGTCCAATTTCGAATAATTTAGGATTCGATTATTCGAAACTGCACTTGACCGTGTATTCGAATATTCAAAACTTGCCGATCAAGTTTTACACACGCCAGCTGAAGCTGTCTTCCTCGCTGGTCAAAAGTTGCAAACAAAGCACGCCGGTCAAAAATTGCATGCGGTGATAGATATTATGGAACTCTGGAGTGTTTTGCAATTGCAGTACAGTGTAAGTACTGTATAACTGTCCAGGGACTTTACCCAGCTAAAAGAATGGGACCAATAAAAACATGTACTAGTCGACAAGAAAGTTACCGTCGACAAATAAAGTATCATCTAACAACAAAAATGCAACTTCACACGATAAACATGACTCCACAGACTCCATAGTTTTCTCTGGTCAAATATTCAAATCGGCAAAAAGCTATTTGCATATCCAATTGATGATCGAATATTCGGTATATTTCGTCTCATTAATTCACTAACTGACAGACAGACAGACAGACAGACAGACTGACCGTCACTTGTGACTATTACCTCTCCCAGCAGCTCGGCGTGAACTTTGGACACTCCGTAAATCGTCCGTGGTCGCTGAATGGTCACATCTGGTGTGGGATTGCGCGGCGATTCCGGCCCGAAAGCCCCGATGGTGCTCGGGCAGAAGATGCGTAGTTGGTACATCTTGGCAAGCTCCATGACGTTGTGCAGACCTTGTATGTTGACCTTGATGGCCAAAGGCACATCCTACAAGAAAGAAACTAATTTATTTAACGGTTAATAAAAAAATTTAAAAATTTAAAACCAAAGGAATACTGTTCTTCACCTAAAATTGAATCCAACAGTTCAATTTTATTAAACTGATAATATTAATAAGATATATGCTGTGATTTGTAAAAAAAAAATTATTTCTGCACTTTGGCAGAGCAATACATTTAGAAATGTTTACTTTTATGATGCATGGCTGGAGAAATAGTGCTGCATCGATTAGGAAATGCAAGTGATGGTAAACATTTCAATGGGGGAGACCACTGGAAGAGACATTCAAACGCAATGCCAGCAACGCCGACGCTCACGCGAAGACATGTATGGCTTTGTGCACAATCAGAAAATGTTTTAGTTGTGCGTACTAAGCGCTATATGGTGTGTCCTGTCTACAGTGCTCGCGAACCTGGTAAAAAAGCGCCCTCAATTGTTAACCAATCATTTACTCACGTTTTCCAAACATTGATCTTGACAGTATTTTCACCAAGTGTGTATCTGTTTTTGGTTTTGTCCCACTTTATGTTGAAAGAGTTTCGTGCATGAAATTGTGAAGGTTTTGGCTCAAGCTTTTTTCCTGGTGAACTGTGTTGTGCTATCTCATTGAAAGCCTTCATTTTCATGATGTGGTTTGTCGGTTAATCAAACAGAAAACTTTAATTGAAGATCTGAAACAACTGACTACTTTACAACTTAAAGGAAAATTTTAAAACAACTTACCTGCTCCCCAACAGCACTGAGCAGCGCACTGAAGTGAACCAACCAATCAATGCGCTCGTTGACAATCAACTGCTGTAGATTCTTGAAGTCCAGAACATCCGCAAAATAATAGGGACCTGAAATAGAACAAGGCAGCTGTCAAAAAAAATGTCGGGAGAAACAGACCACGCATCATGCACAATTGTAATGTAAATACGCACACATCCAAGAATGGTTAGACAAACTCACCGCTCTGAAGAATGTGCTTTGGAGGTTTGATAATATCTGACATGATGACGTTATCCCGACCGTACTTGTTCCGCAATACTTTGGCCAGACCCTGTCCCAGCTGCCCCAAAGCTCCTACCAAAACAGAACCCAAATTTCGTATTAATAATAATATAACTCGCAATAAGAAATCAAGTTTGTTATTCCAATTGCGAACAGGCACATTTAGATTTGAAGATTGTCATTTTGGGATAAATTCAAAGCGAAGGACTGGAAGACCAAAGACAACATGGGAGGCCCATGATACACAAGACCTCGCTCATCTCATCATCGGATGGCCAGCTGAAGATGCTGCAGTTGCTGCTCAAGACCACAAGGTCTGGGACTTGCTCTCACGTCAAGCAGCAGGTGCAGGTGCATCTTAAGACGCACCGTTGGAAATTTCCATTAGTACTTCGTTTTTTTTATTCAGCAAAGCGCGCGCAAGCATTGACACGACGCACACACGCGCGCGGTTGCTATAATTCGTCGGATCGGTGCGTGACATCGGCTCAGTGAGAATGTGTCTCGGACGCTGAGTTCAGGCCCAATTCAAAACATGATTTGCAGCAACTTTTGATGTGAAATCGAGATCCTAGAATGTTGTTTTTCTCGAAATATACAGCTGAAGCTGAGCTGAAACTTCATCAGGTTAGTTGTTCAGTACCCTTCTTTAGATTTTGAACACTTTTGTTGCTTCAAACGAACAAAACGCACAAATTACAAATGATGGACTACATGTATACCTTTAAAATGGCTGCTACACAAACTGTACCAGTATTAATGGTCAAGCTATCTACGAAACAACAGGCTTTTGCCGTGTCCGCCCTTGGACTTTTGACACAGGAAATCTTGCCCAGCCCTCGTGGTAGAAGTAACCGAGCAGCAGTACGGTGACTCATACGCAGAAAAAAATTGCCGATCACGATACGCACAGTATAATATTACACACGCCATTTACTTGCACAATATAATCGTTACACACGATTAAGGAATCCTAAAGAAAAAACCAATGCCTTGGTTTGGAGTATTACGTATTAAACCTCCCAGCAAATTCAAAACCCAACAAGGTTTTGAAGAATTTTGCAGCATTGATTGAACGAAATCACAATTATTTTGTTGTCCCTCGAGTGATATTAAAAAGTACAACGAATGCATCACTGGTTTCCTCCATACTGGAGGATTTTGGTAGGGAGTCAGGTTGGCGCAGTGGTTACTAATTTCCTCGCCTTCCACCGCTGTGACCCGGGTTCGATTCCTGCCTGGGTCCACATGTGGATTGGGTTTTCAGTCCCTACCAGAGTCTGTCGGTTTCCCCCTGAATATTCTGCAGGGGTTTTCCTCCCACCTCTAACATGTCTAAAACTGTAATTTTTTCTCACTGTCTCCTCTCTACAGGTTTCTTCAGGCTTGCGAGCTACAGTGCCGGAGAAACATTTGAGGAATCCTTTATCCTTGGTTTCATTACCAGAAAGAAATAAAATACGTAAAATATAATAATACGCTCAGGGAATTAGGGCTATGTACCATGCATCCCAGACGCTGTTACTAATAAGTACAAAATATGTACCATTGTTTTTTTTTTAATGCGCAGAATTTGCTTTGTATTGATTCAGGAAGTCGCTAGCTGAACAATGATATGAGAGTTGCATGTAGGGTGAACTTAATGTTCAACTGACATTCTTTCATGTTTCACTTTCAGCCACATGAGAACCCCTGGGCTAAGTGATCAAGACTAGGCATGCTGCCAAACAATGTGACAACATTGCCAACGTGGCAACATTGAGGACAGACATGATCGGATCAGGCCATATGGTACTCGATCGCTTCCTTAAACTGTGAGTCGGGGTTAAGGTTCAACAACCACTGTGTCCTGTTTCGTGTTACGGCCACATACCCGTTATGAGGACCCTGGGATTATCCAGGCTTGGTAGACTGCCAAAATCTTGCCGCTGGGGTGGCGTTGTGGAGAGACACCGGATCAGGCTGTGCTTGCTTCCTTGACTTGCGAGTCGGACCAAGGCACCGCCGATTGTCCGATGAAGTATGCCAGCCATGATGCCTGCACTGTACTGCTGTGGTGACTGCAAACTGAAAGGAAAACCACAAGTATACATGAACAAGCAGCTTTCAAAACCAACGTTCTACTTGACTTCATAATAAATCCACGTCACTTTGTGTGTAAGTGGTGGGCGATAAATTAGCTGTGGCGGATGCAGGTTGATAAATATGCTGGCTGGCAATAGAAACTGGGGATCGTATAGCCCGTCCAGTCCTATCGTTTGCCCTCAAATCTATCTACGTGGTTCCGTCACGGCAAAGGACCATACATTTTTCATCTCAAATATGTGCTGGGTTTATGGACGGTTTCGGGGGGCGAGAATTTTTGAAATTGTTAACTGTTGAAAACCTTTACTTAGGGAATGTACATCATTGGCTTTTGCTGTAATTTTCAGAAATGAACTATTTGAGGGGTTAGTATAATAGATCAAATATTGTTACACTGACATGTTTGAAGTTTTGTGTTCGAAAATGCTGGAAAAACCAAGAAAAACAAAAATGTTCAAAATAGTCTGGTTCCCTGACTCCACTAAAGATGAAATGGATCAATTTATAGATGCCGGAAAATTGTAAGGTAAGGGAACCAGTCTAGCTGGCCTGCACCCGTTCATGAACATGTAACCAATAGCAAACAACATTTGGACTAAACAATTGGTAAATTTGGAGCCGTAGTTGAAAAATAGTCAGGTTTTTCCAACGGTGGTCGGCCGACCACCATTGGAAATTTGTACAAAAATACCACTTTTCTTGAAAATGACTTCACACCAGGTGCCACAATTTTACAGGATGCGTTAGACTGTCATTTACCAACATCCTAGTAAAGTATTTTGTAAAAATTTGGTAGTTTTGTTTTTCCATGTTTGCAAATGTTGTATATTCCCTTTAATTGGAAAATATCAGAAAAAATGACTGTAACTGTTTTTAAATTCTAAGACAATGAGGTTCCCCCCCCCCAATAAAAAATATGCCAATCGTTTTACAGAATTCCAAGACCAGCCCACTCACCCTTTATTCCCCCTCCCAGATCAATGAAATAACCCTTCTCATTCCACGGATGATCCGTCGATCATGGCTGATGGCTTACTTGACACATATTTTTTTCCTTTTTTAAAATAAATCATATTTTATTTAAAATCATGATGCCATTAACTTCAACTGCAGTATATTTGAAAAACACCCGTTGTTACTGATCACAAAGGATTTTTTGCCACGCAATTAAAATGGCAACATCTGTCTGTATTATCAGAGCACTGTTGACAAGAACACCATCAGTAAATTGTTGAGCAAATAACCATATCACTGTGCAAAGCTTCTCTTGTCAATACTCTTGTGTAGATCCAGATAAGATAAGGGACAAATCTGTTCAGCCAAAGGCAACCGGTACAGTTATGAGCTCCCTACACCTCATTTTTCGACCATTTAAGGTCTCCGGTTTCCGGTACGGAGCTTGCCCAAAAGTGGTGCGGCAACGCAGGGTTCCCCCCCCCCTACTTTTCTTTCCTTCAAATGTCAGCTGATGTTGCAGATGACGCTTCAATCCCCTTAAAACTCTAAAAAAATATCCTTCAGGGTGGAGCTTGAGGTGACCTCAGTAAGGCCATAAGGCTTGAGAATTCTACACCCACTTATAATCTCGACCAATGCGAAGGTTCTTCGGGAAATTTGGATGGTCAAGACAAAAATCAGAGAAAACGGTAGTAACGTTAGATCATACAGCGACATCCATGACATCATGCATGAGCTGGCACTGCCAGCTGGTCATTAGTCTGCTCCCTTACAAATTACGCTAATTAGTAATTAATGTGTTTACAGGATCCAGATTATACACGTTTTTCGCTCCCTCAGTCTGGCTTCCAGATGCACAATTTAAAAAAATACACCATCGTTTTACAGACTTCTAAGACCAGCTTGAGGTATTTTCCGAACGTCCCAACAACTAAATGAAAAGTGGAGAAACAAAGTACAAAAGCTTTAAAAAATGTGTATATCTTTATCCTGAAGAGCGCCCCCTAGTATAATTTGGTGTCCAGCCCCCCCCCCCCCCCCCCCCCCCCCCCCACATTTTCCTTCCTCCATGCTCCATCTTCCAAATTTTCCAATGCCATTTGTACATGCGACGTGCTTAGCCTGTGGCCTGTGCATATCCGCCTTGCATTGCAGTATGTCGCACATCCAGCGTAGAAATCACATCAAGTGATCAAACAGTTACAATGTGTTATCATTAAACAAATATATACTCACCTAATAAAGGCAAAATCTATCAGTTTGTTGACTTATCTGCGCTCAATCGCCTTGCCGCACTGTCTTCTTGCGTGGCCGGTCGGTCACACATGAATGAATAACAACGTGACTGTGCTTCTGCGCCTGCGCAGTAAGCACGTGTAAACAAAATAAGCGGGCTGTGCGTTTTGGGGTTTAATTCGCTGGGTTTTTTTTTTCAGTTCCAGCCGATTTATAACTTCATAATGAAGTATTCTTAATTGATTGTTACAGCTAATTCAATTTATTTCCACGTGAAAAAGGAGTCTGCGCTGACTCGTGATAAGCCAATCAGCTGCGAGATCGCATGATCGCGCTGCCAGCACCAACCAATGATCAGGGAGGATGCCTTTGGCGTTCCAGCCAAGCCCACTTCACACCCCCGCTTGCTCCACCCACCTATTTCTTCCCCCCGCCCCTATTGTTTATTCGAAAAGGTGCGGCAGGGCAGAGCGTGGAGATTAATGAGTTCCGTTATTGTTCAAAAATATGATCACATCCGATTTTCCTTTAAAAAAAAAAGCCTAAAAGTAAAAGGCTCAAGACTTTTCGAATGGATGGGGTACTTTTTTTTTTAATATGGCATGAGCCCTGAAGAAGTGCGGTTGTAGTTATATTTTGTAGTAGATAAGCTAAAAAAAAAAAAATTAAAAAAGGGTGTTGATTCGGCAACCAAATAAGTTTGGTTTTTATGGAGCAAATTATTTAAATTTTTTCGGGACTGTGAATTTCTACAAGTCAGTAAATGCGACATGCAACAGCCGTAAGATAACTTTATATCATTGGGCATGCGCGATAACGCAAGTTGGCTGATGTGATCAATTGAGGGCGCTATACTCTTTTTGCAGTATCGTGCGTTCATCTTTCTTTCATGCATGTCATGTACTTCGATTCGAAGACTTGGAAGTTTAAGTTTCGAATTAAATTAGTTTACCATGAAAAATACTAACTTTAGTCGTTTTCCTCCACCTCTTTCCTGTCTTTGATGTCCCACTTAATGTGAGTACCATAACTTCGTTTCCTCGTGTTAATAATTAATAGGAACATAGTGACAGTGTAAATTAAATTATTCATCGGGTTTTTTTTTGCTAGACCTAATTGCTGACTGCTGTGTCATTTTGTAGCCTTGTTTGTTGTACACATTCATGACATTGTTGGCCGGGGGTGTGGCTGTTTCCGGTCCTTCCCTCGATTCTAAGAAATTAGAACAGATTGAGATCTGAAGAACTCAGTCACTCATGTCTGAGTCTGACCATACATCAAAATTACATGCTACATGATCTATTGTTGACATAATTTAAAATGGAAATTTTTGGTGATTGTGAAATTATTGAGAAAAAAAGAAAAAAAGGAAAGAAAAGCGGGGGGGGGGGGGGATGTCATCTTGCACTTGTACTAGTTGTAGAGATGTTATCATCTGTGTAATTCCTATTTTATTTCATTTCAGTTTATTTAAATGAATTTGTTTAACATTCTTACATTGTACTCTAAATATTTTAATTGTATATTGGGATTATTGGTATGAGCTGGGATCCATGGGAGATCAGTGAGTTTTAAGATAAATTAGAAATAGATAAATAAATATTGAATTTAAAGAAAACAAACTATTAAAAAACAATGAAATGTAAAAATAAATCTCTGATGCATCGGATTCCATGGGCATCCCAGGACCTTTGGCACGGTATTTAAACGTTCTAATTCGTCCTCCATGGTTTAACTAATCAAGCTACTTAACTCTTACAACAATGCCGCAAAGATTGCCGTCGAAAATTGTGTTACGGCTGCCGTAATAAGAGCCACTAAGGCCATCAGCTTCGGTCCAAAATTTTTGCCATTGGTATCAAATGAGGGGAATAGTCGTCATAGGGATTTTGGGCAAGGTATACACCTCCAGAGTTTGAAACTATGTGATAGCATTGCAGCGGTGGCAGCTTTTTGGGTGTTGTCACCTTTTTTCTCTCAAAATGTCCATCAAAATGCTTGTTACCACTCTAGGGGCGGTATACCTTGCGCATGCGCACTATAATCATTTATGCCCTGATTTGATACTGACCAAACCCCCAGGCTGATGGCCTAACTATGCTTACTATATTTCATCAAAATAAACAGCAAACCATCTAGACAGATGACGGCTATGAATGACAAGGATGCCAAGCCAGTTGCAATGACTGGCTCTACGGACCAGAAGGTGAATCCTCCATCCCAGAGGGCTGATGTCAGTCCCTCAACCTCGCCCCCAGAGGACGCACAGCAAACGCAGCCCAAGATGGTTCCGGTTGTGTTGAGTCGCACCCGCGTCATATTCGACTGCTTGTTTATGATGGCAGGCATGGTGACGTACGTAGCGGATATGGGCACTGACGTTTCAGTTGGTAAGAAAACTATAACTGTAATTATAGGTGCCTATGAAAACATCTGCTCACTTGCGTGAAAGTTTTCAACAGTTGTTATGTGCACTGTGGATTCAAGAACTGTTGAGATGCAATAAAATGAGTCTAAGAACTGGGTACATTTTTGTTTAAAGTTTCTGGATGTTCACGCCGACCTATCAGTTTCTAACTGACAATCTCTAACCCTAACTCCCTAGGCATTTTTGCTAGGGTACAACCTAAATCCAGCAAAATCCTCCAACTGCCTCCATGTGAAAATTGCATATAGCCTAAATACTCCCAAAATCATCTGTTATTTCTTGCATGTGGTCCTTGGAGGGGTGACCACTGCCTTAATCCTGCAAAATACTCCAGCAATCGCTGTCAAAACGTTGAGGCAGAGCCAGTGACATCCTGAAGCAGTGCGGAGGATTTCAAGTATTATCTAGGCCTAAAGTTATGCAGGGCTGAACATAAACAACACAAGGTCCGGCTTAAGACCTTGACACAGTGCATCCTCCAAAAATCAGCCACGCAGTTTTGCCATATAGCCTCAATCCTGCAAAATCCTGCATTTTGCAAAGAGGATTTTGGAGGGTTTGGGAAGGTTAGGGTGAATGCAGCTAATAGTCATTTCTGAATAATTTTAAACGACAAAAAAAACACACTGTAGGTATTGAAAGTCACTGTCCAATTTTGAGGCCCCAAAAGCACAACTTTTCAATTGAAAATCCACACATTACATGTAACTTTCCCCTAGACCTGCTCCCGGTAATGTTGCTGAGTCACTATGTATGATTTTAGGCAAAGTAAAAAAAAAAACAAGTTTCTCGTCCCCGCCCACTTCCTTTTTGGAGGCCGCCTGGATTCTTTTATTATTTTTTATTTTTGAAAAATGCAGTTAAAACACTGAAAAAGTCCACAAATTCATCGGAAAATAAATATTTGCGAAATATGTGAGTCGAGGTTTTCAGTATAGACTCTGTCGGTCACTTTGTACACCACATAATATCGACGTGTGATCGCTACCCCTGCGACAGTGCGAGCATGGCGAGTTCACAACAACTCAACCACTTGGTTCCCAGACCAAAAGATTCTGACTATTCCTGATGAATCTACGCGCCCATGGAGTCGAGGCTGAGACGTGATCGTCAGGAATAATTGTCAGGTCTAGGGAACCAGACTACGTACATGTATGTCTATTGATAGTTTTAGACTACAGTCGTTTGAAAATTCAACCGGAATAGACCTGTCTGCCGTACTGTATGCGGTAAATGCTGACTTCAAAGCCAGAATGCAACCGGTATGAGACTAGCTCACGCTGGAGCATGTGTTTAAAGAATTCGCTCGCGACTTTTGGCGGTTAAAGCAAATGCATCTAAAACTGTTCTTGGTAGACCAATACAACTCTAAAGGACACTGTAAATATGTTCAGTTCTCTTGTCCAACTTGTTTTTCATTTTAAAAGTGTCTTTGAACAGTGGAAACACCAACGGTTGCAGGAAATTTTAAAATGGTGTCCATCTTGAAAAAAATTAAAAATAAAAAGCCCCTCTTCCTCCTATTTTTCAAAAACCCGGACGAGAAACTTTGGGTTTTTTTACTCGGCCTTATTGATTTCATTGCCAGGGATGAAACTAGACACAAGTGGACGGCACTTCCAATTTTTGAGCCTCTACATGCATTAAGAGTACATTCCAGTACAAAATTAATTGCAAAATCAGTCTCATGTCTGACCGTCGTTTCACCCTGTGTTTCAATGTGTGCCGTAAAAATGATACGGAAAATGAAAGCAGCACAAATGTAGAATAACATGTACAGATGTATATGACAGTTTTGCTTATCACTGCGGAAACGTTTTCCACTTATATGATGTTTTCTTCTCTTGTCGTCAGCTGTCCAGTATGTCGTGCTCGAAGAGTACGCCTGGAGCGGTCTGACCATCGCCTTCATCGTCATTCCATCGCTGACCATTCAGTACCTCAGCTTCCGATGGTTCATTGTCGACTCCAAGCAGAGCTCGAAGACGAACCACGTGCCGTTTCTAAAGAAGGTGACCGACTGGATTCTGTGGCTGCTCTTCCATGTGCTGCAGCTGGGGGTGTTGAAGAGGTAAATGGATCGTCATCAGCCAATGAAAGAAGAGCATTTGGAAATTGACCAATCAAAAAAGTGCATTAAGCTTATGAATATGTATGAGGTGTGATAATTTGTTTTTGTTGACATTAAATTTAATGCTTATTATGCCTAGGGGGTGTGGCCTATAGATTGTCTCATCCTCCAGGATTGGAGGATGAGACATTTGAACCCAGCTGCTGGCCATATGTTGTGTCCTTAGGCAAGCCACTTTACACCTACATCCATTTCATTTGCAATGTAGATACTGGCGTACTGTCAAGTATGGTTGGCGTAGTCAAGACAAGCCTGATTACTATGACCTGAGCGTGTACGAGTATCGCGATATCACGATGCTACGCCTGCTGGAATCGTTTATGGAATCCGCACCGCAGCTGGTGCTGCAGATATACATCATGACGCAACAGAAAGATATCTACTGGCTTACAGGTAAAGGGAAGAATTTGAAGTCAAGGCCATCACAAGTCAAAACATAACTCCTTCCGAAGGCCAATCATCAGCCCATCAGAATTCCCATCGCAAGTCCATTACAAGTCAAATCACATGTCAAGTCTTAAGTCAATCACATGTCAAATCACAAGTCAAGTCACAAGTCAATCACATGTCAAATCACAAGTCAATCACATGTCAAATCACATGTCGAGTCACTTGTCAAATCACATGTCAAGTCACAAGTCAATCACATGTCAAGTCACATGTCAATCACATGTCAAGTCACAAGTCAAGTCACAAGTCAAATCACAAGTCAAATCACATGTCAAGTCAAAAGTCAATCACAAGTCCATCACAAGTCCACTGCAAGTCAAATCACACGTCAAATTACAAGTCCATAACAAGTCGAATCACAAGTCCGTCCCAAGTCAAGTCACAGGTCAACCACTAGTAAAGTAACAAATTAGGATTGTGTCATAAAAGTTAAGCAGTGCGTAAACTTCCACAGCATGTAATGGCCTAACAAATGCTGTTGTTTAGATGCCAAAGTCGCAGTATGCAGATTGAAAACGACTAATTCAAAATCTTGCTTGTCGTAGAGCCTGTCATTGCTCTTTTGGGGTTCAGAGGTCAAGTTGTTAAAAATAGCCACAGCAAACCTTTAGTCCTTCACTGATTAGCGAATGAATGTTGGGCTTTTGTTTTCACAGTAACTTCAGCGATAGTGTCTTTGGCCTCTCTGGCCTGGGGCATCGAGGCCTACCACAAAGCGCTCCGCGAGTCCTGCAGCAACAAGAACAACCTGGGCTACGTCGGGCTGACCGTCCGCATGGCCTGGCGGACCTTCACCATCACGGCCCGCGTCATCGCGCTGGCGCTCTTCGCGGCCTTCAGCAAGTGGATCTTCATTGCCTTAGTCAGCATCCACTACGTCTTCATGACCCTGTGGCTGGTCTACCAGGATACCGACTTCTGCACGACGCGGCTGGAAGAGGTGCTCTTCGACGCCGTTATCGGGGTCATCCACATCTTCTGCTTCTTCAACATGAAGGAAGGCCGCACGCGCTACCGGGCGCTGTTCTTTTACGCGATCGTCCTGATTGAGAACACTATCATGTTTGCGCTGTGGTATCACCACGGCGGTCGGGACGAAGTCTACGGAAAACCGGCTTTAAGTTTCGTCTGGGGCGGATTCTTTTTGGGACTGTTCATAATGCTGTTCTACTACCGGTGTCTTCATCCGAACGGTAATATCCGTCTCTGGGGAGGGGGATCCCCCGCTAAGCCCAAACCCGCGGTGGCAATCCAGGACGGACACGCCCGTGCATACGACAACAACGGAGTGGACGTAGTCGACGGCCCCTTATCGTGGGACGAAGTTGTGATTCCTTCCAGCACCCGAGGCTGCCACGGTAACCTGTTCACCCAAAAAGGACGCCGATACTGCTACTGGCGGGACCAGGGCGCACCCTGCCCGTGTGACGAGCCGTTGGCCAATCAGAATGCGGCTACGAGGGAACCTGCCTCCGTCGATCACGCCATGGTGGTCGTTGGGGACAGTGAGGATGACCGGAATTGCGGTTGCAACGGAGACGAGCAGAACAGATTCAACCATAACGTGAAGGAGCGAAGAGAGACCTGTTTGTAGAGTTCAACCATACCAGGTAACCAGTCATACAGCTAGAATTAAGAAAGGGGCGCAAATATGAAAAGCATTCAAGTCCAAAATGCTGCATGTGTATTTTCTTTGTACATGTATATTAGAGCTAGTTGTCACTGTGTCCTACATGCATTTTTCTACTCATTTGCACGCCAGTTTTCATGGGTTGCTATGAGCGACTTTTCAACACTCCAGACTCAAGAACCATTGAGTTTGAAAGTAAATAGGTCTGGGCACTAGACAAGGCAATGTAGGAAGCTCACAGATGTATGCACCGCCTATACGTAATTCAACCGGCTGTAGATTTTCACCTCAAGCCCCTTGGTATGACAAAAATTGCTCTCCAATGGCATTGTGTGTGAATTAAATTTCATCAAAGATTCCTGATTTTTTTTTTTGAATTTTTTTTTTATATATATAATTTTTTTTGGGGGGGGGGTAATAACAAAAGAAGAATGTTCCATAGTACGCCTCGTATGAGAGAAAGACCATTTTAATAATCCTCCATTACACATACTCCTTTCAAAAGACATTCCTTTTTTCTTTCCTTTTTTTTTATTTTAAAAATTTTACCACATAAGTGACCAATATTAGTGCATGCATGTGTAGTAGAATAGCTAATGATGCATGAAATACTTGTCATATTTTTAGCCTCTGACTCATACTAGTGTGTGGTATGTAAATATTTGCATGTACAGGCACATGTTCAATGTGTGTACAGTTTATTGACGGACTGTATAAGTGTGTGAATTAGAAATGTGTGCACATGTAGTAGTTTAATCATTTATATTGTGTTAATACTTTGGTAATGTGCTAATACTTTGGTAGGACCGTCCCACATGTACCGAATACTCGTTCATCAACGTAATATTCGAATAGTTTTTTACCGGTTCGAATATTCAAAAGAAAGAAAAAACATGCACTTTCACATCTGTAGTGTAATGTTATTTCAATCGTAAAAGTTACGACGCTTCATTGTCAAAAGCAACTTTTTTGTCGATGGTGGTTCATTGTTCTCATCCTTTTAGCAGGTTAAAGCCTTTGACAGATTTATAAAATACTTTCTCCAGCGGCCCACAACATCGTTTGCTGCATGCACATTTTATCCGACGCGCTTTGCGTACAACTTACTTGCAGCTTTCATGTGTAAAGTTGATCGGAGATTTCCGAAAATTCAAATATTTGGTCAAACTTAGCTTCGAATAATCTAATACTAGTTTATTCGGGAATGGACGGCCGTATACTTTGGTCCTGTTAGTACTTTATTGCATGGGTGTAGTGATTTTTTTTTGTGATTTTAAAATCCCAAACCTAACCATTTCCTTGGACAGTCATAGATTATCTTTATGGGGCTTAGGCCAAAAAAAAAAGTCTCCGGTTTCTGGTATGGAGCTTGCCCAAAAAGTGGTGTGGCGACGCGGCTTGTTTGGTTTTTTTTACCTGATTTTTTTTGCTTCAAATGTCGGCTGATGACTGCAAATGGTGCCCGACTAAACCTAGTGCAAATATATGGGAGTCCAGAGAGGCCACATAAAGCTTATTCTCGACCATAACCCAATTTAAAAACACGTTAAAAGTGTGCAGCAGCAGGATTCCAGTCAAACCAGTGAGTTTGGCGGTTTTGAGACATCATCTTTCATTGAAAAAAAAAACGTTTTCATTTTGCCGACGCGCATGGCTACGGCGACGCGCGCGCAAACCAGAAACCGGAGACTTTTTTTTGTTGGCCTTATTCATGAGGAAGCCAGTTATGGCTGCTGGATGTGCCCAAGCCATATTGGTTTCTACCGTACGTACACTTTTGTTTTCCCAAATGTGTATAAAAATTAGTGTGGTACGTTACTGCACTGGTGCTTGAGTTTTGTTGGCATTGTCTGCATTTTTGTATTAGAGTGGATTAAATATAATGATGCAGAGAAGTGCTGGTACACGATGCATGTAGGTGCACTGTGCAAAAAGATGTTAATGGTGCTTGCAAAAATGGCAGAGGGATACAATGCTTGAAAAGAGGTTAACAAGTATGCATAAAAGGTCAGCCTTTTTTGCGTCGTCGGTGAAAAATTAACAGAATTGAACATTGGAATTTGTAGCAAACTCAGTGGTTCATGTAAAACCGATTTTAAGCATTTGTCAATCTTTAAGCCGATTGTGTAATGTTTTGATGCTTTTTATCAGTTGAATTGTTGAGCATATTATTTTCCAGAAAAGTTATTTAGGCCAGTTTTACTTGACATTCAGCATACAATACTGATTTTTTTTTTTCAAGCATTGTAAAGTTAAACACTAAGGATTTTCTGAAATGGGCATATTTGAAATTGGAAATAAGTGGCAGTATGCACACGTTTGCGTACGTAGTGATGTTGTCCACATGTATGTACCATGAATCGGGGACGAATGATTGATTTCAGTAACATTTTAATCTATAAAAGCATGAAGTAACTATTTTTATAACAAAATACTAATACGGTTTGTTTTGTTTTTTCCTTTGTAAAATATTTAAATATGCTTTGCAGATAGTCATTACATTTATTTATATCTTGTGTATAATTATTTCAAAGTTGGACTACATTCACAGACATGTGACCATTTTTTTTGGTGAGGCTGAGTTACTATTTTCATTATTTTTTAAATGTTTTTTTAAATTCATTTTAATATATGCAGGTAAAACGAAATGCTTGGAAAAGTCTTTGCATATCATATGTAGAAAACTGATGGATGAACAATTTGTAAATTTTGGAATAGATTTTTGTTTTGTTTTAAGTGCATTATTTTTTAAGTTGCTGACTTCTTACTTTTTTGTGAAATTTTGAATCCTCAATGCTGATTGGTCGGTTACATAGCAACGGCATTCCATATTTAACGTCATTGGCCTCTGAAGCAGGTCTTGTTAAAACCGAAACGTCAGGCCAGCAAAGTTGGTTGATTTGTTTTAATACAGTGTGTTTCATGTTGTCTTATCCTATGCATGTTACGGTTACACCTCTATGTTCCAACGCCCCTATGTTCCGACACCCCAATGTTCCGACATCCCAATGTTCCGACACCCCAATGTTCCGACACCCCAATGTTCCGACACCCCAATGTTCCGACACCCCAATGTTCCGACACCCCAATGTTCCGACACCCCAATGTTCCGACACCCCAATGTTCCGACTGCAAATATTCCTATTCCTAACCCTAACCCTAACCTGGAGTAACAAATCTTATGTGTTGGTTGTCGGAACATAGGGGTGTCAGAACATAAGGGCACTGGATTCGTGGTCTGTGGGTAAAGCTGCGGGTTGTGGGTTCGAGTCCAGCCGGGGTCATGGTGCGTGTGCCCTTGAGCAAGGCACTTTGTCACTCATTGCTTCTTTCCACCCAGGAGTAAATGGGTACCTGTGAGGGCAGAGATGGTTATTGTGATTGAATAAGCTTGCTTGTGCCTAACAGGCAGCATCAAGCTGTATACTCCCCAGGGAGCTGAGATGGTATTTGGAAGTTTAATTGGCCCAATGATCAGGGGTAATAATAATACTGTAAGCGCTGTGATTTAGTTTACTAATAAGAGCGTTCTTAAATGCCGATTATTATTATTATTATTATTATTAACATACAGCTAGAGCAGTCACCCATGTGACATCTGTGCAAAGTAATATTACAGGTCCAAAATCACAATGGATATTTTTTTAATCCTGCTTGCACTTGTTGAACATTTCAAAAAGGTAGAAAATTGATGTCTATCTGCCTTCGTGCTGCGTGCCAAATTCTTAACACTTTTCTGTGTTTGACTTTAATGTGCTTTTATGGAATTACTTTTAATGTAATAGCTTGTAGGAGTCTTGGGGCAAGACATTATTGTTGAAAATAACCCGCCGTCGCGATTAACCTGCCGTCGCGATAACCTGCCGTCAAGAGAGGGCGTTATCACGACGAACCGCTATCACCCACAAACCGCCAGTTACAATGTCTTGGAAATCTTGTAAAATCTTCCTTCTTAAAAATGGAGGAAACTAGTGCGCACGCATGTGCTACTTCTGCGCTCTGCAGGCAATTATGGTCCAATAAGTCCCACCAATACTAAATACCACAAAAGAGCTGGCCAGTGAAATTGCACAAAAGTCTTGCTGCATCTTGTATGCTACAGAAGAAATTTAAGAGTTTGGTTCAGAAGTAATAATATGAAAGGTTTTGAATGCACGCTGCATATATCAGGCCAAACAGGTGCACGCACAAGCACAACCGCTGCAAGATTCTCAAGACGTTGTTTCTGGTGGTTCCTGGGTGATATCGGTTCGTCATAAATGGTTCGTCGTGAAAACGTCTTGCCCTAAGATGGAATGGCTTGTATAACAGGGTTGTGATATTTTGTAAACAAGTTAGCTTAGGCCAAAAAAAAAAAGTCTCCGGTTTCTGGTATGAAGCTTGCCCAAAAAGTGGTGCGGCGACACGGCTTTTTTTTTCTTTTTTACCTGATTTTTTTGCTTCAAATGTCGGCTGATGACTGCAAATGGTGCCCGACTAAACTTAGTGCAAATATATGGGAGTCCAGAGAGGCCTTATTGTCGACCATAACCCAATCTAAAAACACGTTAAAATTGTGCAGCAGCAGGATTCCAGTCAAACCAGTGAGTTTGGCGGTTTTGAGACATCATCTTTCATTGAAAAAAAACTTTTTCATTTTGCCGACGGGCATGGCTACGGCGACGGGCGCGCATACCAGAAACCGGAGACTTTTTTGGGGGCCTTATACATAGTAGTACATGTAATATTTCATGTTTTGTTAATCTTGTGCTTTGTAACCAGAGGAAAAATGCATTCTAAAAATTGTTTATTTAAAATGGGATAACTATATGTTTACAGTAAACAAACATTGGTGGGCCAGGTGATTAGTAGGTCTTAATTGTACAGTGTTAATATAAATATAATTTATAATCAAACTATTTTACATAATTATTTATATCGTATTTTGTAATTCCTCAATTCTGTCAGTAAATGTAATCTGTGGCGATGGAGTAATATCTCAATGAAACACTGCTTCTAACAATAGGTACAAGTGTACGTGCAAATGGATAAATGTATGTATTTAGTCATATTTGAATGGATTTTTAATATATTTCTTGGCTACTGACTAGCGCCCCTTGATCAAAGATATTGACAAAATGGGGAACTGCCAACATAGGGCTTGATAGCTCAGTTGGTAGAGCACCGGAACGGCAATCCGGAGTTGCAGGTTCAAACCCTGCTCCAGTCAATTTCTACGTTCAACTTTTAAAAAAAGTACCTTTTGGAGTTTTGTTCTTCTGGATAAGAACAAGTAAATCTTGTGTTGATTTGTTGTTACCAAATGAAAATCCTGAAACCATTTTTAACTAAGGTTAAAATCTTCATTTTCTGGCAATGGGTACCTAGGCT